CAACAACACCTCCTTCCCCTCCCCCTCCATCAAATTCAGTACCACCCCCTCCATCAAATTCAGCACCACCCCCTCCATCAAATTCAGCATCCCCACCTTCTCCATCTGCGCAAGTGCCCTCTTCCACCACAAACCCTGTAACCCCAAAAACCTGCGATCCTGGTTGGATGTTGACTCAGGGTACGTGCACACCATGTTCGTACCAACCCAAAGACTCCGTCTGGCTCAGCGTGGGAGTCTGCAACTGGGTGTGCAAGGAAGGCTTCAAGGAAGATGGACAGTTCTGCGTGCAGGGTAGCCAGGCAGAGAAGGGGGTCGTCTTGCTGACTCTCGGGCTGAACACCACGAGAGCTTCTTTCGAGGTTCAGAAAGATCGCTACGTGAATGCTCTGGCTCTTCTTCTTCGAGTGTCGCCAACGCTGGTCCAAGTTACAAGTGGAAGGCGGCAAGAACAGGCCTTGACTGTTTCGTTTCGTGTGGAAACATTCCAAGACCTGACGAAAGGCCTGCAGCTGGACTTGATCAAGGTCAACGAAGCCTTCATCCAACATGGAGTCCCAACAGCTGTCCAGCTGCAGTTCGAGTATCAGAAACAAGCTCGTCAAGCGGGGTCTCAGGTGACTAGCAGTCCAGCAGCTGCTATTGAATCCAATGCTGTGTTTCTGTGTGCTACGGTTGCAGCAGCGGTGGCGACGTTGTGTGCGGTCTACTAGCTTTAACACAGATGTTCTGTGCTGTCTACTAGCTTTAACACAGATGTTCTGTGCTGTCTACTAGCTTTCAAGCCCTAGACCATGATTGCCGTTATTAAAGTGTTGTTTGTGAAGGAGTAACACGAGGGGCAGGGGCAGGTTTCTCTTCGTCTGAATATCGAGGGGAGGAGTCAAGGCGGGCTCACCTCAGAACCGTTTGTGCCAGACTCAGTTTGATCAAGTCTGCCTCAGTTTAGATTGATCTCACCAGGCCCGCACGGGACCTGTCCCTACAGTTTCAAGTCGAGATTCTTCCATGCTCATTGCTCCATGCTCCGTCTCCTCTCCTCTCCTCTCCTCTCCTTTCTTCTCCTCTCCTCTCCTCTCGAGTCCTCCCGCCGGGCTTGCCCTCTCCTACCCTCTCCTCCTCTTTCCTGACGGAGGCTCCTTTCCCCTCCCTACCCTTCCCCTCTCTAGCCCTCCTCCCTCCCCTTTTCTTCTCTCCCATCCCACTGCTGCTCTCGCCTACCATTTTCTACTTCCCTGCCTCCCTCGCAGTCGCTCACTCTCCCTCCCCCTCACATGCTGGCATGCTTCTACACCATATTCTTCCTCGCTGCCCATGACCTGACCATGTCCGTTGCAGTCCACATGTCACACCCGAACTTCGTCAAGTTGGTGAAGCTCCTCCTCCTCCTCCTCCTCGGCATCTTCCTGCTGTGCTCGAGGCAAGTAGCAGGACAAGAGTCAACCATCCAAGTCAAGGAAGTTCAACCACCTGCGGAGCCAGCGGTCCGACGTCTCTTCCTCTGCGCTAGAGCTGACCTGATTGGGTCCAGGGATGCAGCCCTGAAGATTGGGAGGATCAGCTCAAGATTATGATGCTGAGCGATCGAGCCCGTCGGGGTTGGACGGTTGAGGAGGAGGAGGAGGAGAAGACTGAGGTACTCGAAGTCGCGCAGTGAGATGAGAGGTATATTGTGGTACATGGATCAGAGTTAGCTGTTCCGATGATGATGATGACGATGACGATGACGAGGATTAATGTTGATGATGTTGATAAAGATGATGATAATGTTTACGATAATGAAATCAAAGCAATGTGAAATTGACACAACACAAGCGAGTAGAGCGGTGGCGACGAGCAGCGAGATGAATTCTATACAAGCTTTATCTTTTTACAAGTGTAGCCATCTTAGCAACAAGTCGCAGTTCAAACTCATTTACAGCTGTTGTCCTAACTTTCAAAACCTGCAACAACGTCAAAACCTTGCAAAGAAATCAACAAGAGGCCAAACCTCCAGCTCCTGGAACCCACCGCTCTTCTCGCACTCACTGAAGTTCTGCGAGCAGAGCAATCAAAGATCTCGAATATCACGAATGATGTCGGACCGCTTGCAGAGCCAGACGAGAAGCTTCAGAGCAGTCTTGCTGTGACGTACTTACTTGCGCAGCTACACACACAGTCAGTGAAAGCTGCTTGCTGTACATGAGGAAGTGATGAAAAGAGATATTGATGCCACTGTGATAATCATGTTATGTTTTCTTGCCTGTATGCGACACGTCGATGATGGAGATGCGACGGCAAAGTTTCCCGACTGAAGGCAGAGTCTCATCCCAGCTCTGCTCCTCTCCTCGCTGTCTCACCGCAGATAAGAAGGCCCAGCTTGTTGAACATGGCTGATTTCGCGTGGTGAAGGTGAAGCTCTCGCAAGCCAGGAGACTGACGAGGCGTGACAAGCAGAGACCCATGAGAGGAAAACTTACAAGGAGGAGCATATCTCGCAACGCTTCCCATGAAAGGTCCTCACAGAAGGGGAGAACGATCTTCTTCACCTGACCACCATCGTGAATTCCTTCGAACCGCACGTTTCGGTGAGGGCCAAGGGCTTCGCCTCCTCACCAGCGACAGACGGTCCGGTCGCTGCATGGCATCCCTGAAGGAGGAGTGCAAACCCGTCGCTCCTCCCAGATCCAAACATCTCAACCCGGTGCAAGCGTCGAAGATCAGCGCCAAGTCCTTCCCGCTGTCAGTGCCAAGATAGGAGGAGGAGCAGGAGGGAGAAGCGGAGGCGGAGGCGGAGGCGGAGAAGGGGGAACAGGGGCAGGGGCAGGGGCAGGGGCAGGGGCAGGGGCAGGGGCAGGGGCAGGAGCAGGGGCAGGGGTAGGAGCAGGGGCAGGGGCAGGAGAAGGGGCAGGGGCAGGAGGCTCACCGAGCTTGTCCAGTCCACAGAGCGCATGACAAGCGTGTGCAAGGAAGAAGCAGATGTATCTATGACGTCGAGCCTGCGCGGGCCATCCCAGTCGAAGAGAACCTCAAGGCTCCTTCCTCCAGGCCGGTTCAACGCCTTGGTTCCTTGCAGGATCCCGTACGCTGACCGAGCTCGGCCGGTGACGATCTGAGCATGCTGTCAAGAAGAGGACGAACGAGGGGAAGAATCACCTCTTCCAGCTGGAACTGCGAGAGTTCGTAGAAGCTATCATGTGTGATGAGGCAGTGCGCGAGCCGCAGGGTTTTGATCTTCTTGCAGTGAGTTGCTATCGCCATGACGACTGCGATCGAGTCACTAGCCGTTGACTCGATCCCTCCTCTCACCTCTGTCTGTCAGTGCAGCACATCCGCAGACGTCGAAAGAGACGAGCGAGGGGCAGGAAGCAACAAGTCCACAGATGGCCTCGTCGCTCGTGTAAGTCTCGCTGATCTCCAGGTGCTCCAGCAGCGGCAGGCTGCTCCTGACGTCTACGACAGCTACATGGTCACAACCTGAGATCTTCAACTCTGAGAGGGGGCAGGAGCGCAGCATGATCGAGATTCCCGCCTCAGTGACCTTGGACGCCTTGGTCAGCACGAAGTGCTCCAGCAAGGCACAGTGAGAGGCGATGAGCCCCAGCCCCGCGTTGGTGATGCTTCCTCCGCACAGAAAGTCGGACCCAGTGAACCTCAGCGTCCGAATGTTGGGCATCAGGTGCATGTATCCGCAGGTGCTGTTGGAAGGGCTGCCCGTATCTGAGAGGTTGATAGAGAGGAGAGAAGGAAACAGCAGGCAAAGTTTGACAACCATGTTGTCAACAGACCGAAAGCTCGAAGACCTTCTTTCTTCACTTGAGCTGCACTTGACCAGCTCCAACACCTCCAAGTTCCTTGCGATCTCCCCAGAAACCTCGCAAAGAGCCCAGTCATCGAAGTCGTTGTCCTTAGCGCCTGCAACTCTGTTGCACAGATAGTCAGAGAGCCGAGGACGGAGACTGAGAAGCAGAAGCTCGAGACCACGGGAGGAACAACTACACCATAGCAATCAACGGATCTTGTTACCTGAGATGCGTGAGATGCTTGCACGTGCAGACAAGGGTGTGCAGACTTTCTCCCGTCAGGGTGTTGTCATACATGTGCTTGCCCAGCTTCTCAAGATCCAAGGAGACCAAGTTAGGGCAGAGCAAGCACATATTAATGGTTTCGAGAAACGATATCGAGGAGATTCCCAAGAGCTTCAAGCTTCGAATGTTCCTCATATCAAGTTGTGTCGTGCACTCCACTGAAAAACTCGACCATGGCGGCATGTTCACATCGCTGCATGGCGTGTACCTAGCAACCAGACACGTCTCTTCCCAGAGTTGCTTTCTATGAGAATTTACAATGTCGTGCCAAGATTTGCAGACTAAGGGAACACCCTTGGCTGGCGTCAGCCATGGCCAGTGGGGGAGGTGGCGAAATATTTCGACATGGAGGGCAACCTCCAGGGAGCTGAAATCCATGGCAAAGGGATATGATGCTTGCGCAGAGGGACGGATGAGGAGATATAAGAGAAGAACAGCGAGAGAGGAGAGGAGAGGGAGAGGAGGAGGGGAGAGGGAGGGGAGAGGGAGAGGAGAGAAGAGAAGAGAAGAAAAGAGGTAGGAGGAGAGGAGAGGAGAGGAAGAGGGAGCGGAGAGGAAGAGGGAGCGGAGAGGGAGGAGGAGAGGAGAGGGAGAGGAGAGGAGAGGAGGAAGCGGTGCTTGCAAGAGCTTAGCGATACGGGATCCTTGGGATCCCTTAGAAGGCGGGGGCCATTCAACCGAGGCGGGCCCACCAGCAAGGCACTCATAAAAGAGGGCTAGGGATGCACAAACAGCGCTCGCCTCTCCTCCTCCTCCTCCTCGCCTGCCCCCTGACGTCTGCGTTTCTTCTTCCTGGAGGCTTCAGGGCAGCCTTCAGCCATAGTAAGACCGCCTCTGCCTGTCGCAGCTCGGGCATCGCCCTCAGCATGAGCCACCAGCGGGATCTTCTGGTCGTTGGTGCTGGCACGTTGGGGAGCCTGCTGATACAGCAACACAAGGAGAAGTTTCCAGAGGCCCGTGTGGTCGCAGAGACAAGGTATGCTGACTGCTGTTGGTGTGGGGGGGATGGGGAGGAGGAGGAGGAGGAGGAGGAGGAGGAGGAGGAACTCAGACAGCCCGCAGGACTGACGCCAAGCACGAGGCGCTCAAGAGCTTGGGAGCAGAGGCGAGGACGGTCTCACAAGCCGGAGACGAAAAGTTCGCAAACGTTGTGTTCTGCGCTGCTCCAGGAGGGAATGATAACTATGCTGCGGAAGTAGATCGGGCACTGAACATGTGGTCGGGGGCTGGAAAGTTCGTTTTCACATCGTCAGGAGGAGTTTACGCAGAGAGCTCGGGAGGAACGGTCAACGAGCAGAGCCCTGTGGCGTCAAGTGCCAGAACCCAGAAGCTGATTGACGCAGAGAAGTGCACGACCGAGAGAGGAGGAAGCGTCCTGCGACTTGCTGGCCTCTACACGCTTGAGCGAGGGGCTCACAACTACTGGCTGAACGCAGGGAAGGTGGACGGACGACCCGACGGGTTGATCGGGTTGGTGTCGTACGAGGACGCAGCAGCAGCAGCTCTCACGGTTCTCAGCTCTGAAAAATCCGTGAAAGGGGAAGTGTTTGTCATCTGCGACGGCAAGGTGAGCCCGGTGCCACGTCACCTGCCGAAGGGTGACGGGAAGCAGGAACAAACGCGTCAAGACATATGTGAGTCAGCCTTGAAGACAGCCATGTACAGGTCAGCACTGAGAAGCGAGTGATGATGTCATGAGTATCTCCATCATAGGGACAAGAAGCTGCCTGTCTTCACCACCACTGAAGGCCCCATCGGCAAGCGCTATGACATCTCCAAAGCGCTGGAACTGGTGCCGTAGCTCGCGATGTAGCTTCGACTAACTGGACTTGTGCAGGGTTGGAAACCAAGATACCCAAGCTTCGATGAGTTCTGTGACCTTCACAAGTAGGCGACAGTCTGAAGCGGAAGATGGGGTAGAAGTGACTTTTACATCTGTTTCGAAACAAAGCTTCTCTATCAGAGATCCTCTTGTGCAAAGAAGACCAAGTATTGTACACCGCGCAAGGCATATCACGCAACAGATCATGTATAGTATCCTCCTCCAGGACCATAGTTGATGTTGTCGTAAGATGCAGGCGTTCTTGTCTCCTGCAGCACAGCCGACCGCGTCAGAAAACTTGAAATTCTCCTGCACAGCAGCACCACGGGAATGTCAGCCACGGCCCCTCCCATCCCCGGGGGATATTCATCCGATAGAGCATTCAGTGGCTGAGTCATCAACCATCATCAGTCAGGCCCATACGGTCTTGGGGCTGAGACGAGACCAACCTGACTGAATGTCCATGAATCGATGCATGTCCGAGGCAGCAAACATAAGTACCCTCCAGCCAGCAACACTTTAGATGATGTGCTGAATTCATCTGAGCAAGATTAGAAGCTGTAGATCCTACATGAGACTCTGCATTTTCCTACCTGGTGTGTCTGGAAGGCTGATCAGGTGAGGATTCCAGTGCATGATCTGATTAATGCTCACTCCGAACTGTCAGAGAAACGTCAAACCATTTTGAATCTTGCTTCCTTCTTCATCGTTGCCTGTAAAGCCAAATCTGTGAGCGAGTCTCCTTCTTGGATCTCGTATATGTTGCCAAGATGTATCAGCTGAATTAGACGGTCAAGGGTATGCATGTTGCAACCAAGTCCGCTGAAGACTACCTGCCCCTCATGAAGGACGTCCGGGTTCAGCGCGATTTCAGGGTTCACACTGAACAATTGCGTCCAGTGAGTGCCATGCTTGCTGTTCATGGAGCAAGTCAATGCCTGTATCACACAAGCTCATGCCTACCTTGCTAGGGAGGACAGAGTGTCTCCTACCTGGACGCACGTGCTGCAGAGCTGCACACTGAACAAGATGCAGTACGGTTCCGACGACTCCTCGTTATGATACGCCACGAGACATATCTCAATATCATTCTCGGCTCCATTATTCAGCCAAAACCATGACGGAGTGAAGAGAGAAAGATTCGCAGTCGCCGTTCCTGCCTCTGCATCCTGTTTCACGCTCAATTGCGCGCAGTGGAACACGCTCATAGGGTCATCGTCCGCGCCAGCAGAGAGACATTCTTTGGGTCTATCGTAGTGCGGCATCTCACAGCATGACCGGATCTGAGGGGTCAGCCAGACCCCCCTGCGGTACCTGCATGCGCCCGTGTGATCCTTCTCGCACATGTAGACTTGCGGAGCTACGAGAGGGTCGCTGGTTGAGAACGTGACATGGACAGAGCGGGAGCAGTGGAGAGCTGTCTCGACGTACTCTGAGTTGTTGAAGGAGGCGTTGGAGTGCACGAGGAAGCTCATGGCGCTCCCCTGCATCGCGCTGCTCAGACTCATGAGCGCCAACATCGCGACCTTGGCCGACATCGCATCTACCCGATCATCAAAAAAAGATAACGGATCCATCAAACGCAAATCAAAACCCTCCGAGTCTGCCTCATTGCGGTCCGCGGAGCCTCCGCTGAGTGCCGGCCTCACCCCCGGGCGCGGTCTGCTCGCAGTGACGGAGTCCGACTGCTCTAGGCACGTACCGCCATGCCGGTCGGCGACCTGGTAAGGAAGAAGAAGGGGGACTTGAGGGAAAGGAATGACCGGGAGGATAGTATGTGACAGCTAGCCTCAGGGAAGGCCGGAGAGATCAAGCTGAAAGTGTACAAATCAGCTGGAGGAGTTTGGAGGCTTCAATCCTGATGCGCAAGAAGAATCAGAATCTGAGAGCCTTGGCATGGGTTCGACTGATTGGAACCCAAGACAGCTCGGACATTTCCTGATGAATTCAAGATGTGGTTACTAGGCGAATATGACAGTTTCGAGTACAAGACTTTTATGCATTGCAGGACGTATGAGACGAACCAGAAGGGAGCTGAGCTCCCATTGTCTTGCTATCCTCAAGAAATTTCTGGACTCTTGGTGTAAAGATACCAACAGAGTTCCGCGACCTCTTCAAGGTGGACATGTGGAAGGACGTGATCGCCAAGGACGCTGCCTGCATGTCAATCTGCTTCTTTGAATTGGATCACATCTTTCCAAGTCCCGTTTCTGAGCCCCAAGGAGGAACAAGATCTCCAGACAGGATTGAGTCTGGATCAGTTCCTCGCACTAACAGTTTGCGTTGAGGAAATTTTTGATCATCGTGACCAAGGGTGCGAGATACTCAAGAAGATGCTTTTAGAGCACTTCAACTGGCCCAAGAATTTCTGGCGCATGCTCAAGGCACAGGTGACCGGCCGTGACTTGTGGACGTACATATTGCAGCATTTCCAACAATGTGTGCGCGTCGTGCAAGTGAAGCATCTGTGACAAGAGATTTTGGTAGACAGAAAGTGCAACCAGCCTTCTGTCGATGTTTCGCCTCTCGTGCAGCTTTAAGGCCAAGGGCATACAGATTAAGGGATTCAATATGTTGAGAGTCTAGCGATGAAAGGATATCTCAGAACTACTTTGACAAGCTCATCTTACTAGCCTCAACACGCTTATAATACACGGAGAAAAGAATGGATCTGTTGGCCGCACCATCGCTACTTCATCTACCCAATAAACCTTCGCCTGGCGTATCTTCCTTGAAGAGACACGACGGGCAAACTTTTGGTGACAGTTGTCTTTCTAATGTCACTGCCACCGGACCGTCCAATGTAGTTCCTGTCAAATTGTTCTTTCATCAGCATCGCACCCGAAACTGCATGTAACTGAGGTCGTACCCATTCTCGTCGAACCATTCAATTTCAGGCCAAACTGCCAACGGAACATACTGCCTCCAGGATGAACCATCCACGTCCCCTCCATTGAAGCTCTCTTTGTAGTCGTTGCCTAATGGACCTCAGTCAATTGTTTGCGTTGAAGGCTATTCAGAAACGGTACATACCATCGTAGCCGTCAGGGGTGAGGGAAAAGCTTCCATCATAAGGAAGAGGCGGGTAGTCAATGTCTAGAGACTGCGTGAAGGCCCTCTTCTGATACTCTACTGAAGGTGCAAGCAACTCTTTGGTTGACAAGACCGAAGCTATGAGAGCGAGGGCTGCCAACATGAGTGAGAAGGTTCACCGAGCATGGCCTGGTAGGCACAACTATGACAACATCATGCCCAGCTTTCCTCATAGCAACAACCAAATATTCACACGGCTCCTTGCCGTCTTCTCACCTAACAAAGCAGCAGCGGCTGCTATGCCAACCATCGCTCGGTTGGTATGCCGCATGCCCGAAGAGCCAGGCTGAAAACCACATCCCCGCGCGTAACCACTATTGAATCGGTCAAAACAGCTGCCGTGTCAAAACCGTTCAGTGAACTCGGAATCGGTCGGCTCACCGTGCAGGCACTGGTGTCGGCGGTCTCGGGATTCACTGCCGGTCACCATACCGGGCTGCCGGGCCCCTGTGCCCGGCCCGGCCGGGCCGTGCGGTCTGCCCGCCACTGGCACCGGGTTGGCCTGAGCTCGGATCCCGGCGGTGGGCCCGGCCCGGCCCTCAGACAACTGTGCCAGCCTTTGACGCCGACGGTCAACTGAGCACAGCTTATGGGTTCTTTACTGAACCGTAGTAAGTTAACTGGACGAGTCGAAGTGAGCGCGACATCACGAACTTGATCGTACGTGCCGATCATGATGCACTATCAGAGGGCTGCGAGCCCGACCACCTTGACCAATCCCTCGACGGATCCTGTCAGAATTGTGACGTTGCCTTGGTCCTAAAGGCGATCATAAGTTTCTGTCCCATTGTTATGATGGCAAACGTTCTGCTACCTGACTCCAATCAACGCAAGAGATCGTAGATTGCTGCTCCCCAACCTGCTGAAGCCTCGAGTCCTGTAGGAGCGTTCAGAGGGATGGGGGAGGAAAGGAGGCGAAGGCAAGGGGGGAGGGAGGGAGGGGGGGAGAGAGGGAGGGAGGGAGAGAGGGAGGGAGCTACCAGTGGATCGATAAGATGCGCAGCTACATAATTTCCCGAGCATGCAATCACATGTCTTCCAATCGGGCTCAGAGCGACGTCCATAATTGCTTCTTCATCCCCGCTGATCATCCGTTGAGAGAAGAGCTCCTTGCCAGGAGAGTGTGCGCTCCATTCTTTGACCTGAGAACAAGCATCATGCTCCTCATCCACACAGGAGGAGGCTGTTCGGCCCTACGTATCCATCTGCTCCAGCGGAGATGATGGTCGTTTCATCGTACCCAAACTTCACACAAGAAATCGCTGCATCATGCGCTTTCCACTCCATGATGGTACTGAATTCAGATCAGGTTCAGACGTGCTCGCTGCGATTCAGCCAGTACCTAGCGGACCTCAGATCCTTGAGCTGGATGAGATTGTTCGCAGAGACTGCAAGGAGTGATCCGTTGTGGTTGTGGTCGATGCCGCGGTAGTTGAACCCTTCCTTGGCATCGAGCACCTTTCATCCAAGAATCAGATGATACAAGTGAGGTCAAGGGAGCAGAGAACCTGGGTCTTCTTGCCGCCTCTCAGAGAAAAGACTTGTAGTTGAGACCACGTGCTCTGGCCATGACTTCACAAGAACATCCAAATGTAGACCATCAGTGTAGAACCTGCTTGTTGGAGCAAACTGCAACTACGGAAGAACCGTCTGGATTTGGGCTGAGGTTGATCATCTGATGATTCCATCTCTGTCTTTAGACAAAGACACAGCTGTGGCACACACGAATCTACCTGCGCATTCTGTTTGTCTGCTGAGGTCTCAAAAGCCATGTTCTTGGTGTCAGCATCCCATGCTTTCAGTTCACCTGGACATCTCTGGTCAAACCTCATGACCAGTCAGTGCATGTCCGAAAACCTTTCGCTGTGCCCATAAGGAGCAGCCTGTCGTAACGTTTTTCCCAAGATAAGGTCAGCGCCGGGGAGCTCAGGAAAATGGTTGCTGATCGCTCCATCTGCGCTGGTTCAGGCAACTTTTCATGGGCACATACGAAACCTGTGCTGCTCTTGCATTTGGAAGGACCTGAGGAATATGAGAGGAGATTTCATATCATCTCCGACTGTGATACCTGTATCCTGACAGACAGGTCTTGCGAAGACGATGCAAAGTTCCCACCGTCTCCAGAGAATCTACAACAAAGGACGCTGCTGCTGTGTCCCGGGAACACTCTGTAGACAGATTGTCACATACCACACCTTAGCTTTGCTTCTCACCTCTCATTTACAACATCGTACAGCGATCGCATACTGTCACCGGCACCTCGATCAGAACCTTGAGCATCGGGGTCGTTTGACGCTAGCGTCTTATAGTCCTGCTCGTCCGGACGACCCTGTGACTCCATACTCTCTTTCAGGCTCGAGGCAAAGGCCGTAGACAGGTCCAACAAGTCAAGCTTCTCCTGCTCCTCCAGACGCGCTGCAGTTGGGAGAGGAGTTTGTTCGACGCTATCCGAGGGGTTCAGAGTCGAAGAAGGGTTCGAACGGCTGCTGACCAGCTCGTCCTTAAGCGCCTGGTTCTGTCTGGTCAGATCTTTTACTTGCTTCTCGAGTTTGTCTATCTTGGTCAAGTTCAAGTAGCATTGAAGGATTGCTGGGACTGCCACCTCATGGAAAACAGTCGCCAACAAGTTATGCACACTGACAACTAACTGAGATGCCCATTCCTTGGTGAAATAGACCTGGAAGGCAGCATCCGAAGCCGGATCCTTCACGTAAGGGAGTTGAAACCATATCTCCCAATCCTTGACCGAACGAAAACTTTCGGCTTCAGTCTCGAGCACCTCTTTGACTTTATCCATCCGATCCGACTGGCAGGCGTTGACTAGGTAGAAACGTTGCAGCGAGCACTCGAGGTGTTTCATAACAGCCCAGAACTTGCTGCTCATGCGAGTGAAGAATCGTTCTTGAAGGAAGAACCACAGATCCATCATCGCCTGGTACTGGAACGACGTCAAGAGGCGGAGAAGCTCCTCGACTATCTTCTCAACTTGGAATTCGTGCAGTCTGTCGTTCTTTGTTTCTTGCAGGAACGACCTATGAGCTTGTATGAAGCCTCTGAACAAGAGATACTCTTCCACCACTCGGTCCGCCCATGACAGCAATGTCTGCATCCTCAAGCTTGCGTCTTGAGACATCGCCAGGATGATTGAGGAAAGAGAGTTTTCTTTGCAAAGGATACTTTGCTGTCGTGACTTACGACTGAAGCTCTGAATGCAATCTCATGAATCTGATCTTGTCCGAGATGTCTTCGTGTCACCTGCTGTTCGTTTCTTTCTCTTGCTCCTCACTGACTGCACGATACTGTTCCTTCCCTCTCGTTCAAGCTTCGCACCGCAGCATGTTCCGATTCTTGTCGTGGGATTCGAACTCACGGTGTTCGCATTCTTCACTAGTTGACAGAACTCTTACATCGTCCGATCCTTTCCTCTACCAAACGGCGGGACATCTGGTTCCCCTTCCCAGGTAACTTCGAAGAATGTGCAAGGATACCCAAAGTTTACTATTATCTCAATTATAGAATTGGTCTTCTATACCCCATATCCTTCCGGCTTCCTTGTAGGACTCCTTAGGGTCTGCCGCGTCGCGCCTGAAGGAGAACGAATTACCTGAACCCCACCCCATGAGGGGGACTCTCTTTCTTACTACCCTTCTCGGACGGTTTCACCCCCCCTCTTGTAGTTCAAAACAGGGGGTAATGGGTTATTTGGATACCCTACCCCCTGGGACTATACGCTTGAATTGGACCCTCTACCCCTGTTCTTCCAAGTTTGAACCCACCCCTTCCACATCCCTTCCTCCCCCCGCCGCCTTCCCGCCCCCTCTCATATGTTGCTTCCAGCTCCAGATATCTGATCGCGCATATCCTCCTCCTCTCTCGCTCCCTAGGATTCTTCTGCTCCATCTCCATCTCCTCCTCCTCCTCCTCCTCCTCTTGCTATGCAGTCTCATGTGCTTCCGCGGCTATGGGCCATGCTCCTCTATTTTAGTTTTTATGCCCTTGCTGACTTCGCCTACTCCTTCTCTTGCTTCCCATCCTCGTTTGTCTCCTCCTTTTGCTGCGTGTATGATATATTTGACCTCACTCGTTCTTTCATGCTCTATCCTTTACGGCTAAACGCGCAAGTGGATTTCTTCAAACTCCCTGTGTGCACTTGCTTCGCGTGTAACTGCCCTTCCCATCAGCGTTGCGAACCACTGTGCCTTTGACTGCAGTTTACACCTTGTTTGTAATGCTGCAGAATGATTGCCTGAATTCTTGAGGACAAAGATTCGTTTCCTGATTATTGGCTGTTTTTAATATCAGAATTGCCGATGCATGGGATATGTAGGAACAGCAACGACGTGAACGTGCATTAGAATCGGTGCCGTTTCCCCCGAATTGCACGTTCATATTTGCATATCACGATTGAATCTCACGCTTAGGTACTGACATGATCTGATTGTTTTTCGCCTTACTTGTGGCCAGTCCATTCAATTCGTCAACATGTCGAGAAATCGTCCAATGCAAAATTTTGTCCAAGCAGGTAGACTTTGGCGTGATTGCGAAAAGGCTTCCCTCTCTTTTGTCTTCAGTCCTAGTGTTCTGGGCCGTGATCAAAAACCATCCTGATCAAGTTGTCGCAGTCAACCAGCCTAAGGACTTCTCGGATATGATTCGACAACAGCTGGAGTCTGCTAGAATAGCGATTCCAGCAGGAAGGGAAATTTTGAACAGCAAGCTAGGGTAATGATCAATTTGTCTGAAACTTGGAATCGTTCTCAACTTATCCTCCTGTTCCAGGTATCCGGACTTTGAAATAGCAACCGGAAATTCAGAAGAAGATCAGCTTACGGATAAACGTCTGCGAGAAGGATACTGCGATCCAGCTGCAGGACTCTATGCTGTTGGGACCTCCACTACTCCTTTGTCCGAAAGAAACGACGAACATGGCAGTATGGAAGAGAAGTTTGGAAGACACGACTTTGAAACATTGCGTGAGTTTTCATCCACAGCATGCCTTGAGTTCTTCTCGCTGTCAATCATCTAAAGAAGTACTCAGCGAATTCTGACATCTACTAATAACAGGTGAAAAGCTGAAGCTTCCAAAGCGAGAGTCCAACAAAAGACCTCGCCGTGTGCGGCATAAATGTTCCTTGTTTCCGGAGCCGGAACACTTGGGAGAAAACACACTGATGAATTGGTTGAAAAGCCTTGCAGCCTGTGAAGAACCTCTCAAAGACTTAGCTAAACAGGTGAATTTGAATCACCGTGGTCATATTTTCCTTGGTATTGATACTTTGACAGGTACCGTACGTGAGCGGAAACAGCAGTTACAACCCTCGTGCGAAGGAGCTTTTGAATCGAATGACAGAGCTTCAAGTTCCTCTCCTGCGAGCAGTCTGGTTTGTGAAAGTGACGCTCCTGAAGCAATACATGGACGCCACTTCGCAAGTGCCAACCGAACAAGTAGACAGAAATATGGAGAGAAAATTGACTGATGCGTGGACTGAAACTATGACCTCATACATGCATGATCACTTCTTAAAGTTTGCAAAGAGTCGCGGTGAATGCGAAACTGGGATCCAGGTACGACATCAGACACCAAAAGAGTGGGCGTTAATCTGTCCTCTCAGGTTGAGAGCTTGGTTAAGAAGTGGGCATATGTTGTTCGTTTTGCTGACTGGTAAGGATCACAAGACTTGTATCGCCGATGAATTGTGAATTTACATTACGTGCAGGTGCTACCATGAAGGCATACTCAACCGAATCATTTACATGAAATGGGTTATTGATGAGTTTCAAAAGTCTGTGAAAGATCCTTTGACTGAAACTTCATGGAGCGCTGAATTGATGCTACCTCTCATTGTAAATATTTTCCCCGAATTGTGCCGCCTAAGGACAGAAATACCAGAGTTGATCCGGGTCTGCGTGAATCGTTACATGCGGGAGTGTGTATTCCTTCCAGGAACTCCAGGATTTGCTGTGGCATACCAGCAGGCTCAACAGGCTCAGCAACAGCAGCCAACACCTCAGGGGTCGCAAAATCAGCAGCCTCAGACTACTCCGCAAACGGCCCAGCAGCTTCCACCATCACAGCCCCCGCAGCAGATGTATGGTGCTCCCATGCAAACTGGTTTGCCAGGACCAAGAGGTCAGAATTTGCAGCAGCTGCCTCAGCAATCGATGAATCAGCCTCAAAATCTCAACCCCTCTCTCTTGCCTGGAGCTGCTGCGGCTGCGGCTGCTGCTGCTAATGCGGCCTCCACCTATGGCATTCTGATGGGGGGGAATCCAAGCAACCTATTATCTGCAACAGAGTCGACTGCAAAGCTTTTGCTCAACTTGAAAAAGCTGGTGAAATCGCTACTTCTGATGAGCCCGGAAGCATTCATATCCTTGCATCCTGAAATTCAGACCGCGTGGAGGTTGATAGAATCAGATGCTATCAAGTTCCCCAGATCTGATGGCAACCTGTTCGATTTCAATGGATTAAAGTTGGCCTTGAGAAAGGATCCCTTCACATCAGTAAGCTTTGTTTTCTTTGCAAGAAAGATTTCTAATGTTTTTTCAACTAGACCCCAACCTCATGGTTAAGTGTTGCGATGCCTTGGGTCGAGCATGAAAGAAAGATGAAGAGCCTGTGGGATGACTTGGGTCCTGGGAAGGTCCTTGGAGATCTCATCGATTCTCTCGACAAATGCTGTGCCGGGCGATCAGCTTGTGACATGACGAGACTGCGCGAAACATGGATTAAACCAGCAATGAACAGTACGTGGCAAGTTGTCTTTGAAGAGCACCGGAAAGCTAGAACGTTTGTCAAAATTGTTTGCGGATGGGCTGTCTCAAGGTATCGAGAGCATGTTCCTGAGGCTGTATATGTTGCAGCAAGCTTTCTGAAAGGCCTAGACCAAAACTTGTCAGAATTTTTCAAAATCGACATCAAGGATAATGATTCTCAGAGTGGTACTCAAAGCAACAGTCCAGATGGTCAGAACGAGTCAGCATCATCACCGATGCAGATGGATACAACAGATGAGAACGAATATTCCTTGCATGCCTACATTGAGGAATTCCTGGAAAGCTTCGAGCCTGAATCTGGGTATGAAGAGCCGGAAATGGATACTCTGGAGCGTTTGATTGGAGAGTTGATTCGAAACCGAGTATTTGATCACAACATGTGGATTTTCGGGTTGATTGCAAGAGGGGCTTTCCAGAAAAACAACTCTAGTAGTCCTGAGAACAAGTTTCGAAAGCATCACAGATTGCTTGCGAACATTCCCTCATATCCCGAAGCAAGGCATGATTCATGTCAACGACGGATCTTGTTGAGAAGCATCGGTGTGATGGACATGGGTCCATGCTCTTTGTTCTACGCCCTGAAGATTGTCAGGTATCGCGACGACGCGATAGTATGTATTACGTCGTGCGATGACTTTCTTGTGTACAGGTTCTTATCATGGTCAGCTTCTGACCTAGACCAGAAGAGATTGAAAACAACGCCGGGAACGGAGATCCTGGAATCATTCACGAACGCTGCAGCTGAGTTGAAAGCGGTATTCGCAAATGGGTTTTGCAATATCATCTGTTTTGACAGCTCTTGCAGATCGGTCGTTTTGACCCTTCAAGGATCAACGCAATCGAATGGGAAGAGTCAGTGAATTTTGTCTGGCTGCAGCACGAACGACATCATGATTACTCTGACGCATTTACTGATGGGGTACAAAAGAACTCGTTTTTACGTTGCATTTCCTTACATCTGATTAACAGATATTGTCATCCCGTGGTCTTTCCATACTGTTTTCATCTCTCTACAAGATCATGCTGGAAGTTCCTCTCTATGTCAGAGTTCAATTGTGCAGGCACATCGCGTCTGTCATTCAGTACATCGCCGACAGGACACGAAGTGTGGAGTTTGAGCTCATCGAGCCCAGCGACATTCCAGAGGATCTCAAGTTGACAGATGAAGTACTTTATCGAGCGATCACCTTGTTGGAGTGTGCGGGAGATCTGAAATGCCTGATTGCTCTCCTCGAATGGCTGATTGAAAACTTCCCTTCAGCCCTTGCAGCGATGACAATGTTCAGTCACCTCCGGACGATCAGAGCACTGGACATCGCCTCTAGAGTCTTTGATCTGTCGTTGACTGCCTTGCTGAAGACCGAGGCCTCAAATAAACAGAATGCTGCGATGGGCATCTCTGAACTGCTTTCTGCAATGATCCGACATGGCAGTGAGTCAGACCTCAAGAGCTTCGAAGAGAAGATGACTGCTAAAACGACCGGCTTAAAATCGCCTCTGGGACCGAAGGCAAGTGCTGTCAGCCAGCTACTGCAAGACGCACTAGAAAACAAACCAACCAAACGTCCTGACGTACACGCAAACGTCGATGATGTTGAACTCAAAGTGAGGAAATCTTGGTTTCGAATTATTTTGTTTGACCTGCTTCTCTCTAGGAGTCTATCAAGGCCGCAGAACAGCGACCGGAACTTTCTGACCTTGTTGGCAGAATATTTTCTGGAGGGCATACGATTCAGGAGGTCGCGGAGCAGATCAAAAAGCATGTTGCAGAAGCGAACATCAGTCACAGTGTTCTCGTAGCAGCTATCCTAAGGTGTGCTGTGAACGGCACTTTGAAAGAGATTCGGAGCAACTACAGGTGGGTTTTCTCGACGCTCTGAGATTGTGAGACACTGACATCATAGCCAAAAGATTCGGTTGCACCGGGTTTGCTCTTTCTTCCATGCTAAGCCTTCTCGCTGCACTGGAACATCACTATGGGAAAATGCACTTGGCGCGTATTGCGTTGAACATCGTGATGGACCGGATGTATGAGACTGCGGTTGTCCCAGCAGCTTCAGAGGATACTTCTCCGTCCACTGTTGACACTCCACAACCGCAGACGCCTCTAACTCCTGCCACTCCTGACAGTCTACCAAACCCTAAATCTAGGGTAGGAGATGACGCCGATCTGACACTGAGACAAGATGCTACCTTGGCATTTGTAGGAGGCCTACTCGCCAAAGGTCTTCTGATATGGGAGGATATTGAGAAGCAGGTCAAAGCCAAGCTTGAAGATGTTGTCAATGGCAAACACCCTCACTTAGCCAGACTACTCCTCAACTTCGTGGAGATGTTACTTACTGACAAACGGAAAGGGGCAGCGGCTATGATGATCCGGATAGACTGGCAGAAATTGCGAGTTTTGAGGCAGACGCAGCCGACTTTATCGGACGTATACATCATGTTAAAGTATCTTGTACAAATTATAGATCAAAGAGACTGGAAGCAACCTGCTCTCACCTGCATGCAGCAGGTAATTCGTGGAGGTTGTTTGAACTCGCTGATACTTGACAGGTCGTTCATGACCCTGGCTTCTGTCGGATCATCTTATGTGATGATCCGCGCTCTTTCCTCAAGGACTGCTGCAAAGCTTGTATGTTAACACTCAGGACAGCACCAGACGTCATCTCTCCATTCCGCTACTTCACTTTCCTTCCGGGCAACGGAAGCAGAGATGGACCTCTTGCTGCTGTTCAAGATGTCATTGCGCGTGTTGGCCGTTGGTCGCTCCATTACGATTGCATAGAGTTGAGGATCTTGGTCGACGCATGGAAAGGAGGACTTGCCGACCTCACCGAGAACATGCCTGAGCCGAACGGATGGAAAGCTATGGCGTCTCATCCTGCAGTGGACCAGGATAAGGTGAACAACTTCCAGTCACAGCTGTCTGACGACAAGTTGAACGAGCTGAACGAGGCGTTCTTGCGGAATCAAGATCAGATCATCGAGCATCATGTGGTTGAAATGCTGCTGGCTCAGCTCTGGAGGTCTCCTCGGAATGTATCTCGTGTCCTGGACTTTGCCAAGGCTATGGGACAGTCTTTCCAGGACCGAGAGCTCATGGGAAGCGGGGGCTGGTTCGAGGAGAAGATGGTGAGTATCGTACTCGCCGTCATGTCGTGCGAACCGATCGCCAAGGCGAACATGGGTATCGATAGCTTCTTCAGGGACTTCATCCACCCGAGCTCCTTGAACGCTGACAGAGGGAGTAAGATTGTGGATGACAACGAGCATACTGCCTCGTTCGAGCTGGCGCTGGTTCACGTCATCGAGAGGTACGGCATCCTGCTGCCCAACATCCAGCAAGATCGGGACGGAGCTTCGGTGCAGCTGTTGAGCCTGAGGAAAGATTGTATCTCCAAACTGATCTCCTTGATAAACACTCTGGTGGACCAGGCGAACTCTGGTGAATTCCGCAACGATTATCCACTGGAGGCTCAGGGTGCTGAAAGTGCCTCGTCATCCCAGCCCAACGTGGGGTCTTTGCAGCGAGCGTTGATTTTGAGGCTTCAGATGTTGAGTGCCAGCCTGGTGTACCTTCCAGACGAGGACCCGCAGAACAAGTCGCGAGAGACTCTCAAGTCCGTTATCGACTGCATCAAGTTCGTCTTCTCCTGCAAGACTCTCCTCGGATATGAGCTGGGCGATGGCGTCTATCGCACTGCCATGCTCATCCTCGACAGGGCGGGCTCAGGCAGGGACTCGCTTCTCACTCAGCGCGACAGCCGCGGCGTCGTCAAGACCATGGGCCAGTGGTTCCGCAGCGAGGCGCAGAAGGAGCTCTTGAGGATGAAGTTCCCCCGGCTCGTTGCTTCCAATCTCAGCCTGGAGCTGCCGGTAGGAGGCGTCAGCCTGACCAACGGAGGGTTCGTCAGGCAGGCTCCTCACGATTGGAACTACGCGGAAGAGACGGGAGTCTTTGGCACGGGCCTCTGCTCCTTCGACCAACTCTTCGAGCTGGACCCCTGGCTCCTCCTGGAAGACTTCCCTCAGGGGGTCCTTTCCCGCCACCTCCAGCAAGTCAAGCGCCGGCCCCGCAAGAGGCTAAGGTTCGAGTTCGCCAGCCCCGAGCAGATCGCAGCCGAGAAGGCGCTGGCAGAGAAGGCGGCGCAAGGTGAACCCCCCCCCCCCCCCCCCCCACCCCCCCCCCTCCTCTTCTTGTTCGTTTCTCCTCAGCCCCCCCCTTCTTCGTTGCTTGTATCTCCTCACTTTTATCTCCTCACTTCCTCTCGCAGAGAAAGAAATGGCGGCGGCGGCAGCTGAAGAAGTTGTCGAAGAAGTTGGTTTTGACGTCGGTTTCGTCGAGCCGGGGACGAGCATGTTGAGCGGGCCGAGCAACGACTGGCCGGGAGGATGGGGAGGAGGAGGGGCGGTGACAGACAGCATCTTTACAGACTTGGATCTTGTCTAGAGGAAGGAGGGCCCAACGATTGTTTGTATTTGATTCTAATTCAATGAAGACAGCCTGTCAAACTCTCACTCCCCTCCTACTCGCCCCCCACCTCCTTGCCCGCTTCTTCCTCAGCCGATGCAGCAGCCCCCGAGCGTCCTGCAGCTCCTGCCTGTACTTCTCCGACGTCGCCATGCTCACCCCGCAAGCCTCGCAGGCCTCGAGCGCTGCCGTCACAGCGGCTTCTGCCCTCGTGACTGTCGCCTCTGCCTCCTCCATCATCATCTTCTTGACCCTGGCAGGCTGCCTGGCAGCTCTCTCGGCCTCCAGCTCGGCAGAGAGAGCTGCTGAGACAGCCTGCTGGAGGAGGAGGAGGTTCGCGTGGTACAGAGCCTCCCTCTCCTCCATCCTGATGCTCCTCACCCTTGTGTTGTGGTTCCACCCGTCGGACTTCACCAGCTGCGTCGTCACTGTCCTCGTGCTCCATCCCACCTTGTTCCTGCAGCGCATCGAGAGCTCCAGCAGCTGATCGTCGCGCCTGCAGGGCAGCCGGTGGGAGCAAGTCACCTCGCAAGGCAGCACGATCTTGAGATCCCTTCCGGAGGCGAAGACGCCGGAGACTTCCCAGAGCTCGATCTCGCTCCCCCCGTCGTGGTCCGGGTAGCTCCACTTGAACTGAGCTGTGTTGTCGTCGAGCCTCTCCACAGTGAAAGAGGAGGGAGGGGACGGGAGGGACGGGAGGGTCCTTGCTGAGCACGCAGGGGAGTAAGGTCCCGCACCGACCTCACTGACGCATCGAATCTTGATCTCTCCCACGAGCTGCGCGGGCTGCAGGTTGCCGATCATGTACCCCTCCCTGTATGCCTCTACCCTGACCCCCACTTCCTCCTCCTCTATCCGGTACGAGAGCTCGTAGTGCAAGACCTCAGCTGCTCCCTTCCTCCACTCCACCAGCACGGCAGAGCACAACACGCCCTGGGCGGTGACGTCAGCGGGAGGAGGAGGAACAAGCGCGTCCGTGTGCAGGAGCAGCTCGGGGGTCGGGGAGCCGAGGGAGCTGCTGGAGTTGTACTCGTCTCCTGCTCCGTTCTTAGCGTAGAGGGTGAGGCGGATGGAGGAGCCTGGGGCAAGGCCCTGGACCTTGTGGACGAGAGGAACGTCATGGGGAACGAGGTCGGAGACAGCCGTGTGCATCTTGCAGGGCCTCGCGGACTTGAGCCTTGACTTGTCGTTGTCCGTCTTAGGGGAGGAGGAGGTGGCCCAGCCTGCCTCGTCGACGAGGAGCCCGAAGATGTAAGCGAGGCTCAAGCACATCCTGAAGCGAAACTGGCGGACGAAGGAGAAGAGGAGGAAGCCCTCGACGTCCGCGTACACGACCCACCGCTCGTCCTTCTCCGCTGGCACCAAATCCTGCAGTGCTCGCTCTGTCCTCTGCGCGAGCTGAGAAGGCTGACAGTAGAAGGGAGGGATGAAGATGCTTCGCTCCCACGACCAGACCTGCCCGACCTTCTCCTGCACGAGGATGACGTTGTTGTCGCTCCTGATCACCGGATACTGCATCGACGCTCGTTGCTGCACGAGCCTCGGGACTTGAGCATAGAACCAGCTCGCCTCGCTGAACCCTTCCCTCCCCCACCAGTCCTTCCGATCCTCCTCGCTGCTTGCTGCCGCATCCTCCTCAGACGCGCTTGAAATCTGCTCCTCCTCCTTCCTCCCTGGTCTTCGTGCTGAGGAGGAGGGGCGACGCGTGTAGCCCATGGTCTGCATCTCACGGAGGAGATCTTGAGTGGACACGTCTTCCGTCCGCGTCTCCTCGCGCTCCCCTCGCCTGATTCTCATCTCGATCCGGTATCCGATCACCCCGAACGGACTGTTGGACGTCACCGGCGGCATCCACGCGAGGATCGCAAAGTCTTTCCCGGCAGAGACGCACTCGAGGAGGAGGGGGGGGGTGGAAGGGAAGGCCTTGGTTCGCACTGACATGGGCTTGCTCCACACGCTCCACCCGGCCTCGTTCCTCCCGCGGATGCGCGCGTTCAGCTGCATGGAGGGGAGGAGGATGTCGGGGATGGACATGAGGCTCGTCGCGTCTGCCACCTGCTTCCCGCGCGTCGCCGTGAGCACCAGGCGGCTGGTGCAGAAGAAGCTCTCCTTCCACGTCACCTTCCCTCGGAAGAGGCGGCCGAACCGAAGGTCCTTGTACTCGAGCTCGTAGGCGCTCACCGTCGACCCCAGGTCCCTCGAGGGAGTCCAGCTGAAGGTCACGAAGAAACTCTCCACGTCGAGCGTGTGGAGGTCTTGAGGGGCGAGAGGAGGAGCAGCGGCGGTTGAGAACTTGACGGGGAGGCTGAGAGGGCTGGCGATCCCATGCTCGCTCATGGACTGCATGCAGAACTGATAGTGGGTCAGAGGCGTGAGATGCTCCAGGAAGAGGCTTCCTCCTGCCTGCGTCGCTCCCAGGGAGGAGTCAGCGCCATGCTCGTCCGAGACGTCGATGGTGATGGTGCGTCTTTCCCCTGGGGTGGAGCCGGTGCGGGAGGAGTCAACGGGCTGGAGGAGGGAGGTCTCGAGGAAGAGGATGAACGACTGAAGCCTCTCCTCCCTCGCATGCGGCTGCTTCCATCCTATCACGCAGCTCGTTGTGCTGATCGTCGACGGCTTCACGTGCAGGTCGGTGGGAGCCTTGGGGACGAGCTTGAGGGGCTTCTGCGGAGAGGCAAGTCGCTGCTTGACGCTCTCATGCGCCTCGTGGTGGAAGGAGACGACGTTCATGAGGCAGAGGAGCCAGTCGACCTGAACCTCCTCCAGCCGCTGGTAGTCGCCCGGATACTTCAGGTGGTGATCGTTCTCTGCCGCTGCTCGAATTTTGTCGCGCATGGAGGAGAAATCCATGGGCCACACGACGAGCTTGGAGAAGGAGTCGACAGTGGAGCTGGAGGAGAGGTCTCCCCCGTGAAGATGCACGTCAGATCGCGGGTCCTCCATCGGGTGCTGCATGTGGCACTCGATGTCCTTGGAGGCCAGGAAGTGAAGCATCTCCTGGATCTTCTCGTGCGAGCGACGCGTCGCCTCGTCGCGCTCCCACGCGTATCGTCCCAGCTCGAACATGGACTTGATCGGCAGGTTCCTGACCTCATCGTCATCACCTCCTCCTCTCCCCTCCTCCTCCCTCGCAGCTCACCAGTGCCTCTGCGCCTCCTCCACGTCTTGGAAGCGCTTTACGTAGAGCTGCAGGAAGTTTTCGTCTCCCCTCTCCTCCGCATCGGCCACCAGCCCCTTGAACTGATCAGGAAGCAAGCCTCTCAGTCGCTTCGCTTGCGTCCATCGCAGCCAGAAGGGCAGGTGCTCGAGTCGCTCCCTGAGCCTCTCCTCCTCCTTCTTGTCCTGCAGCTTCGTCAAGGTTGTGCGATGCTTGCGGAAGACGCGGATGCCTCTGAAGACCTCAGTCAGTCCCTCTCCTTTCCTCCGCATGTCAAACCTTGACCCGAGGTGAACGGCATGGCGGTAGAAGCGATTCGTATCGCCTGAGACAGCGCGGCAGTAGCTCCAGGTGTTGCAGATCATGATGAGGAAGTCGAGAAAGAGCATCTGCCATGTCTGATAGTGACCCGACCAGATCTGCTGTCTCATCTTTGAGAAGTCTAAGAAAGGAACTCCCTCATAGCCGGTGTCTACTATGCCCGCAACGAAGGGAATGGCGAACGGCTGTTGAGGTGACGTCAAGTTGGAACATTCAAGTCAAGATAGAAACATCTCACGTTTTCATCTCGATCCTCGATCGCGACATGATCACTCGATGATGAACCTGGTCGATGAATGATGTTGATGACTTCAAACAAGTTCTCCTTGTCAGTCTTGCTGATCTCATCTATCACTGACAGCAGGCCCTGCATGAAGTTGCGCTCCTCGTCTAGAACAGGCCTGTCGATTCACTCAGTCGTGATCGTTGCAATGGCATCATACCGGACATATTCGCTCTCATCGAACAAGAGCTCTTCCTTACTCGACTCTATCGGTTTCTCGTCCATGGCTTTTTTCTTCTTCGCCGCCACAGCAAAGGGATTCACCTTAGCGTGTCCCGAGCGCATCTGACGACTGTTCTCACGACGATCAAGAGCGCTGTAAGACTCACTTGAACGCATTCGAGGAAGAAGAGATAGTCCCTGGCAGCCATGGCCTCATACGCATACTTGACGTTTGCATTCAGAGCTTTCAGAGAGATGGGAAGGCAGGTCTCGAACAGACGGTGGTATGTGTATCTGTTGAGCGTTCAGACATCAAGTCAGAGCATGTCACATGTATCACTCACCCTGCTTTCACAAACAAGTGCAGTTGTTCTTTCATCCCGCACCAGTCAAGAAACGCCTCGAGCTCTATCCTATCATGCTGGCGCCGGACTGACAGCAACTGAGGAGAAGGCGAACGAAACAAGATGAATCACTTGAGTTGGCGGCGCCCAGCCACTGCTCTATGATCTCTTGAACATACCTGAGAGACGTTCAGCTGCTATGGCTCTGACATGTGACCTGGTCACCTGTAGATGGGAACAGACGCTGCTTCGATCGGCTTCCAGTTGCGATGGTTCACAACGTTGAGATCGCCTCCCATCTCCACCAGGTATTCACACACCGCGCTCTTCCCCCTCCTGCCATGCGCTCTCAGAGCTTGTTCGCCGCACTCGCACATGACCTTGCAGCCAAGTGCAGCGGAGAGTTTCCCTTGCAGTCTTGTGCGTTGATGTCTTGTCCTGCAGCGATGAGGTGCATGATACACTCCTTGTGACCTGAATCTGCAGCCCTGAAGGAGGATCAGCAGCAGGCGCCACAGGCAGCAACACGCTCGTCTGCTCTACCAGTGGATGGGCAACCTTCCGTCCTGGTCTCGCAGCCTTATGTTGGCTCTCTTCATGATCAAGTAGGAGAGACACTCGGTGCTTCCCGACAGAGCAGCCACATGCAAGGGGGTGAGTCCTGCCAGCTGACAGTGATCATGACATCCAGTCTCTCCTCCTCCTCCTACCTGATTCTGATGGAACATCGACGTGTCGCCTTGCAAGTGCAGCTGTTCCCTCTATCGACGCTTCCCTGCCGCCACATCAGACCCTCGGCTTCAGCAGACGAGCACGCGAGCAAGCAGCAGACCCACAGGAGCTCCAAGTCGTCCTCCTTGGCGGCGTCGTGCGCCACACACCACCCTGCTTCCTCCAGGGCCGCCATGCCCATCAACGGCCGGCCGACAAAGAGGCCTGGCGCTGCCTCCCCAACACTTGGCTGCGGGCACGTTCAATCAGGCTTGCCAGCGGCGGGGCCCTGGCCCGGGGGGGACCGGGCCGCGGCTTGAGAGCCAGTGAGACTGAGGGTTGTGAGACGCTGACCGGGCTGGGGCTGGTGACTGCAAGGGCGGAGAAGAATCAGAAGACTCAAAGACTCTGACAAGACTCGATGACCGTATGAAGCTACCGTGATGATGTGAGCTTTATCATTCAGATTTATTTCACAATTCAAAGATTCAAAATGACAACATCTGATCGAACATATCGACATCACATTGCGGGCATTTACACTGATGATAAACAAGAATATCCAACTAATGTATCATGATTCATGCACCCACTGCATATCCATCAATTCCTGCTCCATCCTTATTTCCCTCCTTTTCTCCTTAAGTTGTATACAGCCGTCCACGTATTCACCCATCTTTCCATCAAAAAAGCAGCGAAGTTCGAAGAGGTCAAAGCTTGTTGGATTTTTTGGCACATGCCCTCCCAACAGTAACTGTATCAGGATTAGTGGAAAACAAATCAACTCAATCATGGTGTGATTACGTGATGGACATCCAGGAAGAGATTGAAGAAAATCTTCATGAAGGGAGGGTGTTCCGTATGACACCTAAAACAGTCATCACGGCTTGTTCAAAGGAGTATTAGGTTCAAGAAATCTTACAGCGTGAAGAAGTCTTCGAACGAAAGCAAGCCATCCAAATCTAGTGTGCTGTGTGCTCGGATGTTTTTCAGGACCTTGATGTAAATCTTCGAGGGGGCAGGCCTCGTTATGAACTGAGAATATTCGATTGCTCCGCGTATGTGCATTCCATGGCAGCTACTCAGCACATCTCGAATAAGCCTTGCAACTGTTCTCACTGGAACTTGGACGTTGTCAATTCCAGATCGAGTATCAGATTGATCACAAGCAATCATTGCAAAATCTTTCTCAACAAATTTCGCTGACTTGTCGCTCAACAAAATTTCTCATCCGTGAATAGAGCCAACCACCACCAGTACCTCATCACATCAACTGGGCTTACGCTTTCACAGTGCATCTTGTAAAATATCATGAACTCTCGCAGGTCTAAGTTGCCGTCCTTGTCATTGTCAAAGCAACTGATAACACGATTTAGCACCAAGTTCCTTTCCGAAGGCCAACCCAACATCCGCGCAAACTTTGCAGGCATCAAGTGCCCTTTTTTGTTGGAGCATTGCTTGAACGTGTTCAGCGCTCGATAGCAGTCATGCGGTTGCAATCTGAGCCTTGTTGAAAACTCTCTCAAGCCCATGGAATGGAACCGCATATTTACATTTTCAACTCCTACTTTAACCTAAAAGAAATGGTTAGCTCAGCTTGGGTCCCTCGTTCATAAATGGCAAATCACCTTCCACAAACTGTCCATGACCTGAGTCTCAAGTAGGTCACCAGGTACTTCTTGCGACACTTCACTCTCGTAGCTTGTTTGTCTGCTCCTCAATGGAGGAGGAGCTTCCTTCTTTCTGCTGAGAATCACACCCATTCTGGTCGGTATTCCTTCAAGATTCTGATCCTTAAAGTTTTCCTCTCGATGCGTCCATACAGAAAACTTCAACCCTGGGCAACTCACAATCACAAAGAAGTCTCTGACTTCACGTGCTCCACTAGTCGTGCATGGAGGGTCTGATCTTCCCTTCCTGTTCCTCCTCCTGCTTCGCGTCTGCGTTCTCCTGGTACGATACTCTTCTCCTCGCTCCTCCTTTTGTTCCTACAGCACCTGCCAACCTCCCAGTCCCGCTCCGCAACTGGCAACCCCCGGGGTACCCTACCCCTGCCCGTAGCCTTTTTCTTCTACCCTCCCCTTCCCCCTCTGTTTACGTACCACCCCCTCAAGTCAAAGTCAAGTAAAGCTTTGAAGTACCCCTCCCCTCAGCCCCCGGGACAGCTATCAAACATTTTTAAATCCTACCGCTTCATTCCGGGCCCCCCGGCCTCTTCGCCTCAGCAAGTGTCGCGGTCACGTGTCCTCCTGTACCGGCAGCCGCTCCGGCCCGGGCCCCGGGGGCCCACAGTGGGCCACCGTGACTGCCGCACCGTTCAGTCACTGAGAGGCCGCGGCACTCAGGCGCCTATAAACTTTCAAAACTGTACGTCGGTCACTAGCACGGTGCGGCCCTGAGTGTACTCACGGTAACCACCGGCCAGGGCGACCCCCGCGGCCGGTCTGTCGGAGTACCGGGCCGAGGGGGGGTACCCGGCGGCCCCGGCCCTACTCACTACGGTAGGCGCTGAGCCGGGGGGGCGGGGCCGCTGGTGGCCGGGCCGGTAACTCAGTATCGGACTCCGGGAACAGACTGAGAGCCTGACGGTGACAGTGAGGCTGACTCGCCCGTGACTCGGACTCCCGGGTCACGCGGCGCAGGCTTTGTTAGCCTGCACTGTGCCAAAAGTAACTAGAACGCCAAGACCGAGTTTAATGCACACGAAGACTGTATGCTAGGATCGGGTGTGAAACCGGCGAAGCGGCATCCAGACATGCGAGGACCTTGCGGCAAGACAGTTAGCCTCGGAAAGCCCCCTCTCCCGGCCGGCTGCCGCGGGCGGCAAGAGAAATCCGCCCCAGAGAAAGACATACTGACATGAGCAGAGGCAGCGAACCATCGGAGTCAATAGAACTGAAATAGATAGAGATGTCCTCGGACTACCCTACCCCTCTTTCCATACGGTCCCCCACAAGAGTGGGGAGACTACCGGTCCTTCGGGTCATTACAAGTCAACGGACAATGCAGCTAGCTAGCTAGGGCTGAACTTGACGAGATTACTGTGACGGGATCGCAGCGGGTTGACATGAGCAGACCGTAGCCGAGTATTGTGAACATGAGATGGAGGAGGACAGTAAGAGGTGATGTCACACGTGGAGTTTGAAGTTGACGAGATGTTGCGACAGTTTTCAACTGAAGTCACTCGTGAGGGGGAAGGTTCAGTTAGATCTGACATGTTCTATGCAGGTTCAACGTTGGGATGGTCTTGATGGGATGAGGTGGCTGATATAACCATCACTGATATCAAGGGAACTTACGGAACATGCCGCTGAGAGGTCGTCGTGAAGTCTAGCTGACAGCTGATGGGGGTGGCAGCTTCATTGAGGGGCCCGGGCGAGGACTCGATCCCCCCTCCCCAACCAGATGAAGCTCCAGCAATCAACAATCAGAAATGCTCCGCAAAAGTCAAGATGTTATCCAGCCTTCTCAACGAAGAGTCTCGTTCAAACCAGGTATACTTGACATTGTTATTCAATATTTCCCTTCAAGCCCTTAGAGACAAACTTACTCAGTCCTCCTTTCAGAATGATGAGATATTGGCCGTGACATCTGACGATTCCTTGGATGCAACAAGCTCTACAAGTGACCAAGATGAGCCGCAGAGCCGCCCACAAACACGAACTTCTCGAGCATCATCAAATTTGGTACAGCTCACTGACTTAAAGGCTTCACGCACCAACGCAAGAAGGATGGATGTGAGTGTAACAAGGATGGAAGAGGGCCCTAGTGGAAGGCAAGGAGCATGGCAAGACAGCGTCTTTCAGATGGAGCTTGAAGCCAACGAGGAGCTGGTGCAATCTTTCCGACAACGGATGGAGGAGGTAATGAGCGCCATCATCCCTCCCCGCACTCTTATGCTTCATACAATGCAGGCTGAGAAGTCCAAGGCCGAGCTGGAGGCCGAGCTGGAGAAGGCCAAGCGTGAGAGTGAAGAGACGTTTCAGTCCATGCAGAATCGGTTAGATCAGCAAGAGCATGAAAACTTTGTGCTCCGAGAGAACGCGGTACATGTTCTATGCGCGATTCGATCTCATGCCTGATCTTTTGTGATCCACGTAAAGCTGAGGCTGCACAGAGAGCTTGACGCCATCCGGTCGACTTTCATGGAGAAGCAGAAGGAGGGGGATGACGAGGTAAATCGAGGTAGACTCTGCCAGCACTGAAGGAACGGAAGGTGAATAGACTTCGAAATGAGCTGCGATTAGCCAGGAGGTAAGGGAGGATTGTTCTCTTTAGCTTCATTGCGGTGGTTGTAACATCAACACGTCACAACATCAGGCACGAAGAGTATCTTTCTAAGGAGCTCGAGAGACAGGTAGCACCCTCGAAACTATTTCTTGAACCTGATCCAACACGAATACAGAAGCGAAATGCTGAATCCACCCAAGAAGAAATGACCAAGTATTATCAGGTGCAAGGAAGTTACTTGTTCCGCTGCTCTTTGATCCCCAATGCTTGCAGGATCAAATCGAGAAGTTGAAATTAGAGAACATTATGATGAGCGAGAGCATCGACACGATGGTGACTGGTATGTTGTAGATGTGTTGAATCCATCGGATGCGTTGATGACTGAGATCAGGACGATCCATCAAATCGATCTTTCAAGAGAAGTTGAACGAACCAGGTTCGGATTGACAAGGTCAAAGTAGATCGTTCAGGGCTCGACGGAGGAAAGCTTGCGCTTAACATGTAGGTTAGAGTACGAATGTTTATGATAGAAAGATGCGGAAAAGTTTTCCCCCCCCCCCCCCCCCCCCCCCGCTCTCTTCTTCTTCTTCTCCTCCTCCCTCTCCTCCTCCTCCTCCTCCCTCTCCTCCTGCTCCTCCTGCTCCTCCTGCTCCTCCTGCTCCTCCTGCTCCTCCTGCTCCTCCTGCTCCTGCTCTAATCGCTCCCTCCTCATTTACGTAGGTAGTTTCGAATGTCAGCATTCGAGCCACAAACCCAGACTGACCTGGGGTGGGTGGTCTTCTCCCACCTTGGTACCCACCAGGATGGTACTACGGTATGAAAAAAAGGGGTACCTATAAAGGTTGGAGGGATCCCCGTGGGTGGGGGGTGAAGGTTGAGGAAAGGGATATGGCGGGGAATAGGAGGAGTTTGCGGCGAGGGGAAACATGCGAGGAGGAGAGGAGAGGAGAGGAGGAGAGAAGTTAGGAAGAGGGGGAGAGGGAGCGCAGTCAAGCAAAGCCAGGAGGGAGGAGGGAGACGAGATACAAGGCAGGAAGAAAGACAGACGTTGATGCGCCCTTGAGATCTCCACGACGATTTCTTCCCTGCGACTACACAGAGTCTGGTCGACCTTGACGTGAGAGGCAAGATGGGGAGACGAGGAGAAGCAAACAAGGAGCAACAACAGGTGTGATGCAGCTCTTGTTCCCCTCATGTGCTGTCGAATGATTCAAGTCCGCAGCATCAGCGGCTTCGATGTCGAACGAATGTGGTTGATTACAGCATAATGAACGGAACTTGGGGGCCAATCATCTCCGACTTCAATGCAGTAGGTGAGAAACATGATTAACAAGTTGTCAAAACATGAAAACGAACCTGAACAGATCGAAATCTTCACAACAACTCATCGCCTGTACGTGAGAGGCAAGTGCCTGAAAGGCGAAGCGACGGGAAGGGGAAGAAACCTGTATCCAATGCTGCAAACAAAGATGTCAAGCCAGCAGCAGGGAAGGCAAGACACACCAAGACTTTTACAAAGCCTGAGAAGAAGCAATTGACGGGAAATCGGCTCCTGGCAAAGAAGCGCCTCAAAGAGGCACCAGACCACTCCAACGGCGACCCCACGTTAGAGAATAGTGGACATCGTGCTCTCCGCATACGGAACCGCATCAAGACGAGACTAACGAATGCAAGGTCTGCTCTTGGATGTGAACGAGCTTCTAGTTTCCTTGTGATATCTCAACAGGTACTTTCAAACGATGTTGGACGCGTATGAGCAAGACGGCTGGGGCCCATCATCGCATCGCAAACTGAAGCCAACGGAGGAGCTCAAGAAGAGCTCTGAGAGTCTCATTCATGCTAAGAAGGAGATCAAAGAATTGCTGAAGCAGATGGATCCTGCTAGCAACGAGCTCGCGCAGAAAGAGGTAAAACCTCGCTTGCACTGCTGCAACTGGGAAATTTGTTTGAAAGGCGCTGCAGACCAGGATAGACGAGCGTGAGTATGAGGCAGAAGGTCTTGCCTTCGAGAAGGTCTGTGTGGAGATGTATCCGAAGACGTCCATGATGTCCTTCTGCATTTTTACAGATCGTTTGCTCCATTTGTGGTACAGGCGACGCTCGTCGTGGAAACGATATTCTTTTGTGCGATTACTCGGAGTGCAATCGGGCATTCCATCAGAAGTGTCACCACCCTCAAGTGACGGAGCTTCCACATGATGGTTCCTCTGCCACGCAAGTTTGTTCAAGGTTGTTCTTATGCTCTTGGCAGATGAAGACTGGTTCTGCACGCACTGTCTCTGCTACACAGACTGCATTGAAGCAGTGAATGAGCTCTTCGGTACACATTACACGACGTGGGAGAAAATGTTCCCTGAGTTGGAAGAAAATGCATCGAATGAGTTGTCATCGGAGGAATACAACTCTCAAGAGGTGAATCGGCAAAACCTTGTTTGTTTCCATCTAACACTGCTTATTCAGGACGATGATTACGATCCTGACATGGACGAAATTTTGTCTGACGACAACAAATCTGTTCACTCTGAGAGTGTTTCTGAAGAGCATTCGGACGACGAAGACTCCGATAAATCTACCGACGAGCCAGAATCGACCACAAAGAGTGAGAACTGATGAAATTCTTTCAGGATAGTCCGTGACAGACGCCATTTGTGCATTTGCAGGAAAGAATCAATCTGTCTTGGCGAAATTGCTCGCAGCAGCAAGCCCCCCAGTGAGCCCGAGGGGTAGGAAATCGAAGACGTTGAAGAGGAAGAAGTCAAAGAAAGAAAGTGAGGGAAAAGCGTCGAAGGTCAAAGTGAAGAAGCCACGAGGGGAGGAGGGGCAATCGGCTCGAAACTCGTCGAGTCTCGTCGAATGGTATCAGAACTGGACTGTTCAAGGAGCAGCGGTGGAAGAGTCAGACGACGATAATTACGGTGAGACACGGGCGAAAGATCAAGATGTCAGATGTTGATGAAAGGGATCGTATGGTAGAGGTGAAAGATCAAATGTCAGATGTTGCTGACAGAGATCGTGGTAGAGATGAAAGATCAAGTGTCAGATGTTGCTAGTAGAAATTGCCCTGACAAAGATGGTCTGATAGATATGTTGCTGAAGTTGTTTTGCAGACCCGGACTTATCCAGTGACTGTGGGGAAGGGGATGACGATGCTCGACCTCAGAGCAGCAAGAAGTCGAAGAAGACAAGAGCGAGACGAGCGTCGGCTGCTAAAGCCATGAGCTATTTCGCGACCCTTCCCGACTAGCAGCGATTCGATCGTTTGTTTCTTATTCGCCTCTCTTGTTGTTGAGATATTTACAACTCTGACGCTTTCGAGGGCTATGCGTCCTGCAGCTTCAAATCGAATGCTGCACCCTCCTCCCTCTATTCCCTCTTCTCCCCTCCTCTTTCTTTGTCTCTTTCCCTGCTCACTTGCCTCCCCTTCGCTTGCGTGGAGTCTGTGGCCCAGTCTCGTACTGTGTCGGGTCTTGTCCTGAAGCTGCAGGGGAGTCAGAGAGGGAGCGAGGAGGCAGCAGCACCGTCAACCGGCTCGTAGGAAGCCATAGAAGAGAGGAGCAGGACACATGACGCGAGATTTGAACTCCGGATGAAACTGCGCAGCGACAAAGTATGGATGTTCGGACGAATCGTACTCAACGATCTCCATGCGCTGAAGGGGGAAAGTGAGATGTTACAGCAGCTGCAAGTGCAGACGATGATGAAGAAGACGAAGTAGAAGGAAACATAGAAGCAGAAGGAGATGATGATGATGATGATGATGATGATGATGATGATGATGATGATGATGGTGGTGGTGGTGGTGGTGGGTGGTGGTGGTGGTGGTGGTGGTGGTGGTGGTGGTGGTGGTGGTGGTGGTGGTGGTGGTGGTGGTGGTGGTGGTGGTGGTGGTGGTGGTGGTGGTGGTAGTCAAGGAAAAGTTAGCTACCTGTCCAGTTTCGTCCATGCCGACAAACTTCAAGCCTGATTTCTCGAGATCCGCGACTTTCTCTGGATTCACTTCGTACCTGTGCCTGAAGAAAAATCGGTTGGCGAAAGCAAACAAGCAAGACGAGAGAGAGAGAGGTTGAGAACATGGACAACGCAAAAAAGAAGAGGGGGGGGCAAGGGGGGGGAGAGCAGAAGGGAAGAAGGGTTTGAAGGAGAGGCAAGCAGTGGTGCAAGGAGGAAACATGGGAGGGCAAAGGATGGCACAAGGCCAGCCACGTCAAAAGCATCTTCACCTGTGTCTCTCGTCCACAGCAGCGCCATGATACAATTTAGCTGTAAGGCACTGGCAGGAAGTGAGGAAGAGGAAGAGGAAGAGGAAGAGGAAGAGGAAGAGGAAGAGGAAGAGGAAGAGGAAGAGGAAGAGGAGCCTCTACCTGCTCGTCCTTGAGGATGGTCCTCCTCGTCCCGAGTCGCATGGTGCCTCCCATGTGGGTCTTCGATCCTTCAGGCATGAAGATGATCACCTGTTCAATCACCATGAGCATGAAAGAAGAGAATGAGCGAAGATAGTGACAGGGAGGAGGAGGGGAGGGCGGGAGGGGGAGAGGGCTCGGATGGAATTTGTTAGGGGTGAGGGGAGCGGGAGGAGGATGAGGAGGTGGAGGGAGCACGCACTGGGCAGGAGGTACTCTTGTCAAATTCTTCGCTCTTCGCGTCCTTCCATCCGAGGAGGTTGCGAGCGGCTTCGATGACAGCGAGCTGCATGCCAAGGCAGATGCCGAGGAAGGGCTTCTTCTGGGTGCGGGCAAACTCAACAGACATGATCTTCCCTTCCGTCCCTCGGTCTCCGAAGCTGATGACGTCATCACTTCACAGCCACGTGACATCGACGGGCTTACCCTCCAGGCACGAGGATCCCGTCCGCATCCTTGAGAGCGTCCCACGCCTTCTTGCTGTTCCCATCTAACAAGAAGATGAGCTACAGGAAGAGGAAGAGGAAGGGGAAGAGGAAGAGAAAAGGAAGAAGAGGGAGAGGAAGAGAGAGAGAGAGAGAGAGAGAGAGAGAGAGAGAGGAAGCGAAAGGAAAAGAGAGAGGGGCTAGGGAGGGGAGAGATGAAGGGGCATATCACGAGTAAGAGAAAGACGATGGAAAAGGCAGAGAAGGAGAAGGGTAAGAGGATGAGAAAGCTCCCACCAGAAGGATTGCCTTCTAGGTCTTCGGAGAGGACCCAGCTGATCTCCAGCTTCCGATTGACGGCGATGGCGGCATGCTGCAGAGCCTTGCAGACTGAGAGGTAGGCGTCGGTCCCGCTCGTGTACTTGCCAACCAGAGCGATCTTGACCTGAGAAGCACAAAGTCACTGCAAACTTTGCGCAGTTGCGGCACTACCGGGAGCTCGAGGCCGTCGATACGCATGCAGAGCTGTTCCCAGGGAGAGATGTTGGGCATTCCCTGCGGGCTGTCAATGACTGCCGTAAGCCCGTCAGCAGGCATCACCTTGGGAAGGTACATCTTGAGCTTGTTCGAGATGATCTCAGCAACATTCTGCGACTTGAGGAGCAGCGGGACTTTGTAGATGTCGCTGACGTTGTGAACTGAGATGATCGACTCAGCTCCGACCTGGCAACAAGGACGGTCATTCAACCCTCCCTTGACATCGACGAGGACCTGGCAGAACAGCCCGAGCTTCTTCCTCTGCTCGCTCTGCAGCTCAGTCTCACACCTGAGACCAGCATCAGCGAAGATGGAAGCAAGATCTGCGAAGTTACCTGCAGCAGATCATGTCGGGAGCGAACCCAGCGGATCTCAGCTCCTTCACAGCATGCTGAGTTGGTTTCGTCTTCTGCTCGTCTGACATGGTCGGGACGAGCGTGACCTGCCTCACACCATCAGTGCTCGTGATCAAGTGTAAATCTCTCTCTCACCCCCTCCCTCGCTCCCTCCCTCGCTCCCTCCCTCGCTCCCTCCCTCGCTCCCTCCTTCCCCCCCCCCCCTTCCCGCCCCCCGCTCTCTCCGCCTTGCACCTGAACGATGAACATGTTCTCCGGTCCAAGTCTGTACTGCAACTGGCGGAGAGCCTGGAGTTGAGCGTCAGCCGGAAGGGCCTCGAAGCTTCAACCTCCTCACCTCGATGAAAGGCATGCTCTCAATGTCTCCCACCGTTCCTCCCAGCTCGATCACGCAGACATCAGCCTCGCAGCCTTCGTCCTGTAGGATTGACATGAGCCTCTTGTAATAACAACCCCCCCTCTCCCCCGATCCTCACGTGCGGATCGGTACCAGTCTTCACAGGCTTCGAAGCAACGTTTTCAATCCAGTCGGCAATGGCCCCAGTGATGTGCGGGACAACTTGCACGGTCTTGCCAAGGTATTCTCCCTTCCTCTCCTTCTCGATCACCAGCTTGTAGATCTTGCCAGTGGTGATGTTGTTGTCGGCAGTCCTGCAGAGGAGCATGATGAGCATCGAGCCTTGAGACACCGCAAGGCACTCTTACAGCGAGATGTCCAAGAATCTCTCATAGTTTCCAAGATCAAGATCCGTCTCGCCTCCATCATCCAGCACGAAAGTCTCGCCATGCTCGAATGGCGACATAGTCCCAGCGTCAACATTCAGGTAGGGATCGATCTTGATCATGTTCACTTTCCAGCCACATCCTTGCAAGAGCACGGCAATGCTGCTGGCTGTGATGCCCTTGCCGAGCCCTGACATGATCCCACCAGAGACGACGACGTACTGCGGCAATGGGATGTTAGTTGAGACCACCTGTACTCTAACAGAATCTTGAAACCTTCATGTTCGCCCTCCTTTCTGTCTCGCGCGCGCGTTTCGCCTGTCCCGCGTCAGACCTGAAGGAGCAAGTCACCAAGGAGACATGGCGAAAACAAGTCTTACGTGTCGTTTGTTCGCTTGCTCATGGTAGAAGCCTCTCCTCTGACTCCAGCAAGCTGCAAAGAAGAAAATCAGCAACTGCATGGTCATATGTGTTGTCAAACATTATCTCATCATGTCCTTTCCTCTCCGTCATCATCCTCTCTTCATCTGTACCATCTACCTCCCCTTCTTCCTGCCCCTTCTCTTCCTGACCTCTTCATCGAATCCTCCCTATCTTTTCACGCATCAAACACCCTACATTCCATACCCTCCTCTCCATCTGTCATTCTATCCTCATCAAACTTCCTCCTCTTCCTCGTCCTCCTCTTCCTTTCTCCCACCATCGTCGCCCCTCCCTCCTCCCCTCCCCTCTCCGCCGTTCCCGCCATTGAAGGGCACGTGTGGCCTCATCTCCTCCAACCATCAAATCGGGCCCGCCTCAACATAAGATGGGAGACTTTTGTAAGACAGCAACCCCCTCCGTTCATCTGCCGCACTGCCCGGACGGGGGCCGGACCCCTCAAGGCCCGGCCGCACTTCTGGCGGCCCGCGGGCCCGCCGCGCCGGTCCGACAAGTCACTGACTGTGACTCGGATTACCGTACTAACGGCGTGCGGCTAGACTTGGTGCTAGACGGTACGGCCCGGCCTAAGCCCGGCCCGCCGGACTACTTGTCACGTTGACAGTCTAGTATACGGTACGGTCAAGGTGCCTGAGTGGTACAGAGGCATCGAACTTGTACCCACTGTCAAGTGCAAGGTTAAAGATACTACCGATCGGCACGGTGATCCTTGTTTCGCAATGAATTCCCCAAAGAAGCATCTGAGTGAATTTCGAGGCTCCACGTTACAAAAAATTCATTGCTGGTGCATTTGCGTCATTGTTTGAGTCGGAGCGTCGTGGCCCTCCTGTCCTTGTGCGCTGATGAGAAAATCAGCCGTCTCACTGAAAGTGGAGTGACTAGCAATTCTTTCGATGAAGTCAGAACGTCAAACCGAAAGTTGTAGATCTGAGCTTCTTGCAGAGGATCCAAACCATCGTTACTCTTGACGGTCAGTGAAGCACCTAGGTTGAGCAGGCTGAAGACCTAACATCAGTGCTACCACAGCAGTCCAGGACGTCTCACCATGCGCATGCCTCTGTTCTCCCTTCCATGGCCGCATAATGCAATGGAGTTCGACCAACGCTGTTGACGCAGTTGATCTCTGCTCCCAGATTGATCAACAGCTTCACGGCTTCAACCTTTGAGGTTAAGATTCAAACTTCAGCTCATATCAGAAAGAGAGAGGAAATGTCATACTCGTCCTTCTAATGCAGCAAAGTGCAAAGGCGTGTCTCCAAACCATGCAGAGTCTCGAGTACTGATGTCCGCACCCTCATGAGCCAGGGTCTCGATCCGAGAGCAATCGCCCTCTATGGCCGGTCAGACGAGCTATGGGCTCTTTAAGACGCATCAACCTGCTGCTGCTGCCAGCAGCTGGAAGGACAGCATGTCAAGAGGTTTATGACATGATTCTGAGATATTCTTGGAAGCCTAATGAAAATGCAGATCGCTCAGAACGCGGCCACTTAAGCATATCACTCACCCAGTCGTGGAGGGAAACTGGCAAGGAGTGGTCATGGTGCTTTTTGACAGTTCCGGGGAGCTTTGGAGGGCATGAATCAGACTTTTGTACAAGCCAATGAGAATTGTAATGTACGGCTTCTCTCAACAATGTCACCCGCAAAGTTGCAATCCCCGTTGGGTCACTCTCATCTAATACAAGCATGAAACAAGTCAGCAAGACTTCTCATTAATGTTATGTCTGTTTGTCACTTGTATGTTTTGCCTCACTAGAGCGTTTAATCTCCAATTCTACCGGGGATCCAACATCACCCGTTATTCGCTGTCACCAACGTCAGTCGTACCAACAAGATTTTAAGCTCCTGCGAGCTGGGGCACGTTTGCAATATTCTGCAGATACTCATCCTTGTTTGGAAGGTCTCTGCAGGAAGGTAATCTCCACCCATCAACGGCTAGCAACACATCCCCCTCCTACAGGTCAAGTTGCCGATCAGTTCCAAGGCGACACTTTACGTAGGCTTCACCATGATTTGCCCGCTCCTTTGGGCAGCGCATCCCTCCACCAAATGACTGAAGATCACCTGCGCTGCATTTTGAGTTCTCATAACATATGCTAGAATTCTTCCTACCTCATTGGCAGACGAGATTGAAAGGCTAGCGCCAATACCAGCCTTTGTCCTTTCTGCAACCGTGTTGTTGGCTTCATGTACACTGGCGGAGCCTCCCCGCAATCGAAGGTGATTGTGGCACTCAAGGAGAGAGATTGAGATGTATGTAGTTGGTGCTAACAATACAGCTTCGAGCCCTGAGAACAAGAGGAATGAAGCTGCGAGCTTGAACCCAAGTAGTCGACCCATCCAGCTCACCTCCAAGTACCCACAGAGATGAGATGAAGCTGACTGATCTCACACAGAGGGACAATTTCTGTTGACATGACGGCTATATGCTATCAGCAGGGAGGAGCGTAGGCGCATGGAGCCACGGGCGCATGCCGTTCCTCTCCTTCATCGCACCACCCTACTGAGCCCGAGCATGGCTGATGGCAGAGACGCATCTTACTAGTGCTGTATGAGGGATATCATCTTACTGGGGTGCGAGCACGATGCTTTGTTTTGCTGTCTTCTTTGATTTTCTATATGCCTACCTGAGGCAGACTTGATGGAAATATATTGACAAATAAACTCCCGTACCGCACGTGAAAAAGCAGCGAAATGTCAGGTGAGTGGAGACTGTCTTGAGGTTTCTGACAGCAACTTAATCCTGCATCTTCTTAATGTCGTACAATGTATATATTTTATTCAATGATTGTGATATCTTGCCGAACCAAGAATGAAATGTGTGAGAACTGTGATTTTTATGGGTGAAATTCCAACAAAATCTCACGAGCTTTTCTTATGCCAGATTCCGAAAGCACTGGAGATGAAGGAGAAGAAGAACTTGAATTCGATGAAGTCGAAATGGACCTCGAGCAAGAGCGAGCATTGATAGATCCTGAGGTAAGGCTAGAGTCATTCTTACGGATTTAACTTCAAATTCTTTACCTTACAAGGCTCCATCCAGATCTTGGAGCTACACGATGCGATAGAGAACGGCAATGTTGAGTTAGCGAAGGAAAAGTGAGCTTACCTTTACTGGGTCTGTCGCAGAATCTGAAATTCTTCCCATCTCTTCTCCTTTTGATTCTTGCAGACTTGACAAGGTGCCCCTGAATGCAACAGGAGTCGATGGAGACACGGTATGACACATTGAACACTTCCTGACCTACATAATCCAATGGGCCATACAAAGGTTGAATTTGACAATGCTGGGCTTGCCAGGCTTTACACCTTGCTTGCTTGTACGGAATGAAGGAGATTGTCGGTAAGTGACAAGGTGACTCAGTTTCTGTGCATTGAAACACACGTTCTTCCATTTCCAAGATCTCCTGATTCAGAGGGGTGAAGATGTGAATGCGACAGATCAAGAGGGTTCCACTCCCCTCCATGACGCGTGTGCAGGCGGTGAAGTTGTGTCGAATGATTATTTGTGCATTTTCAACTCGGGTGATTGTTTGTGCAGGTTATTTCGAGATTGTTTCTGCGCTTCTTGAAGCAAAGGCAGCCGTGAATGTAACTCCATTGATCTCCTGTACGGATTTTCATTCACATTGCTCCGTTCAGGTCGCAGATTCGGACAATGATACCCCTCTACACAATGCTACCAACGGCGATCATATCAAGGTCGATTCATTCTCAAGGATAACGTGTTCCTGGAAGGTGTTTGATACAAAAACAGGTAGTGCAGCTGTTATTGTCGGCAGGGGCAGATAAGAAAGCTGAAAATGATGCCGGGGAGACGCCAGAAATGTTAGCACACGATGACAGCGTGAAAGCATGCTTCGTATGAGTGAATGCACGATTCTTTACTATCTACTGTGAGTTGTACGAAGGTTTCATCCCATTCTGGATCTTGCACTTTGCTCTTCAACCCTTATATGCCCGCAAACTCGAAATCAAGCCAGCGTCATTATATTCGATCACCTATCGAATGATCATCAGAGAAAGAAAGGGAAAGCTTCACAATCGTACATCAACGACTTTCAAAACAGTCTTATCGGCATCGTTGACATGAACAAGGATCTCAGCCGATGCCGTTGAAGTGGCAGCTGAGTAGTGAATCTTGAGAACTTCGATCTGAATGCCAGGAGCACTCTGGAAGATCTTTCCGTTCGCATCAGCAACATTCTGGGCTCCCTTGACCTCAACCTCCCAGTCTCGGAGAGATCCATCATCAGCAAACATCTTGCCAACTCCTTCCTTGTCGTGCTTGTTCCATACCTCGAAGTACTTCTTCACGCGGTCCTCGGCCATAGCTGTTTCCCCTATCACGATAATTTGAACCAAAATTTGAAATTTTGACATAGATCTAGACATTTTTTGAAATGTGACATCGGCCGGCTTGAGCTGGGCCCAGAATCTTTCCGCCGCAAGACCGCCGGCCCGGCACTGTATGCAACTCGGCGGAAGCAGCCCGACACTGGCCCGGCCCGTTACTAGTGGCTCAGAGATCCTTGAGAACCACCCGGGATTTTTACCATCCTGGTAGGGGTCTTCAGGGCTCATGTCCCTTGCTCTGCCATAAACGGCACAGCTGTAAGTTGGGGGTAGGGGTACAATTTTTCCCTGCGTAGGGGTTGCAACTGTGGTGGAACAATGCTGCGAAATGTTAAAGAGGGAGAAGGTACGGCGATCCAACTTAGGGTCTCAATTATATGTATTTGGAGATTGGAGACTCAGATTTGCGGATAGCTGTTAGCGATTCGGTTCAATGATTAGGGGGGTAGGGGGTAGGGGTGTAAACACCCCCAATAGCCGCTACTCTGAGACAAATGTAGCAATGCCAGGGTGGGTTCACGACTTTGCATAGGAGGGGTGGTATCAATTTATTCTTGTTTCATCAATTGACTACTCAAAAATGTGTGGTGGGTAGGGGATCGCAAGGTTTTCATGGAAGGGTAGGGTGATTGTTGGGGGGCAGTGTTTTTAACCTCTGCAAATTCTTCCAAAGTTTTCAGTGCCCTAACTAAAAGTGTTTTTAAACGGCCTCCCCATCACTCGAGATCTTTATTTAAGACTACCCCTATTATTAAAACTATTCACCCATACCTTGTAGGGTTCTCTCAACAGATATGATGGGGTAGGTGTGACGCTCATGCACTGATGAGCGGGGTCATCCGGCACCTGCTCTTCATTTTAAGCTCTCCATCCCTCCCCTTCAAGGGCCGGATGAATACCCCCCACCCCCTTCCTATTCATCTACCCCAAATACAAGACCAAAGAAGCCCCACCCCCTTTACTTCCATCGAACACCATCCGTTGACCCTCTATTTATGCCATCCACCCCCACCCCCACCCCCACCTACTTCACTCTACAGCCTTCGCTGATCAGACCCTACTTACACCTACCCCCCTTCGACCAGCCGGATCCCTTGACCCCACGGTACCTCCATCTCAAGATCCCTGTTGACTACCCCTTGTTTGATCATGAGTTGAGGTGGTGATTGGATCGGGGACTCTAAGCTATGTTGGTCCCCTAGGGGTGGGTAAGTGGGGGAGCTCGAGATGGAGGGGGAGGGACCGGAGGTGAGCGGGTAGGGTCGCCTGCACGAAGGGGTGGGGTGTGAGACTTTGATTATTTCTGTGGAGGTCAGCGAATCGTGTGGGAGGGGTAGAGGCAGGGTTATTGAAGGGTACCAAGGGGTCTTAGCCCCCCTGGGGGTGGGTAGAGATGGTTTTTAGCAGGGTAGGGATTTGGTGTACTGCAAAGGTGGCTGATGGGATGCATGGCGAACGAGTAGAGGCCGTGAGGGGCAATGGGGAGGAGAAGCAGCAGGTGGAAGGAAAGAGAAAGGAGAAGATTTTTCAGATAGTGAGAAAGAAGGCACGAAGAGAAGGAAGGAGGGAGGGGAGTGAAGCGAAGATGGCTGTATGACCGGGGTCGCAAGCGTTCAAACGGAAAGTTTGCTGACATCGCAGCCTTACAATGCCAGACAAAACCATGGTTTTCTTGTATATTCTTGAGTGATTTAGATAATGTCAAAGAATTGGTCCTGTTAATGATTGTCCGACTGCAAATGAGGCTTCAGATGTCATCAGTTCAGTTTCTGCACGAGAAAGCTAGCAAACCTGTTCTTTACGTTTCTGTTGCCATTGTAAGCGCAATATCTGTGGCTGGCTGGGCATAGGTGTATACGATCACAATTTTGGAATGTTGCTCGTTTGTAATCTTTAGATGAACACCCAAAGATTGATTGCCAATAGGCCAGTACTTCCGTTTCTTTCTTCGCTGATGTTGATTTGCAACAGGTTCACTCAGCTGCACATAATTCAAGAACATAAAGTGAACATCAAGTGATGTTCTCTAGAAAATTAGTTCTTTTGTCGTGGTCATCCTTTTTGGTCTCAGCTGGTGCTTTTGTGCCTCCAGTGCACCATAACGGCCATGCATCTATTACACCTTCCGTCGACTCGATCTCTTGCGCCAGGACGAGATCGTTTGCCCTCGCAACAAAGCCGTATGAGGCCAATAGATTAACACCTGCCAAGTTATCCTCCAATCCCTCAGAGAAGGCAGAAAAGCCAATAAGGATCGACACGAAGGACGAGTGGGACCGAGCTGTTGCTACTGCTGTACATGAAGACAAACTTATCGTTGCAGAGTTTCGTCACGAATTCTGCAGAAAATGTATGGCTCTTGCCGGAAAGTACAGCAAAATGCCGTCCTTGTATGCTGGCAAGAACATCATGTTTCTGGAGATCGATGCACAGCGAATCGGAAAGGAACTGAGGACCCATTTAGGTGTTAACGTCGTTCCAACGGTCCAGCTTTGGAAGAATCTCAGGAAGCTGGAAGTTTATGTATGCCCTGATCTACTGTGTATTCTGTTTAACTTACCTGGCGCGTCTCGCAGGAAGCTGAAAAGGACTTGAGCAAGTTTATTCCAACGATCTCCGAGATGATATCCAGACATGAACCTGATTGCGAACGAAAGATCAATGTGCAGCCAGAAACTGTGGCATCAACACCGAAGCAAAATGCAGAATCCAAACAAGAGGTGGAAGAGCCCCAATTCACCAAGATTGATCAAGATGCATTCTCGGCATGGAAGATGCGACAATCAAGCACTGTCGTAGTTCGTGCAACTGGGGTAAGCCTAACAGATATCTTTTGATGATTTTATTCTCTTGTCTTTGTCTCCTTGTATTTTCCTCTTCTTTATGCTTGAAAAGATTCTCATTGGTTTGATCATAAGCAGATTTCTGAAGCGAAGGGCACCTCAACGCTTCTCCGTTCTTGGGAGCCATCAGAGCATTCCAGCAATGATCCAGATCATGAGAATCACACGCCCGCTAGCAATGCAGTCAGAATGAACCCCAACAAAGGTGGGATGTCAGCTGCTGAGCTTAGGGCACAACTTGAAAAGCTGGAGAAGAGATAACAGGGCGGACCCCTTGGTTGCTTGATTGGAGGAGTCTGTTCCTGCTCATTCAATCCTTGAGCGGAAGAACCATCTGGACTTCCGAATATTTTTTTAACTCTAGATTTTCATGTCGCGAATAAATTTGTCTATGAGAAACCTAACGGTTCATCAGGCTGGGCCGTGCCGTGATTGAATCACGCCAGTCCGCTGGTCTTGACTCATAAGGTTGTGCACATGATGTGCCGCTCAGGCTGCCCCTGTAGTAGGCCGACCTCAGAACATCTCACCGGACCCGCCTCGGTCACTTTCCTCTGATTCTCATCGGAAGATTTTTTGGCGCGAAAAAATGCAGAATGAGGGAAAGAGCGCAACGCGGAGAGGGAATGACAGAATATGTTGATCATCAATTCGGATTATCATTGACCTATCAGTTTATAAACTGAGAGATCCCCTGCACTTGCTGTTCAAAACTTTGTATCGAAAATGGCGAATAGAAGCTTAAAGAGGATTAGGCTTCCACCAGATTGTTTGTCTGCCTTGGAAGCCAAAAAGATGAAAGTTGCCCGAGACATCCTCGAGAAGAATCAGATTGAGCTCACAGAAGTTTTAAATATCAATGGTGTAATGGTGGATGAAATGATTGGCTTGGTTTCCGAGACGATTTGTCCTTCATTCAAGACAGCACTCGACATCTTGAATTCGGGACATGCAAGGTCGTGCCTCTCGACAGGAATCTCGCCCTTGGATGCATGTTTACAAGGAGGACTTACGTGCGGGACTGTCACAGAGATTGTTGGACCCGCAGGCGTTGGGAAGACTCAGGTCACTGCTTGTTGAAATCAACATTGACCTGATGCATTCGTTTGATCAGTTTTGTATGCAATCTTGCGTAAGAGCGATAGGGGAGTGGGAGGGACATTCGGCCATATACATCGATACGGTACCCAGCACTACCAAGCAGAAAGCTTATTCTAACTTTTTGGAAATGTTGCAGGAATCAAGATTTAGCGCTGCACGACTCTGCGAAATTGCACAGAGCACCTTGTGCCAATCAGAAGAAAAATTGAGATCAATTGCTGAGCGCTGCATAGTCGTCAAGTGATACCTTGAATATTGTCTCTTGGTTTCTAACACTCTCTTAGCGTTGCTAGCACAGCAAGCCTAATGACTGTTCTGTCTGAGCTGGAGGAAGTGATCATTGAAAAAAACGTGAAATTGATAGTCGTAGATTCTGTTGCATCTTTGATCCGCCGTGAATACGGAAGTCAGTCTATAGCAGCAAGACAGCTGCAATTAGGAAGGGAAGCATACCTTCTCAAAAAGCTTGCGGAAGACTTCAAGTTGCCGGTCGTTGTGACGAATCAAGTGACAATGAAGTTCAACTCAGGACCACGGAAGCAAGAAGAAACATCTGAAATCTCGTCAAGACAGGAGCAAGATTCTTACCTGACAGCTGCCTTAGGAACTTCTTGGTCTCATTGCGTGAACACAAGGCTTGTTCTGGAGCAAGGCTCGAGCGCCCGCGTTCTAACGGTTGCAAAGTCTCCACTATCTCCTGTTGTGAGGATGGAATACCAGATCATGGTGAGTTCAAGTTCGATCCATTCCTTCCACAACTCACCCACCTTTGTTTTCAGGAGGGAGGAATCGCCGTGACCTCCGATGTCACAGCTGCGGAGGAGAACTTTTGGGAGATGAAAATCAATCCTTACTCTACGTCCGAGCTTCCTCAAGCTGAAGGAGACCCTTGTAACCAATCCTCTGCCTTCTATGATGCGTAGGAATGGCCTGTCTGTCAACGTTGCCGCGTGTCGGATCATCTTCGAGAAGTCAAGTAGTTTGAACACGCCGTCACTGCGAGGCGTTGTGTTACAATAAATCAATCCCGTGACCATGCACCGTTGTGACTGAACCACACCAGTGGCTGAGTCGATTCGAGTCAAATAACAGCAACAGAATCTAGAGTCGAGCACTGACTGTCGGATGCAAATACGATCCGATGTGAGGGGAGACCACTTGCACAGTCTGTGTCGGACCTGCTCTGTGACTCGCCTTGGAGTCCGGGCCGGGCGGCGGCACCGTGTGGCCGGTGTGAGCCTCCGGGGCCCGCCCGGCAAACTTTCAAGTTACTATTTGATCTCAAGGGATCGCAAGCGGACGTTCAAGTGACACGGTGCGGGGGAAGAGGGGGGCATACAGTACTGTAGTAAATGCTCGATCAAGAGCACAAAGGCGACTGAGGTACGAGAGACTGTACCGCTATTACCGATGGTAGAGATCGGATTGTATCGCTCAGACTTTTGGTTTGTACTCGATATGCACAAACTGGATCTCGTGGTACAAACATGGGAGTTGAATTCTTGTACCTATGCATACAACTCTCCAGTACCTTTCCCTCGTACATAGATTTTAATTTGAACTTATATTATTGTACATTTTCTTTTCGTACACCTTGATAATTATTTTTATTTAAATTATTTTAGTTGGTAGTATTTTGTCCTACTACGTATCTAACTATCTTTCCATTCAATAAGTATTTTTGCTAGCCCCGCTTTCCCGCCTACAAAGCGGCAATTTTCCCCAAAGGGTGTCTCCAGATATTTATATTCAAATATTCAATATTTGACTTCAAATAGGTATTCAAAAGTTCAAAATTTAGAGATAGTTTATTAAATTATGGATATATTTCGATTGACCTCAAAATTCTCCACCCACCGCCGACAAGAAAGGCAAACTTCGGAAAGGTTTCGCGCGCTCTTAACCTTCCCGCCCCCTTGCCCCTCCCATTCTGCTCCTCCCCCCTCCTGCTGTCCACGCACCATCCTCTTTCCTCCTTCCCTCTGGTCCTTCCCTCTCCTCCTCCTCCTCCCTCATCCCTGCTCTTGCTCTTCTGCTGCTTTCCTGATCTCCCTCTCTCTCGCTTGCAAGCATTGCTTGCACTTTCCCATTTCCTTGCAGTCTTGGCTTCTTCCGAATCCAGATGCCATCGTATTGCTTCTCCCCGAACCTTGATTCACAGTCCTTTCTTTGCACCTTGCTGTCGCATCTGTTCTCACCCTTCGATCGCATAATTGTTATGTTGCTGTGTTGCATATGCATCTTCATCAAAAAGTTGTTCACACGCCTCGTACACATTTCTCTCCTTCAAGATCTCTGCGCTTTCCAATCCTATGGCAGTTCTGTGCTTGAATTGCTCTCTGACACTCTTCCTTCAGGTTCTCCACAGCCGTATCAAACATGTATGTCGTCAAGCGCAATGGCAAGATGGAGCGAGTTCAGTTCGACAAGATCACCTCAAGAATCTCGAAGCTCTCCTACGGCCTCAATCTCAACTTCGTAGAGCCCCTTGTAATAGCACAGAAATGCGTCAATGGTCTCTACTCTGGTGTCAAGACTTCCCAGCTGGATACCTTGGCTGCTGAAACTGCGGTATGTTGTTGTTGCGCGCACTCTCGATCTCATTTGGTTGGGACAGGCCTATCTCACGACAGAACATCCTGATTACTCCATTCTTGCTGCACGTATTGCGGTCTCGAATCTCCACAAGCAGACCAAGAAGGTAAATGTCGTCGCTTGTCGATGCTCTCCTGACACATTGCTCAAGGTTTTCTCGGAAGTCATGACCGACTGCTACACTTACGTCGACCCCTCCTCGGGAAGGAAGTCACAGTTGATTGCTGATGACGTGTACGAGATCATCATGGCAAACAAGGATCAACTTGACTCTGCTATCATCTACGACCGTGACTATAACTATGACTACTTTGGATTCAAGGTGCTTTCATCACTTTTCATCTATTTCATTTTCGTTGATCCTGCCTATGCAGACTCTTGAACGATCATACTTGCTCAAACTCAACGGCCAAGTTGCTGAACGTCCACAGCACATGCTCATGAGGGTTGCGATTGGAATCCACAAGCAAGACATTGCTGGCGCAATCGAGACCTACGAGTACATGTCACAGAAGTATTTCACACATGCTAGGTAGACGTGATGGTGCTGTGATGTGGGTATTCTAACGTTCCTGCAGCCCGACTCTCTTCAACAGTGGAACCCCGCATCCTCAGATGTCTTCGTGCTTCCTGCTTCACATGAAGGATGACTCGATCGAAGGCATCTACGACACCCTTAAGGTCTGTGCCCAGATCTCCAAGTCGGCCGGAGGGATTGGTCTTAGCGTGCACAACATCCGATCGCGAAACAGCTACATTCGAGGAACCAACGGAACGTCAAACGGCCTTGTCCCCATGTTGCGAGTCTTCAACTCCACTGCTAGGTATGTCGACCAAGGCGGAGGGAAGCGCCCTGGGGCCTTTGCGATCTACCTCGAGCCATGGCACCCCGATGTGTTCGAGTTCTTGGACCTGCGCAAGAACACTGGAACGGAGGAGAATCGCTGCCGCGACCTCTTCCTCGCCCTCTGGATCCCCGACCTCTTCATGGAGCGTGTGGAGAAGAACGAGGACTGGTGCCTCTTCTGCCCTTGCGAGTGCCCGGGGCTGAGCGACACTTGGGGCGAGGAGTTTGAGTCCCTCTATTTGAAGTACGAGAAGGAGAACAAGGCCCGCAAGACCGTTAGGGCTCAGGAGCTCTGGTTTGCCATCCTGGAGGCTCAGACTGAGACCGGAACCCCTTACATCCTCTTCAAGGACCACTGCAACCGCAAGAGCAACCAGCAGAACCTTGGCACGATCAAGTGCTCGAACCTCTGCACTGAGATCGTGGAGTACACATCCCCTGACGAGGTGGCCGTCTGCAACCTGGCCTCCATCGGACTGCCGATGTTCATCCAGGACGGTCAGTTCAACCACCAGAAGCTCATGGAAGTCACCCAGGTGATCACCCGCAACTTGAACAAGATCATAGACGTCAACTACTACCCCGTCGAGGAGGCTCGCCTCAGCAACATGAGGCACCGACCCATCGGCATCGGCGTGCAAGGCCTGGCCGACGTCTTCCAGAAGCTCCGCATGCCCTTCGACTCCGAGAGCGCCAAGGCCCTGAACCGCGACATCATGGAGACGATCTACTACGGTGCCGTGACTGCCTCCATCGAGCTCGCCGAGAAGTTCGGGCCCTACGAGACCTACCAGGGCTCTCCTGCCAGCAAGGGTATTCTTCAGTACGACATGTGGGGAGTCGAGCCTTCCTCGAGGTGGAACTGGGCTGAGGTGAAGGAGAACCTTGCCAAGCACGGAATGCGCAACTCCCTCCTGCTTGCTCCCATGCCGACCGCCTCCACCTCTCAGATCCTCGGTAACAACGAGTGCTTCGAGCCCTACACCTCCAACATCTACACCCGCCGCGTCATGTCTGGCGAGTTTGCCGTCGTCAACCCTCACCTGCTCAAGGAGCTGACCGAGCTCGGCCTGTGGAACAAGGATATGAAGAACCGCATCCTCGCCGCCCAGGGCTCCGTGCAGGGCATCTCCGAGATCCCCGAGGATGTGCGGGAGATCTACAAGACCGTGTGGGAGCTCAAGATGCGATCGCTCATCGACATGGCGGCTGACCGCGGCGCCTTCATCGATCAGAGTCAGTCGCTCAACCTCTTCATCGCGGCCCCCAACCCATCCAAGCTTACCTCCATGCACTTTTACTCGTGGAAGAAGGGACTCAAGACCGGTTGCTACTACCTCCGCACCAGGCCTGCCGCCGACGCCATCCAGTTCACTGTGGACAAGTCAGCCCTGCAGACCTCGAACAAGGAGAACGTGATGCCCTCCAACACCATGGGGCAGCTCATGAAGAATGTCGACGACGACATCCGTCAGACTCAGTTGGCCGCCGCCAAGCTCGCCTGCTCCCTCAAGAACAAGGACGAGTGCCTGATGTGCTCCAGCTAAACCCTCGTGCTGGCTCAGTGAGCTGGTGTTGTAATTTTCTCCCTGATTAAATTTATTAACAACGTGACTAAGTAGCTCCTCCGCTATCGCACAAACTCTGCAAACTGCTTGCGATCAAACTGTTGCTCGTACTGATGCTCATCCCACCTGCTCCTGGTCATTTCTCCTCTCCCTCCTCTTCCTCTCTCTCCCTCCTCTTCCTCTCTCTTCCCCTCCACTTCCTCCCCCTCCTCTTCCTCTCTCCCCATCCTCTTCCTCCCCCCCATCCTCTTTCTCCCCCTCTTCCTCCTTACCCCAGCTCTTCCTCTTTTGCGCCACTCGCCAGTCCTCGCATGCCTCTGATCGACTTTTGGCCCTTGTGTGCCTGTAGCTTGTCACGCGCCTCCTCCTCCCTCCCTGCTACCTCTTGCGGCACATCCTCCAGGTCCAGCTCGTCGGTCTTGAGGAGGTCGAGGAGGGTGGAGGTGTCGAAAGTCTCGAGATGAGAATTCTCTTCACTGACCACCTGGACGAGAGTGAGAAGAGGAAGCGAGAGGAACGGGAAGGGAAGGGGAGGAGGAGGAGGGGAAGGGAAGGAAGGGGAGGAGGAGGGGAAGGGAAGGAAGGGGGAGGAGGAGGGGAAGGGAAGGAAGGGGAGGGAGGAAGGGAAGGAAGTGGAGGAGGGGAAGGGAAGGGAAGGAAGGGGAGGAGGAGGAGAAGGGAAGGGAAGGAAGGGGAGGAGGAGGAGAAGGTGATCAAGAGGAGGAGGGAGGTGATGTAGAGGAGGAGAGGGGGCCTTGCCGTGTTGGCAACGTTGAGCTTGAACCTCTGGAGTCCCATGATTTTCTCCTCTAATGTTCCTTTAGTGATGAGACGGAAGACGTTGACGGTCTTGGTCTGGCCGATGCGATGCGCTCGATCCATGGCCTGTCTGGAGATCAGATCATGGAGCACGGACGGGGGGCAGGGAGGAAGGGAGAGTGAGGGAGAGTGAAGCGAGACGGGAGGCGAGAAGGGAGGGAGGGATGGATGGAGGGAGGAACACTAGGAGGAGGGAGGAGGGAGGAGGGAGGAGGGAGGAGGGAGGAGGGAGGAGGAAGAGGAAGAGGGAGGACAAGAGTGTTGCCTGCAAGTCCTTCATAGGATTCCAGTCATGCTCGATGAAGATGACAGTGTCTGCTCCTGTGAGCGTCAGTCCGAGGCCTCCGACGTGGGTGGTGAGGAGGAGGAGGTCGATGGTAGGGTCAGAGTTGAAAGCCTTTTGGATCTCGAAGCGCTGGTGAACGGGGGTGGTTCCGTCCATCCTGAGGTAGGTGGCGGCCGGGAGCTTCTTCTCGAGCAGGTCCCGCTGAATGATATCGAGCATGGAGCGCATCTGAGCGAAGATGAGGACGCGGCTGCTGCTCTGCTCCTCCTCCACTCCGATGCCGCAGTCGACGAGCAGCTCGTGGAGAGCGAGGAGCTTGGCAGAGAGGTTGATGTCATGGGGCGAGACGCCTGGCCCGCAGACTTGAGCGATGACTTGCTTGTCCTCCTCCTGCTCGGCATCCAGCACCAGCATGGGATGGTTGACGATCTTCTTGAGCTGCGTCAGCGTCTGTAGCGTCTTGCTCTTCTCTCCCTGCGCTCCTCCTCCTCCTTCCCCGCCCTTCCTAACGGCAAGCCGGTACAGGTGCGACTGCAGCGGAGTGAGCGGGAGAAGAATGTCTTGGATGATCTTGGGAGGAAGGTCCTGCAAAACCTCCTCCTTGGTCCTCCTGAGCATGAACGGCAGGACCTGTCGGTGCAGACGGTCCAGCGCTCTGTCTCCGGCCTCGATCACCTTTGCCTCCTCCTTCCTCTCCCTGTCGCTGCGGTGCCGAAGTCGCTGGGGATCCACCTTAAGGTCCCTGCCGGACTCGAGGATGGGCCTGGCGTAGTGCAGTTGGAAGTGCTGAGCAGAGCCGAGGAACCCTGGCATGAGAAAGTCGAAGAGCGACCAGAGTTCGAGCACGTTGTTCTGTATCGGAGTGCCAGTCAGGATGAGGCGATGGAGGGAGCACAGGCCGATGGACTTGACGGCTGCTGTGATCTTGGAGGAAGGGTTCTTGATGATGTGGCCTTCGTCGAGGACGGCGAAGTTCCAGGAGATGGAGGAGTTGAGGAGGTGGAGGAGGTGGAGGCGTAGGGAGTCGTAGGAGAGGATAAGGACCTTGTCAGAGGACAGCAGCTCCTCTCGTAGACTCGCCCTCTCTTTTACCTCCTTGCTGCGCAGGGTGATAGGGACGAGGGTCTCGTTGCAGAACTGCAGGATCTCGTGCTGCCAGTGGTCAACGAGGGTCGGAGGGCACACGATGAGGGACGGAAGGGGGCGATCACGTTCCTCTCCCGTCCTCTTGTACCTCTCCCTCCTCAGGTGCGTGTCGCACGCGATCGCCGCGATAGTCTGCAGCGTCTTGCCAAGTCCCATGTCGTCGCACAGGATGCCATGGAGCTGATACTTGAGGAGGAACCCCAGCCAGTTCACTCCCTCCTGCTGGTACCTCCTCAACTTGGCGCCCAGCGGCACGCAAATGGGAAACTCGTCGATCTTGGAAGGGTCGAGGAGCTGCTCGAGGAAGACTCTCTCCTTTCTCCTCCCCTCCCGCAGCTCCATGCTCACTCCCTCTGGGTCCGGCACTCCCTCTTCCAGCGGCAGCACGCGGAGCAGGGTCGCGAAGCTCCGAGTCGAGATCTCGCGAACAGGAGGAGAGCTGTCGCTCATGCGCCCGAGGATGGGAGCAACGAGGAAGACAGCGAAGGGGAGGAGGGAGACGCCTGACCTGCATATGATCCTGTGCACAGCCTCGCAAGCTCCCAGTCGCGCTTCCCTGCTGGTCATCTCCTCCATCATCGGGACTACTCTCCGCACCACCTCCTCCATGCTCCTGCTCCTCTCTGTCACCGCCATCTCTGCCAGCGTCCTCGCCCCGATCTGCCGCACAGCCGCGTTGTCGCTTCTCAGTGACCGGAGCACGGGAGCAAACGCCTTGCTCAGCATCTCCTCCCGTATCTCGGGAGCAGCGTGAGGGAGGAGGAGGGAGCACAGCTGGAGGGCCTCCACGAGTTGGTAGGGGGCGACTTCTTCAGCTGGAAGCTCGAGGACGCCGACAGTCACGTCCCGCAAACCTGCCGGGAGGGTCAGAGGGAGCAGAGAGGGAGGGGAGGGCACCGGGAACTTTGAGGAAGAGATCGTCTGCTAGCTGCCGAGCTGAGAGGAGGAGGAAGAGGACTGCCCCCCTTCTCTTCACTCCCGCTCGTCGATCCTCCCCTGCCATGGTCGCCATCGCCGTCTCGTCGTCGGGGGGCTCGTACAGCATCATCTCAACGCAACGAGTGTCGTTGACTTGCGAGCAATCCTGCGGGCTGGATGATGATGATGATGATGATGATGATGATGATGATGATGATGATGATGATGATGATGATGATGATGATGATGATGATGGAGATGATGATGGAGATGATGATGATGATGGAGATGATGATGATGATGATGATGATGATGATGATGGAGATGATGATGATGATGATGATGATGAAAAGGTAGATGTGGAGGATTAGGAGGATGAGGAGAAACCACGAACGAGGCGATTACGAGGACAGGGAACGAAGGACAGTGCGAACAATTCACGGAGAGCGAGCAGATGTGAAATCATGTCAAGGACAGAAAGCAAACACAGCAAAGCTCTCACCTTGCAGTGAACGATCTGTCTGACATGATGAAGCGACAAATCTTCTGTGTGTCCTCCCTCCTTATCAATTTCCTCTTTGCCGCCTCAACGAGCACGTCGACCGTTCGGTTCTGCAAGATCCTGTCCTCTTCATTCTCCAGGCTGTCAAAGACAAAGCTCAGCAGGTCTTGTGCTTGTTTGCTCCAGTCCCTCATGTCTTGCAAGATCATCACACAGCCACCAGCAAGAGCTCTTGTGCTCCGTTCAGTTTCAGCATCCTCCATCGCCATCGTTAGACTTCTCTTCACGTCTGGCGAGATCACCAAACTTTCTAGTTGTTGAGCTTGCAGCTGCTCCCACACCATCTCGAAGATGAGCCAGCTTCCAACAAGTGCCTGATGACAGTCGTCAGATTTCAGCACAATCGGTCGCAATGGCCGAACCTTGCTTGCTTGCTTGCTCGATATCATCCTGCTGACATGTCCTTCAATCTTTGCCCTTGCCGATGATTCCAGCGACAGCGTCAACGTTGCAAGAATTTTGCAGGAAGTCTGATAGCTGATTGTGTTGATTTCAAACTTCTTACATCCATCGTTGGTCTCCTGGTTTGATGGCTGCTGTAGAAAGATGTTACCATCCTATCACAACAACTTGTCTTACCACCTTACTCCTCTTCTTCGATCGTGATTTTGTTTGCACGGGCTGTGAACTCTCTGACGACAGTGAAAACACCCGAAAAGCCTCCAAGACTTCTTTCACTTTGCAGATCTGACGACAAGAGATCAGTTTCTATACCAGCATTCTTGTCACTGACAACGAAAGCAACTCACGTCATTGGGAGTGAAAAAGCTGCCGGGAGGAGTGGAGATTGCATTGAGCCATGGAGGGACGAGAATCAGAGAAATCTTGGTGAGCAAGTCTGAACCCTTGACCTGAAAGATGGAAGTGATGCCAAGAAGAAGCAAAGAATGCAAACACCGTCGTCATCATCTGGACCCATAGCTCTTGAAACGATTGTCTGAACTCTGGGTGATTTTCGATGAGAGCGCACAGGATGATTGTCTGTATGAAGACCAGTCATCACGACCGAAGATGTCATGGAGATATCCAGTTGCAGGAGAAGATGTCATGGTGAGATGAAGTTGCAGCATTGTAGCATTTTTCGTGTGTGATCAGACAGAATCGTCTACAACCTGCATCATGTCTTGCAGCATTGAAGGCGCCATTAGCAGCTTCTCCTCTCTTCTCAACATCTGCGTTATGATCAGCCCATCGCAGCTTCAAGATGATGTTTGTCACCATGGAGAAAATCTCTATGACTGCCCTTCTCACCTGTCAACGTCATCAGAATCGAGGCAGGCAGGAGATTGGATGTATCGCACAGCTGCGATGTTGTGACGAAAGAATTTCAGTATGCCATGAAGTCTCTTGACATCAATCAGCTTTGAACAAGTGATATCTCTTGCTGTACATGCTGACATTAGTACTCTCCTCCTCCTCCTCCTCCTCCTTCTCCTCCTCCTCCTCCTCCTCCTTCTCCTCCTCCCATCCCCTCCTCCCCCCTTGTTCCTCCTCACATTTCTCAAGCTTCGCTAGAATTCTCAGCGCAGGTGCAGAAGACACTGACAGCTCGTCGCTTTCCTCAATACATTGCCAGAGGAGACTCGCAAGCTTCGAAATTTTCTCTTCCTCCCCCAGAGCCCTTATCCCTTCGCCCCTGTCCTCCTCCTCTCGAGCTTCCAGCAGTACTTCAACTGCATCGATAGCAGCTGAACGAACATCATCCATGTCAACAAGTCCATTCGAGATCATTGACCTGATCTTCCAGTCAACAAGTCGAATCACGAGATTCAGATCATGACGCAACACTCGCTGATAAGATTCAATCAACATCAATTTTCCGAGAGCAGAGCCATGCAAACACATTCTTTATCGATCCGCACAGAGACCCAGCACGTTACAAACTTGTTGCTCACCAAACTTTGTTTTCCCTGATGTTCATTCCAGCCGAGTAAAACGAAATACTCAAGTACTGTCATCATACTTGACATCTCAAAAACCAACCAACACCTCCCAAAACCTTGAGAGCGAGGAAACAGCTCTGCCGCACTTCCCAGTCGCCATTCCAAGTCTGTCTGTAGCGTTAGAGCCACATAGTATCAGATCTTCTCCTTTTAAGATTTCCTCATGCGCGTCTTTCCGTGTCGATTCTACCTCCTCTGTTCTATCCCATCGCTCATTTCCTTCTCTCTATTCCCCCTCTGCTCTGCTCTGCTCTGCTCTGCTCTGCTCTGCTCTGCTCTGCTCTGCTCTGCTCTGCTCTGCTCTGCTCTGCTCTGCTCTGCTCTGCTCTGCTCTGCTCTGCTCTGCTCTGCTCTGCTCTGCTCTGCTCTGCTCTGCTCTGCTCTGCTCTGCTCTGCTCTGCTCTGCTCTCTTTTTGTACCTGCAGAGCAGAGATGACGGAGAGAACTGGAGGGAGGGCGGCAGGCCCAAGTCTGTGAGCTGCAGAGAATGAGGTAAGAAGTGCAAGAAAACTAACATGACGATGAACATGCAGTGAAGCAGCACCACGAGTACAAGTTTGAGAAAGTATGAGTACAAAAAAACAAGTATGAGTATGACGACGACGACGACGACGACGATGATGATAATGAACAGGAATTCATGGAAGGAGGAGAAGATACGGACCAGCAACTGAGAGGGCTTGAGCTGCTGTTTCCCTTACGGGGGAGATCAGAAAGTCTCCACTGTAATCGCTAAACCTGGACGAGAAACCTTCACAAGCTGCGCAATATGATCGAATCATTGCAATCGCAATGAGATCAACATTCACTCTTCAACCATACTGCTGTCTCACAGACATGACTCGTCACAACTTTGCTCGTCCCACCTGTCAAGAGCGAGGACTCTGAGGAGCTGAACGACGCACTCGATGACGAAACTCCTTCTGATGACGTCATCGTCCTCCTTCTTGGCGATGGTCTTGTTTGTAGAGCACGGATGGTACTTGAGGACGTGTTTCAGGACAAGAGCAGCTCCGTGCCTGCAACCTCGTCCGTTATCTCCTACCAGGAGCTCTCGCACTTGGCCATTGCCTGACTTCCCAGGCAGGGTGAAGGAGGTTGTCTCTGCCATACTGCAAACTCCCTCAATCGCGCAAAAATGATGCAACACCTGTCTCCCTCCCTCTCCCTTCTTCTCCCTCTCTCCCTCCCTCTCCCTCCCTCTCTCCCCCCCCCCCTCTCTCTCTCCCTCTCCCTCTGCCTCCCTCTCCCACTCGTTTTCCCCCTCCCTCTTCCTCCTTCCCCATCTCTCTCTGACCTTACAGACATCGCTCAAGACCCAACTCAAGTCTTTCTCCTCGCCTTCTCCCTGACCGCCGTATTGCACAATCATTTCCTCCCCGAGCTCTCGCTCGGTGCTATCACGTTGGTCCTTCTCCTTTTCCGCCTCCAATCTTCCTTTGACGCTCTTTCTTCCCTTGACGTTGTTACTGGGAGTCTACCCAGCGTCAAACTCTCGTTTCGTTGCAAGACTCAACCTTACCGCGTCTACGATTGAGTTGGCAGGCTGGGCAAACAGCAACGAAGAATCTTGTACACGAATCGAAGTAAGCAAAGGATTAGAGCAACAGCACAAACCTTTGATCTCTTCAAGAATCTCCAGCCTCTTCAGCGGTTCAAACATCAACGTGTCATCATGTGATGAAGGAGAGTACGCTCTTGCGTCCCCTGCTGTGGCCCCGGCTGCAGCGGCATCCAGGCTCTCCTCCTCTACCTCCGCTGCAATCAGTTCCATAGTCTTGCAAGCAGCAGCTCGCGTGTCCCAGTCCCTTGAGCCGCAGAGGACCATAACACGTTGAACGATCTTCATTCTCACTTCTCTGTAGTTGAGAACATGATAAGCTTGCAAGCACATGTCAGCGAACATCACCTGTGAGCTTTGAAAAGGCCAGCAATTTGTTCAGCAGCTGCCTGCACCACATGTCAAGTTTTCGCGCGATAGGACATGGCTCGGTTGACTTGCCAGTCTGCTTCGAAGGTCACTGCCAGAAGCAAGAAGCACAAGGGTTCTTTCAAATCTTGTACTCTTCATTTCCTCTTTCTTCTTCTGGTTCTCTTGCTTGGACGGCTTGGCTGTGGTTGCTGTCTCCAATGATTTCTTCTGCTGCATTGAGCCTCGCACAGGTTTTGTTCTTTGCTTCTTTGTTGGACGAATCGCCGCCAAGAAGGTTTCAACATCGGTTTCTTTCCTGAGCATGTCTTAACACAGCTCATTTTGATCTTCATTGAAGCTCACATGCCCAGCTCTTTGAGATCAGGCGCTGTCAGCGACTCCAGATTTCGAGGCTTTATCCCCTCCTTTTCCTTCAAGGAGGGAAACATTACAAAACATCGCAATAATAGCAAGCGATACTTACGAAAACTTCAACGTATCTTTCCAAACCGATGGAACTGCAAATCGTGATTCAGAAACAGGGCTCGAGATTTACAGAGCAGGCATGATAGCGATGCGTTGCGTTACCTCAGCGCTGATGCAAGGGAGGCACTTTGTTGACCTCCTCGTAGCCTCACAATGTTTCTGTGATTTTGCTGAACTAGCCATTCCCGAATTTTTCTTGGCGATCCCCTTTCTAACAAGACAATCCTGTTGGACGCAGCATCTCCAGCCAGCAGCAGTGGATCCTGTGTCTTTCTTGACATCCATACTCTCGACCAAGCTCCTCCTGCTCCTCCTCCACCACTTCCTCCTGCTCCTTCCCATGGCAGCAGCGCCATGACCAGGACTATCAGCAGTCGCATCGCCATACTTTTACAAACCCCATCAACCTTTTTTAGCTCTTTTTTTCTTTTACAGATCGGCGAGGCGGGTTGGGATGACCGTTCGGTGAACCGGAAGCAACACCCCTACCCCGAATATTCCATCTCAAACTATTTCAAACTACCCGGTCCTGGAAGATCCACTCCCGTACCCACCCCTCCAATTAACCAAGAACCACCCTACCCCCAATTGGATCCCCATAGGTGCAATGCTACGAGGATTGGTGATGCTGAACGGCGGCTTCTTGTCGGGCCCGCACGAGTCGATCATGGGAGGAGGAACACCGCTCTGCCCCTACGACAGCAATGGCGTCTGCTACTCTGATGGCACGGTAAGGTGCATGCAGCAGTTTCGCAGAGTAGTTTCCTTTCAACACGGCAAGGGTCGCGATGAGAGCTGTAGTCGTGCTGCTGTGCTCAGCATTGCTTGCATGCCTTTGTGTCTGCTGCGCTCTGCACTGTCGGTGAAGTGATAAAACGCGCTATCAAGAGCTTTGTAAGACTTTGAACATGATCTTTTGTTGGAAATGCTGTGCTGAATCGAGAACAATTGATGTGCACTCGTCCACTTGTGCGAACAGCTTTCAACATTTTCCTTGTTTCTGTTGCTGTTTTTGATATTTGGGCAGTTGCCTTACTGTGAATGCAACACTGGAAAGATTCCAGCAACCAGGGACACTGGCAACGGTCAAGTTTTGTGGGCGATTATCGCCTAGGTCATGTCTTTTATGTATGTTTGCAGAGCTAGAGAAGGTCGAGCCTGAAGATCTTCTGATGGAATAAAAGGGCGCTGTAAGATGAGCTGTTTAGCATCACGGTGGCTGAATGTTGCAGTGACGATCGAGTCGTTAGTGACAAGGTCTTGCAAACTTGATCTGGGCCATAGAGGGAGGAGAATGAGTGCAGCACATAGAAACACTCACAAGGGAAAATGTATGCTGAGCTGAATAGTGGTGTCCATTCTTACAGCCTGTGGTGATGACCACAGCAAGAATTTTGATGACGAGGAGGAGATCACGACATCGTTCTTTGAGATCGTGAAAGTGAGGAGAAGGAAGTGAAAGTTTTGCTGCGTTGCGAACTGAGGAAATGAGCAAGAGAGGCAAGGCATAAGATACTGTTACTCCTGATATCTATCGGCAGACAAAGATAATTTGATGCCCCTCGTGTTGCCATTGTTTGAAACATCGAGTTGGGACCAGCGCTCAGTCCGCAGGAGAGAGTAGCCACAGCATGCACCACCGGCGAAGAAACTAACAGACACGGGACAAGAGGTTATGAACTTTAGATGTTAGAAGAGTGACAAACAATGTTGTAGCGACGAAAAATACCGGTGAGGTTGGATACGATATCGTAACCTCAGGAAACGAACTGGACATCTTCAAACGACTTCCTTAGTCCGCGCGTGAAGTTTGAACGATGATATCTCTTGTCGGCATTCATTCATGTGAGATTGAGATGTGATTATTTCAGAAGATTGGTTGGTACATCTTCACTCAAAATGTCTTTTACCCATCTCGCGAAATGTCTTTTACTACAGTTCAACAACATTCGATCTCCGAGGTTCAAAATCCAATATGCTCTGACGTCTGACAACATTTGTTCCATCTTCAGGATCTATCCTCGTTCATCATTCATCATTCCTCTCTTCCCCTCCCCTCCTCTCCCCTCCTCTCGTCCCGCTTCTCATGGGGGGATAGCTTTGACCAGTTTACAAATACAGTTTTAATTTCCATTGTACAATACTTATTCAAAGGCGAAGGCTTAAAGGGAGAGCGAGTGAGGGAGAGCGAGTGAGGGAGGAAGCAAGTGAGGGAGGATGCAATATGCGTCAGAAGATTGTTCTCAGACTCCTCGCACCCTTCCTGCTCCTGCGGCATGATAAAGAGTGATTGAGTATCCCATCTGCCGCCATGCCCGCAACGAAACTTGCTCGCAAGTCACTCTCGAAAGCATCGAGCTCGTTTGAGAGCGAAGAAGAGACAAGCTGCGAGGACGAGGATAGCTCCTGTGACTCTGACTTGCTCCAGTACGAGCAAGACGATAGCAGGCAGGTTGATGACACATCACTAGAAGCTGCTGAGCAGGACGATCTCTACAATGGCAAGCACGTGTGGGAGGTAGATGTGGGTGAAACTTACAACAAGCTCAAGGAGGAGGTGGAGGACACGTTCGTACGCGGGAGCTCAGGCAGACTACCTCGTCCTCATCAGGCAGACTGTGTGACGAGGCTGATCATGGAGCTGCGGATTGATCAGAGGAGGAGCAGGGGGCGACCAGTGAACTATCTCATCCAGCACGCTACAGGAACAGGAAAGAGTCTCACCATCTCCTCCCTCTGCCTCGCGCTGCTGCGGCTCCCTGACCAGGACTCTCCCTCCTCCTCCATCGTTGGATGGCTGCGAGCTGCGAGCTCCTCCCCCTCCCTCCCCTCCTCCACCTTCCACTATACGTTCGTCATCATCCTTACCGACAGACTTCAGCTGGACCGTCAGCTCGGGGATACGATCGAGCTCTTCCTCCAGAGCAACGGACATGGGCTGATCCGGTGCCGGACGACGGGAGAGCTGGCAGAAGCGATCCGGGACCCTTGGCACGGGGGGCCAAGAGCGATTCTGAGCACTATGCAGAAGTTTTCAGGGCTAGCAAAGACGCAGAGCAGGACGGTGGGGGAGGGGGAGGGGGAGGGAGGAGGGGAGGACATACTGCAGGTGCTGGTGAAACGGCACAGGGTAGCGATCATAGCAGACGAGGCACATCGCTCTCACGGGCAGAGGACGAGCCTCGCCATGCACGAGATGTTGGGGGGCCGTCGGGCTCAGAGTCCGAGCATCAACTACTTCGGTTTCTCTGCTACCCCCTCGAGGACAGCACTCAAACTGTTTGGGAGGAGACGAGCTGGAGGAGGAGGAGGAGGTGGTGGTGGTGGTGGTGGTGGTGGTGGAGGAGGAGGAGGTGGTGGTGGAGGAGGAGGTGGAGGAGGGCTGGAGTACGCACCAGCTCACTGCTACAGCATGCAGGAGGCGATAGCCGATGGGCATGTGATGAACCCGCTTGCAGACTACATGTGCGTGAAAATCAGCTCAGGGGCTGCGGAGAGGGAGAAGAGGCAGAAGGGCGGGAGAGCGGAGGAGAGGAGAAGTTCCAAGGCGCTAGTCTCCGCAAAGAGCGAGTATATCGTCAACGATTTCCTGGCACGGAGATCCGAGGTTGTGAGAAAGGAGCGAGCAGAGAGAAAGACAGGTAGAAGTGATGGAAACAAAAAGACAAAGGAGAAGATTGATAGCAAGGGGACTGGGGAAGAGGAGGAGGAGGAGGGAGGTGGCGGCGGAGGAGGAGGAGGCGGAGAAGCAGGAGAAAGACCTTTCAAACCTCGAGCTATGGTCGTGTGCAAGTCGAGGGCAGATGTGGTTGCCTTCACTCTTTGCATGAGAGAGTTGTGGAAGAAGAAATGCAACCTTGAAGTGACATCGCCGTCAACAAACTCTTGCGATGAAGAGGTCACGGTGTATGGAGCTTTCAGCGGTGAAGTCACGAGCAAGGTTTGGACGCAGCCTGCTGGGACGAAGAGGAAGAAGGAGGAGGAAGGGAGAGAGGAGGCTGTGTCAGAAGTTGGGCTGAACAGATGGGAGGCGAGCTTGGAGGACGCTGATATCCTTGTGGTAAGACGAAGAGGAGATGATGTTGCTGTTTGTGTTGGAGGGAAGCAGCGGAGAATGAAGAAGTGTAAGGAGATGAGGAGGAAAAGAGGATGCAGAGAAGAAGGGATCAGTAACAGGCAGAGGAGGAGGAGTAGGATGCAGAGAAGAAGGCAACGGAGGAGGAGGAGGAGGAGGAGGAGGAGGAGGAGGAGGAGTAACGGGTGTTGCAGGTGTGCAACAAGCTCGAGACGGGGTTCGATGATCCACACCTCTGCTTCATGTATGTCGATCGACTTCTGCATGGCGCCAAGTGCGTTCAGATTCTCTCGCGCATCAACCGAATTCACCCGCGGAAGAAAGGCAAACTAGACCTCTCAACTGCTGCAACTGCTCTCCCTTGTTCTTCTTCTCCTCCCCCTTGGCCCCCCCCACTTCTCGTCCTCGTCCTCGTCCTCGTCCTCGTCCTCGTCCTCGTCTACCTCGTCGTCCTCCATTTCCATCTTCTGCATTCTCTCCCCCTCCTCTACACTTTCTTCGTCTCCTGCTCTTGGCTGAGCTTGCTATCAGGGACTCGAGTCGTCGACTTTGTCAACTGCTCGGAGGCCATACGAACTTCTTTCGCCGAGTTCTGGGGGGAGAGCAAGTTAGGAGGAGGAGAGGCAGCTGAGGAGGCGAGAGCCAACACTCTCCTTGACGCAAGCCTCAATCGCTTGTTCTGTCTGCTCTCCTCCTCCTCCTCCTCCTCCTCCTCCTCCTCCTCCGCCTCCTCCTTCTTGTCATCCATTGGCGATCTAACCCTCTCAGAAGCAACAGCTCGGCTCTCACAGACGTCGGAGGACGCGGCGCAGGCAGCGAGGGACCTGACTATCTACCTCAACCTCTGTCAGCAGCTGAACTTGAGCAAGTACTGCATGCCGCCAACGTTCGCATCCTCTCTTCTTCAGAACCTGTCGAAGAAGAGCGCGAAGGGAGAGGAGAAGGGAGGGCAGGGGAGGAGCGTCAAGGGAGGAGGCAAAGAGGACATTCAGTTCAGTCAGACTTACGTCGGGTCGATATCAGTCGAAGAGGATGACGCGGTGCGGGCAGATGTGTATCGAGCGCGTTCTCTTGCGAGTGAGAGTGTCGTAGCCATGACGTCCAACACAACCTTGAGGTGAATCTCCTTGCTTGCTTGCGCTAAACTCTCATCAGTTCTCTGTGCTGCTGCTGCTGCTGCTGCTGCTGCTGCTGCTGCTGCTGCTGCTGCTGCTGCTGCTGCTGCTGCTGCTGCTGCTGCTGCTGCTGCTGCTGCTGCTGCTGCTGCTGCTGCTGCTGCTGCTGCTCTGATCTGACATGTTTGCTTCAATTAGGCAGCTTGCACATCAAACAGCCTTGGCAATGGGAGCTGAGCCAAAAAATCTCATCAGTGTTGTTTCGCGTCTCAAAGAAGACTTGAACAGACAAACGTCTTCCTCCTCTCCTGATTCCCCCAAGATTCTCTCCATCCTACAGCGACTTGATCTGCTCCCGGTACCTTGTGTGTACTGTGCTGCTGCCTCTTCATGCTCCTGGTCCTGTCCCTGTCCCTGTCCCTGCTCCTTCCCCTATTGCTAACGACCATTTTGATACTTTCTTCAATCGCCTCCTCCTGCTCGCTCTCCTGCTCGCTCTCCTGCTCGCTCTCCTCTTATCCTGCATTAGATGAGTAGAGACATTCTCGTCGAGACTGGCATCGGCATCCTCCTCAAGAGTTTCCGTCGCCATTCCGACCTGCATGGTAAATCAACTGAGACATCTGCTCCTTCTCCTGCTCTTTTTGCTCCTCCTCCTCCTCCTCCTCCTCCTCCTCCTCCTCCTCCTCCTCCTCCTCCTCCTTGGTTCCTTGGCTGTTGTCATCTCCTTAGCTCGCACTGACGCACTCGCAGTATCCAGCATGAGCAAGGAGATCATTCAGCGCTGGAAAGCTCTCCTCTCTCCTACCTTCCCCAAGCAGCTGCCTCCCTCCTCCCTCACCCACGAATGCGCTTCTCACCTCCTCCAAGCTGAATCCCGAGAGAAAGTTGTCGTCAAGATGCTCAACGTGCAGCCTCTTCGTCCTCCTTGTTCTTGACCTCCTGCTCCTGCCCCTCCTCTTCTTGCTTGCGCTGCTCCTGCTCCTGCTCCTGCTCCCGCTCCCGCTCCTGCTCCTGCTCCTGCTCCTGCTCCTGCTCCTGCTCCTGCTCCTGCTCCTGCTCCTGCTCCTGCTCCTGCTCCTGCTCCTGCTCCTGCTCCTGCTCATTTTACCTTGTCCTCCTCACTGCCTTGCAGGCGCTCCTGCAAGACGAAGGAGCAGACAAGGGCACAGCAACCTCCATTGCAAAGGAGATAGAGTATCAAGTCGCGTCCTCCTCCATCTCCTCAGTTGCTGCTGGAGTGGGAGGAGGCGATCGGGCACGAGCATGGTACAACCAGAAAGTTCGTCAGCTACTTTTCAACCTCCGCGATCCTCGAAACGACGCCTTAAGGAAGCAAGTTCTTTCCTCCGAGCTTCCTCCCTCTTCCCTCGTCGTGGCGGATCCCGCCAAGCTCGCCAACTCTGACCTTGCTGCGTCCCGTGCCAAGTGAGCGGAGCAGAGGGAGCGGGGAGAGAGCGGATGCAGAGAGTGGTTGGAAGAGGAGGCGGGGGGGCGAGGCAAACTAGACAGTGGAGAAAGAAATCTGCAGGGGAGATAAGGCAGGTAGTCAGTCAGTCAGTCAGTCAGTCAGTCAGTCAGTCAGTCAGTCAGTCAGTCAGTCAGTCAGTCAGTCAGTCAGTCAGTCAGGCAGGCAGGCAGGCAGGCAGGCAGGCAGGCAGGCAGGCAGGCAGGCAGGGCATAGGGGAGTTGCTAGAGGTAACGGCATGATCTCCTGCAGGTTCAAAGAGGCGCTGGCGGCAGAACTCTCCGATATGGTTGAACCAAGTTTAGTCCCCAACACAGCAGAGTACGATTTTCCCAGACCCTCCACTCCTCCTCCTCCTCCTCTGTTCTCCTGTTCCCCTCCTCCTGTTCCCGTCCTCCTGCTCCTTTCCTCCTGCTCCTCCTCTCGTCCTCTCCTCCTCCTCTCCTCCTTCGCTGCTCCTCCCCTCATCGCCCAGCAGGTACGCTTGCCCCAGCTGCAAGAGCACGAACTGTCATGTCAAGTACGCTCCTCCTTCCCTCTCCCGCGTTGCTGACGCTGGAGCGTGTAGGATAGGAATCAAAGGAGGTTGGATATCGTCTGAGAAGGAGGTGAGATTTGAGCAGAGGCGGAAGAGAAACGAGAGGCAACGGAGGCAAGGGAGGCAAGGGGAGGAGGAGGAGGAGGAGGAGGAGGCAACGGAGGAGGCAACGGAGGAGGAGGAGGAGGCAACGGAGGAGGCAACGGAGGAGGAGGAGGAGGAGGAGGAGGAGGAGGAGGTGGTGGTGGTGGAGAAAGAGGAGTTTGGAAAAGAAGAAATGAGGAGGCCTGATGGAATGAGCAGGAGACGCGGGAAGTCACATGTTGCGACTGTGGCATAGTCTTCGATGGGTTACAATGACGATCATATTGTAAAAATGTTGAAACAAAACCACAAATCTATGAAAGTAACATGTCAATAACTTTCATCTTGTCGTCCTCAGTCACTCAGCGTCAAGTCCTCAGTACGACTGTCAAACTTGAAACCCGGTTCAGAGAACGAGTCGGTTTCAGTGACAGTGACTCGGTGACTGCCAGGCAGTGGGCCGCCGGGCCGGGTGACCGTTGGCGACTTTGTGAGCCGTGACAGGCGGTGAGTTACAACCGTGACTACATTGTCAGATCCTTGGAACTTCGGAAGTTCCGATGGGCTCGGTGCCCGGTCCGGTCCGAGTCGGAACTCATTTCGGGAGCTGACTCACTCTCACTGACCGTCGTGAGCCAGTGGCCCCTGACCGTCACTCTCAGTCGGAGCCAGTGGCCCCGGCCGCCGGTCGGGCCCGGGCCGGGCCCGGCGAGCGCCGGTGCCGGGCCCCCGGCACACGCCGCCCGGTCACGGGCAACTCAGTCGGACCTTTGCCGACCACAAAAAAATTTCTAGTTGGCTGGTGGGGCGGCCGGCGGCAATGACTTCAAAGGCAGAAGGAATGGATGATCATCCCCCTAGCTCAAGGCAGGGATAGAGGCTGTTCCTGATGAACACTTCTCACCTTCAAGGGTGGTAAAATCATGTAACTTCTGATGAGTCTTCATAGTAAAGGAACTTTTAACTTAGAATGTTGTAGTTGTTTTTAGTCAAATTTTGATCACTCTGCAAAAAGAGACGAAATTTAGAACCCCTGTCGATAATTTCAAGGCGATCTGAGTGGGTGCGAGGAGAGGCCTTATGTGTTGGAGTTTATTGGGGAATGCGGTTGACACTTAATGAAAAACTGTTGATTGACAATAAACACAGACATAAAGCTTAAAACATGATAGGAGAATTTATAGTAAAATGTTTCCACAGAAGGATTTTTAATGTTTATACACCACCCCACGCAAACCTTGGAGGGACCACCCCCTTGGTTGTGATACGACTGGAGGGGTAGTGAAACGTGGGAATGCGACTACCCACCCCGGTCATCAGTCGTCCGTGTCGGCAGACCCTGGCTAAAACCTTTATTTGGAGTCTGGCCTGCTTTAATATACTTATATATAAAACATCATACAAACACTCTAAAGTATGTACTTGCAAAAGAACTATGACTAATTGAATTTTAATAGAAATAACACAGATCAAAATCACAGAGAGCACGATTTTGATATAAAGTTTAAAAATTGATATAATATCGAGAATTGTGGTACTGAATCAATGCTATAACTATTTTATTTAAAAATGAAGTACTAATCTTTGTACTTTACAGCCACTACCGAACATTCCCAGGGGGCCACTTCACTTACGGTGAGGGGGGTGGTAGCACATAAACACCTCAGCCGCCATGCTCAAACGCCTTCTCCTCGTTGTCGCAGCCGCCGCTCCTGCCTTCTCGTTCGCGCCTTCCTCCTCCCTTCCTCTTGGAGGATGTGCAAGGAGAACTCCTTCGGTAAGCAGTTTCATGTGCAGCCCATATCTCCCGTGTGAGCTCAGCGGAGTTGATCCTGACAAAAAATGCTTTCGGCTCGATGTTCTTTGTTCTCCCCCTCCGTTGTTCCTTTTTATGAGATGTCTTGGAACTCAAATCCACCTTGAGTTTGATATCATGAGCAAGCAAAGTTTTTCCGTCTCAGGAAAGATTGCAATCACGCCAATGTACATGCGAAATATTATGTGTCATTCTTTGAAAGACGGAATTCTCATCATGTCTCTCAGCGTGGTTGATATTGCGTGTGACTGTGATTGAATGAGAATGTATGTGCATGGCATGACTGGTTTATCAGGCCATGCCTTTGAAGGCTGTCATGTCCACCCCTACCGAGGAGAAGGTGAACTTGGGTCTCGCTAAGATCTGGGCCGAGGACGTTGATCAGGTGGGCACAGAGAGGAAGTTCAGTGGTGTGCCTTGCTGATTGCTTTGCAGGCTAAGGATGTTTTCTCCTTCCTCCAGTCCAAGACTTACAGCAAGGAGAGGGAGGGATTCTTTTTCGGAGACGTTTTCGCCGATGGCGTGATCAGGAACGGAGGGTTCACTGAGTTCGCCGAGACTGTCAACGGACGCGTTGCCCAGCTTGCCTTCCCCCTTGCTATCGGAGAGACCTTCAACGGCGATCTCTTGACCCAGATCGCTGACCACCCCCTCAAGGTTCGGGTTTTGGCACGGGTTCTCCTGGGAGTGACAAGCTGACTTAGGTTCTCCTCCTTTGTGCGTTCGTCACCTATGCCTCCCTCCCCCCCTTGTTTGAAGCCCGTCAGGACGATCGCAGGGGAGCAAGGTACCTGCTGTGCGCTGGTGCGGGGGAATGCGCTGATATGACACCTGCAGTGTGTTCAAGGCCGCTGTGCCTCCTGAGGTCAGGAAGGGTCTTGTCAGCGTCTTCGAAACCTTTGAGCTGAACAAGTGAGAAACATTTTCCCATTTAATTCTCCCTCTCTCTGTCTCTGCTTTCTACTTCTCTTTCTCCTTCTCTTTCTCCTCTCTTCCTCTCTGTCTTCTCCCTCCCTCCCTCCCTCTCTCGTCCTCACTTGTATTGATGAATGTGAACTTTCAGGGTCTTCAGCCCGGAGGCTGAGCTTACCAACTCCCGTGCCGCCATGGTTGCCATGGGATTCTACCTCTTTACCGCTGCACTCTTCTAGATCGATAAACCTTATGCCCTCGAAATGTTGCCTTCGATTCCACGTCATCATTGCCTCGGACCACTCATCCATCATGGATCAAGGCTCGACAAACTGAACTATAAAGCTATCCAGCATAGCTTTCAACGTCTCGAAACCAGTACTGCAGACATGCAAGAGAATGCGAGGAAGATACTGTCATCACTGAAAATGATTCGCTCTACATTTGTTGTGTACGACGCCCAAGAAAACAGAACCTTTCAGGTGAGACGTATAACAAGGTACATGCACTACTTGTGAGACAAGATGTCAATGAGTCCGGAAGCTGTGTGAGACCGTCGCACAGATATCAACGCGATCGACATCGCACAGATATCAACGCGATCAGACATAAAAAGAGCAAACGATCTCGCTGTCTTCATTCATTCATTTCACCAATCTTGAATTTAAGTTTCACTCCCTCACATATTGTACAATGAACATACAATGTCTACCAAGACCCGATGGTTGTGCTTGGAGCAAGGTTCATTTGAACACATGTCAAGGCCATTGGTCTGTTGCTCAGCAATGAAAGAATGTTCAGCTGGTTGGATTTGGCAAGAAAATTGATCTGCTGCTGAAGCAGACTGCTGTTTAGCTGATTGCCGAGAGGAGCAGAAAGGGGCAGATGCAGCTGAGCTAGCGATGAACAGGCTTGAAAATTTGGAATGCTCCTTTGCGTGCAAGCGAGAAGTTTGCTCAAATCGATAGCCAGCTCTGGTCTGCTGGTAGAGGATACCTCAGTCTTGACACCACAGGGAACAGAGGGTGACGTCGCAAACGACGGGAGACAGTCTTTGCTCGAGCTGAGGTCAGACGACGGAGAGCTCACTTCTGAAACGGGCGACTTGGAGTCATCGCTGGCAGAACAAGCGGATGTTGATCCGTTGTCCTTTCCCTTGCCGGCCTTCCCTCGGTTCTGGACGTATCGCTGGCTCCCATCCCACTGAAAGCTTCGGCTGCCCTCGAAATCAAAGCCATGGCTCGCTCGCTTGGTGCGCTCCGTGGGAAAGAACCCCAGCCTTCTCAGGATCTGATACAACGAGTTCGGCTTGTATTCCTTGCCCTCCTTGCCCTCCATGAACCATTCCCGTCTTCGCCTCTGCCACTCTTCCATCATCCCGTCATTGACCGTCCATCCAGCTATCCCTCTCAGCGTAGGAGGAACATCGCCCATATGTCTTGTCACAACACCGTCCTTCTCTAGCAGCTCCAGAAACTTAAGAAAGCTCGGTCCACCACCATTCTGGAAAGAAAGCGTGAGAAAAAAGAACCAAAGTCAACAACGTCATGCACACCTCTTTGCCTTCCTTCTCGCCATCCGAATCAGAGCTTGACCTCGAGCGCTTGGCAGATCGATGAGTTCCTGCCGGCAGGTCTTCCAATGCCGTCTGGTAGGAGATCTTGCGCTTCGGGCCGACATGCGCACTAGCGTCCACAGATTCTAGGTTGATCGAGCATTCCACAGCATCAACGAGGCCGTTCAACAATCCCGTCATGATCGCTTCTCCACCAGGATGAAAGAGTGCAGCGATGAAGGCAGATCAGGAACAGGAACAATGAAACAAACCGTGCAGGCAGGTTTCGAAAGATTGTTTGCAGGTATGAACAAGTAAAAGGCCAGAAAGAAGAGCAGGAGATAATCTGGGAGGAGTTCGTAGCCTAGCAGCAAAGGAAGAGAGAGGGGTAGACGGGGAACGCGTGGGCACGTGGCGATAGGGCGGCGGCAGCAGAGGATGGTGGCAGGGAGACAGACTAGGGGAGGTGAAATAAAGGAAAGTGGCCCAAAGAGTCTGAGACGCGCACGGGATCAGCTAGTCGGGGTGGGTGGGGGTGTCCTGGTAAAGTGGCGGAATGGGTAGGGTATGTTTGACCCCAGGGTATGGATTACGCCCTTTTTACTGGAGGACCGGTACAGCTTTTTCGAGGTACCTAAGTTGACCGGTGCAAATATGGTTCGAATGATCTGCTCGAAGACTGGGGTGATCATTGGTAAATTTGGGGGTCTAACGGAACATGAGCACAGCAAGTGAGATCAATGGTAGGGGTCAGGAGGACCAGGAAGGAATAAAGTGGGGGGTAAAAATATTTGGATACGGTGGTAACTCGTTAGGGTGGGGTAGTCTGGAGATGGGGTGGGGTTGAGTTTGCAATTGTGGTACCGGAGACCCGAGACCTAAAAAAAAGAAAGCAGTTGGGGATGACACCGGACCTCCGGGAATAAACTAAGGAAACCATAGCTTTTCGTATCTTAAAATCATTTTGAAGACTGAGAGCACAACCTTTCGTGTTCAATGGGTGTCCTCACTTTACTACCTTACATGCTGACTAGCTTTACCTGCTTGGTACCCCTCCCCAGTTCAAAGGATAAGCGATTCCCACATCCAGAGGATCCAGCTGCCAAGTCCGAGCACCAGCTGTACCTCACCGATTTCCTTCACTTACCCCTAGTCTAGAAGGTATGGCCACCTCCCCATGGTATGAACCCCTGGTTGCATTACACACGCCAAAAGGGCACCCCCCACCCTCCAGATACACTACAAACATAACCTCCACCTGATCCTTCTGATTCCTTGACGGAAAAATGTTCATAGTACTAATATGCCCGTGACAACTTCCTGGAGCGATGCGTTTGCTGTAAAATAATTTCAGTTCTTGACGGTAATTTTGAAATAATCAAATGTTTGACCGAATGACATATTACATGACTAGATGTTTCAAAGGGTCAGAGGAAATTGACTGCGCCGTGCCCAGGCCCTTCAAGCTGTATAGATTCTTACTGCTGCCGTGACTGAGCGATCGCGGCCATGTGACATAGCACCCCTCGGAGCTCCGCAAGAGTTGACTGGACGCAATCTTGCAGCCCCTCCTGATCTTCTTGCGAAGCGTTGTGGAATTCTGTTAGGGAAGACTGTGAATGACGGACGTGACGGATCATCCCCGCAAGGCCCACCCAGCTTACAGGTGCCGTAGTGTACCCCATGTCGACGACCACTTGCCAAGAGCCTCGTCCCTGCAATGGTTGATTACGGAGGGGAGGCCCGACATTACATCGGATATAAACTCAATAGGATGTCCCACCCTTGGGTAGGACCTCGATATGGCTTTCTATGCCGTGACGACCTTAAGAAGTTTACTGCCTGGCACGGCGCGGTAGTGTGTGGGATCGATTCGGAGTTCATTGTTAGAGTACCCTACCCCCTGTCGCACGTCCATATTGAGGGTGGTGATTACTTATCACCCCTACATGTTTTACTTCGTTCCCGTGCACACTTTTAAAAAGTATTTATAAAATCATTTTACAGGCTCGTTTTTAAACTATAATTTCTGCAACTTAAAACTGAGTCACGGCACGAATTGGAAGTTGGCCTCTAAGTTGTTTTTTCTGTTTTTTTTCGTCATGGGAGCAGGGAACAAACAAGTTGCGAGTCAAGTTGCGAGGGAAGTGGCAGGCGTCCGCGGCCGAGGGCTGGCGGCCCATGCCATGTCATCATTGGGAAGAGTTGATCAGGGTCAACGAGGACAAGGACGTGGTGATGTAGTATGTCACTTCGGATAAGAAGGGACCCAACGCTGTAGATTTCAGTTTTTTACTAGAATTCATCATGAGAGAAGAAAAGCACTTCTGGATTTGTCTACGATTCTACAGCATTCTTGGCAGGATAGCCGCAACTTAGGGGTTCTAGTAATTCAGTCAAGAGTGCAGGAGGGAGCTATTAGTGATAAACAATGTAAAACAGGAAATAGATCGGATCATCTAATTTGTAACATGTGATTATCTTGGAGACATGCTTTCTGTACGCCACCAAGTAACCTCTCCCATGTCTTGGAATTTGTCTTCAATATGTTGCACTGCAGATACAAGATTAGCGGCACAATGCACATTGGCTTGCTTGAAGATGTTGATGTCTCAAATATCATTTGTTGTTGTGAAACATCACATGTTTGTTTCATTGTTCCACAAATGCATGCTAGGGCGCTTGTGTTGGACTCTATTTTAAACTTGTTACGATGTAGCCAGAAATTGCAGTATTTCGATACTGCAATAGACAGAGTAATTTGTCTGTCCCACATCCCAAATGAAGGAGTGATGGGTTTTATCCGGGGTCATGACGGAGATTTTTGCGCGAGACAACAACTACCCCACAGCATGTAGTCTCTTGAATAAAGTTCTGCCCCGACTACCAAGTTGTGTGCAGATCAACATCTCCAAAAGCATTCATGCCTTAACCTTCGAATTTTACTGATCCGATGATAAGAAATACCATCCCGCATCTGCCCATTGTGCTGGCATCAACCATGGTGATGTAGTAGTTCTGTTCAATGATAGTCTGTGATGATTCAGCCACGGAGAAAAAGTTTTCAAGTCTTTTAGCCATCGTTTTCTGGCACCTTTGCTATGACTATTGGCCTGGCAGTGCGTGATCATCACTGATATCCGTGGCCGCGACGGATCACCGTGTAACCGCCTTTGACCGCTCTTTGACTTTGGTCTAGGTGCGAGTTTGCGGGAGCGTATCAGAGCAAAGAAAGCGAAGTTTTCTGAGTCCTGAGCACTCCAAGAAAGCGCAGAAAGAGCGTATCAGAGCTCATAGGATAGCGAGCCCAACACAGGAGTGGTCAACACTCGAAATGTGGACAGCACACAAGGATAGCCTCTACAACTATCCAGACGAAAGACAGTGATTCTCTAACGGCTACTTTGGTTCAGAAGTCGGACCCCTCCGGGACGGCTTCCCTATCAAGCACCGGTGGAGCTCTCCTTTCTGGTAGAAACAAGAACAGGAGCAGCGCATGGACCAAAGGGGCCATAGCGACGGCACGAGGCAGGAAGACTCGTGCAAGCGAGGACCACTACCCCTGGGACTTCCACAGGGCTATAAAAGGATCAAGATCTTCATCTCTAGGTGGTCTGTCTTCCCTCCCTCTGTGTACCACGCATTTCCCTGTGTTGGTGTGGTTGCTGCAATAAAGCTTGATAATACTGTCTAGCACCTTCTGTGTGATCCAGCGGAGGTTCTTTGAGCATTCGCTTGGCTTGTGTGCAACCCGTAAAGCTTCGGGGTGTAACATAAATTGGTCACCGTGATCATGACTGTGATAGACAACAGTTAAGTTATAGTACAAACAATGGCCCGCGCCAGTCACGGACCGGCGGCGGGCCCGGGCAGTCCGATCCCGGCGATCACCCGGTCACGGTCCGATCGCCCCCGGCCGGACATCGGAACCGTCTTCGACGGAGGCCGCGTGTGACTGCCGGCCCCGGTTCATTGAACTGGGGCCGCTGACTCTGAGTGATCCACCGGGAGTCACCGTTCCGGCCCCGGCGCCGACGATACGGTAGTACGGTCCGTCAGTCCGAGTCAGCTGCTGGTCCGATCCGGCGCTGAGGAGTCGGCCCGGGCCGGGCCGCCGGGGCCGCCGCGGGGCGGCCGCCGGGGCCGCAAGCCTCAGTGTGTTCGGACTCGGACTGGCCGGGCGACTCGGCACGGGCCGGCGACGGCTCAAGGCTCAGTGACCGTACTACGGCGACTCCGTCCGGGCCGATCGGCCGGGACTGATCGGACCGTACCGTCACTGTATGAGTCAGCCGCGGGCGGCGGGGCCCCGGCGGGGGCCGGGCCGCGTGACCGTACTGGCCCCCAACTTAAAACTTTGAGTAACAGGCCCCTCGGACTGGCCGGGCCCAGTGCACTTGGGCCGCCACTTCAAGGCCCGTCCGAGTCATCACGGCGTGCGGTCCGATCATCCGGGCCTCCCGGCGGCGGTTGGGCCCGCCCCAGTGGCTCTCACTGCGGCCCGGGCCGGCCGCGGGGCCGGGCCGCATCACGCGGCTGGCCCATTGGGGCCCCCGGCGTCACGGCCGGGCGAGTCAGTTGATCCGATGATCGGCGGACTCGGCGGCGGCGGAAGGACTCAATTGATATTTCAAATATTATTGAATATTTCAAATTTTATGATCAATATTTAGATTTTTTCCTGAGACCCTCAAAAAGGACAACGAAAGGCGAAGGTTCAAACTGAGCGACTCGGGGTGGGGTGGTAGCTGAGCACAACCGCTTTAGAGAAGGCGATATCAATTTTACATTAGTATCACACTTAGGAAAACATGTGTGTAGATAGGGGGGGATACAAAGTCTCAAATGTCAGATGTGGTTTTGTAGCAGCTACAAAAGAAATATGGGAGGGAGGAGAAAGGGTTTTTACTCAAAAGTAGGAGAAAGACTTGAACGAAGATGCAGGAGAAGGCGTAGGGATGGAGGGGAAGGTGAGAGAGGAGGAGAAACAATGCCAGAAGAAGAAATGATAGGCGAACCAACGTTCATGCACCAGTGCGGTGTAAGGGTGTAAGAGAAGGACGATAAAGATCGGCAGAGCAAGGCAGCATTTTCATTGAGCGAAGGTACGATGTCGATACTGATGCAGGAGGCCCGAGGCTCAAGTTCAGGATAGACTGTGCAATCAAGGAGGTTGTGTTCGAAGATTGAAAGAGACCTATAGAACATTATGCATGATGCATGGACGGCATTTGTCAGATTATATAGCGAACATTTCCTGATATCTTACATCCTGGTACTCGTCGATGCTCTATATCTCTTATCTCTTGCCCTCATGTGTTCTGATCTCTAATCTGGTGGGCAGAGGAAAACTTGTAGCCTGCCGTCAACTTGGCAGCACGGATACGAATCAGTGTAGACCGGAACAATGGAAGATTTCTTCCTGCACGGCAGGGGTCCTTTCCTGCCAGCTGAAGGGAGGGCAGGGTAGCTATCATCAGGCATGAGCGAGCATCGCTGAAGGAGCAGAGCAACATCACTAGATGACCGACCGATCCGATGGGAGGGAGGGGAGGGAACACTATGACGACGAGACGGCCGACCCCCCCCGAAGGAGATACGGCCCTCTGAGGAGGGTTATGGGGGCAGGATTCAACAGGGAGGGAGACAACAGAAGGGTGATGTTGTAATTGTCTTCTGATCCACTCTTGACGACTTGTTCAAGGTCACGAGGGTAACCTCCTTCGTCTCCCTCAACAGCGCCTCGCTCTGGAACCTCCTCCTCGCGGACCTTGCGACCCAGCTGCTGCCATGGCATCGCTATGTGGTCGCTCTTCACCTCATTGCCGTCCTCTTCCTCCCCACACAGTCAGTCTTCGCTCTCTGCATCTGCGACTTCTTCCTCCTCCCTGCCAAGGCGTTCCTCACCTGCCTGCTCGTCCTCTCCATCGTCGAGCTCTGGGAGGACCTTCAGGTCGCCCTCATGCTTGTTGCTCTGATCTTGGGCCTCTGGTCACTCCAGCGGCTGTGGAGGATGTTCATCCGGCAGTGGGCCAAGACGCTCCTCCTCCTCTGCGCCAAGTCAGCCTACGGCAACTGCGAAGACTACTCCCACGTCTCTCCCCGCATCCGCAGGTTCGTCCTGTTCACCCTCAGCAGCAGCCAGCAGCTCTCCATCGCTCGCTCCCCCAGCTTTGTGCAGGCAGAACTTGCCATCCTCTTCAAGCTGGCAAGTGCTTCCTTGAAGGAGCGGGAGCTCTTGCGCCATGCTCTCCAGTCTTGTCTGCGGCTGCTCATCACACTTGAAGACTCCATGCTTCTCCTCGACGTCTGCGACAAGCTGGTGCAGTCCGGCGTCGTTTCCTCACTGTCCAAGATGCTGCTGGTGGAGGACATGGAGGTGAAGAAGATCGCTATCGAGATCCTCGGGATGATGAGCAGGACGGAAGACACCAGCTCCATTCTCATCGGGCAGGACCGGGAGATCCTGACTAGCATCGTAGACACGCTGCATCGCTACAAGCTCACCTCTCCCCACCTCGCCTCCTCGGCCTGTGCAGCGATCGCAGATGTCTGCTCGCATGACGTTGTGCACGAGTTTATCCTCGCGACCAACGCTTGCTCCGTCCTCCTTGAAGCCGCGCGGCTCCCTGGCATCTCCAACCTGCAGGTCTATGCTGCTCGCTCGCTCCTCAGCCTCAGCTGTGGCGTCGCCATGCAGCCCTCCTCCTCGCTGGAGGATGGAGGCGGGTTGAAGGAGGAGCATGCAAGGAGCCAAGAGGTCGAGGAGAGGGCACGAGACATTTACGACCTCTTCTTCGAGTTCCTGACCTCCAAACCTCCTCCTCCTCCCTCTCTCTGCCATCTTGCCTGCCAGTACTTCCGCAAGCTGCTCAGCAGGGGGCACCACGACCCTCTTGCTCGCCTCGCCATCTCGCAGGGGATCATCCGCATCCTCTTCCTCACCCTGAGAGATGCGGGTGAGACCGCGATCGTCATGGAGGCGCTTCCCGCCCTCGCTTGTATGACCATGACAGGAGAAGATCCTCTCCTCGACTCCATGAAAAAGCTGGTGAGTTAAGGACTCCTCCCTCCTCCCTCCTCCCTCCTCCCTCCTCCCTCCTCCCTCCTCCCTCCTCCCTCGTCCTCGTTCTTCCTCTCCATTTGCTTCCTCCTTGGTTTGCCTACAACACCTTTCTTGTCCTCGCACCTTTCCTCAGTACTCTGCAAAAGCTCCAGCTGCCTCCCTCCTTTCTCTAATCTATCCATATCCCCTTCAACGATATGGCTCTGCCTATGTGTCTGCTGATTCTATTCGCTAGCATGGTTTCCTTCCTGCCATACATCGCCTGCTCACACATCAGGTCAGGAGTCACTTTTTTCTCCTCCCCCTTCTTCCCCTTCCTTCCCTCCCTCCCTCCCTCCCTCTTCTACTTCCTCCCTCACAGTCAGCAGGACGGAGCCATCCGCAGGCATGCATGGATCGCGCTGCTCTATCTCCATGGGCGGCTGCTCTGGTGCGGAAGCGCATCTCTGTGACTCTGCTCATGCTCCTGCAGTCGCTCCTACGGCATGATCTCAAGGCGCCACTGCGATGAAGAGCGATGTCCCATCTGCTGGAACGACTACACCTTGGATGGTGAGAAACGGGCTCATCTTCTTGCTCCTGCTCCTGCTCCTGCTCCTGCTCCTGCCTCCTCCAGCAGCTCCTCTTCCTCCAGCTCCTCTTCCTTGTACCCGGTCTTTCCTTTCTCTTCTTCCCGTTCTTGTCCTCCATTCCCTCCGCCTCCTCTTTTCCTTGCTTTTTCTGTCGTCCCTCTTTCCTGCGCCTTTCTCTTGATCACCTGCTACCTTGCGAGCGGATGGATCCTCTTCCTGCCCTCCTCTTCTCGTGCTGTTCTCATATTCGTACAGACACAGTTGTCGTCCTCCCCGACTGCCATCATGTTTTCCATCACGCCTGCATCAATTCTTGGTTGGTGGGCAAACAGGGTCAGTACCCTCCATCGCTTCCCTCTTCCCACTCCTTGCTGCTGCTCGCTGCCTCCCTGCTTCTTCCGTTCCCCTCCTGTCTCTCGCCTTCCCTCACTCCTCCTCTGCCTCCTCCCCACCTGCGACATCCTCTCATGCTTTCTTGCAGGGACGAGCTCCTCTGCCATCAATCACGATTGCCCTCTATGCAAGCGAATCATCTCTGTTGTGCCACTATGATCCCTCCATTGTATTTTAATAAATGTCAATTCTCCTGCTGCTGCTGCTGCTGCTGCTGCTGCTGCTGCTGCTGCTGCTGCTGCTCCAGCCTGCTGCCTTTCTCACCACCTACTTCCTCACATTCACCACACTTCACGAATGATGTCGGGATCATATCCCCTCCCCCCCCGTTCCTTGCTTTACTTCGGCTTTACTTCGGCTTTCCCAGCACGATGATTTTGTCTCGCTGCGCAAGGCTGAACACTTCATCCTGCTTGGGGATCAGGCTTAGAGTTAGTTTCCCTCCTCCTGCCTCCGTCGGGGTCACTCGCAGGACCCCCAGCGCCAGCTGCCGATTGCCCTTGACCCTCCTCTGAATCTCCCGGAAGCTTCCAACGAATCCATCCTCCTCCTTGAAGAGGTCCCCGACGCTCTTGATCTGCAGCTCCGCCCGGTCCTTGCTGAGCAGCGAGTGAAAGATCTGCTCGAGCTTCGGCTGGAGGAGGATGTGGACGAGAGCGCCGGACTCGATCTTGTCGGCGAGGATGAGGTCGTACTTGAAGCCTGCTTTCAGGCACAGCGAACGGATCGAGACATAGTTCTCCAGCGAGTAGACGGTCCCAACCACTCGAGGACGGGGCTTGCTCGGGTGCCAGTGGAGCTTTGAGAGCGTGTCGATGGTGGAGAAGAGTTCCGAGTCGGAGAACTGGTCCACGTTGGAAGGAGCGTCAGTGTCAGACAGGATCAGGATGCAGTCTGCCTCCAGCACCCCTGCCTGCTCCAGGTTCGAAGGCTCCAGGGTGTTGCCCCGCCAGAACTTGACCGGCACGCGACGGCGGGGAAGGGGATGATTGTCATTGTACCCCAGCTCCTCCATGTTCTTCTTGTCTGTTAGCACGTCAACCCGCGCTCCTCTCGGTGCGTTCTGCCGGATCTCGTCCACAGTAGTCTGCCCACGTTCGTTCCAGTTGAGGACCAGGATATTCTTCGGCCTCCTCTCCTCCCCCAGCCCCTTCCCAGCAGCCGCTGGTTGCGCTGCCTCCGTGAGGAGAGGGACCGGGCTGTCCCGCGCGAAGAACCTGGAGAACAGCTGGGGTCGGAGCTTCGTGTGGTCGGAAGCCATGGCGATGATGCGGTCGTCGTTCTGGAGCTCGGTCTCGTCCTCCGGCATCATCATCAGCTCCTCTCCTCTCAGGATCCCGCACACCACGGCTTCAGGGAAGTGCTTCTGCAGCTCCGCGTACCTCTTCCCCACCAGCCACCTCCTGGAGCTTCCCAGCGTCTCCTCTGAGTACATGAAGTGGCAGCCGCCCTGAGTCAGCATGATCTTGTTGTACAGGACGGCGAGGCCGTGCTCGGGGGACAGGCAGCACTGGGTGAGCAGCTTTCCTACAAACTCCTGGTCCTCGCAGATGGTGAAGCCCTGCTCCAACTCCGTCCAGAGCTCCGCCTGCCCAGGGAGGGAAAGGACGGGAGCTTTCATCCCCTCCTCCTCCATCGGCCTCAGCCTCTCCAGCAGGGAGGTCTTGGTTCTGATCTCCCGCAGGAGCAGGGGACTCGCTTCCCCGTCCACCACCTCCTCCCTGTTCTTCTGGCAGCTGAGCATCAGGACATGCGCCGCATCTTTCACGCAGACATTCTGCAGGTCCTCGAGGCTCTTAGGATCCCCCTGCCTCGTCACGATGTTCAGCGGCCCGTTACCCCACATGTCCGGCCGCAGCCCCTCCCTCCCCATCCCCTTCTTGATCTCTTCGTACACCTGGAGCTTGTCCTGCGGGGTCATCACAACAATCGGCTCATTCTTGAGGATCGAAAGCGCGTTGCCCTCCTTGGAGGCATGGCCGAGCGTGCAGACTACTGAGACCACCTGGGAGCAAGGGTGAGAGAAGAGAAGAGGAGAGCGACAAGGGGAGGAGAGAAGGAGAGCGACGAGGTGAGAACAGGAGGATGGGATGGATGAGGAAGTAAAAGGCAGAAGGGGCTGGGGAAGAGGTAGGAGAAAGAGCACGGGGAAGAGGAAGAATGGGAGGAGATGAAAGAGCGCTTTGAATATTTTTTGACAACGGAGCCAGCAACAAGACCGGGAAGCGAGGAGAGGAGTGAAGGTAGCAGGATACACACATGAACACTGAGTATGTTGACAGAGAACAAGATTTCTCGACGACTCACTTGATCGTTGAAGACGTCGGAGAGGAGGAGGATGTGACCTTTCTCTACAACAGGACCGTTGTTCATGATGATTCCGTCGACTGAGAGTTTCACCGTAAGAGCTACCACTCCACATATCCCTGCCAGCTTCAACCAACCTGTCAGTATCAACGCCCAGTATTCCCTCCTCATAAACATCAAGACAAGACAAGCAACGTCAGACAAGGGATCAGCTGCTTCATCAGAGGTAGAGCATACCCAGAGGGTGATGTTCAGTCCTGTCGCTTTCTCCAGCTTCTTCAGCCTCGTCCGGAGAGCAAAGACGGCCTGAACGAACGAATCCACCTTCGAGGTTCCCCACGACTTGGATGCTTGCTTGTCAAATTTCTTCTCCTGCTCCTATCATCAACCACGACACGATCCTCTCCTCCTCCTTCACCATCCGCTTGTTGAATAGCCCTTGCACTGACAGCGTCAAGGTCCGCAACAGCAGGAGCAGCAGAGCCCCGACGCCCGTCAGCACAACGCTGATGCAAAGAAGGGCCAGCACTTGTCCAATCAGCCCTCCCATCAAGATCCGCTGCATGAAGTACAACCCCCATGGCCCCAGGCCGTACTGCACGATCTGACTGGCAGCCTCGAAGGCAGGAAGCGACAGTTGCATCGCCGTCCGTCCCTTCTCGCTCCTTGACTGAAGCGCTACAATCGCCCTCTTGGCGAAGGAAGGAGACAACCCGATGGGCTTCACGAGCGGAGGATGGAAAGTCTCCGCCAGCGGAAGCAGGACAAGATTGATCACGAGGAGCTGCTGCATTCGCACGGGTACGACAAACTTCCCCATCGTCTACCGTGCAACCCTTGCGGTCCAGAGTTACGCCCTCCTACTTTACAGAGACGGAGACAGGGGTCGGTGCGCTTCCACGAGGGATAACAGAAGGAGAGGAAGTGAGACGAGGATGAGTAGCGAGTATAAGTCAAGAAAGCAGCAGGCGAAGCAGCTTGAAAACTCAAACTCCAGCGCAAAACGTTCAGGCCAAGTTTGATGTGACCAGCGAAGAGGCAGTTGATGCTTGAGAGGGCAAGGATGAGTCCACAATGAGAGCTCGGGGAGTTAGAAGATCATCCAGAAAGAAGAGGAGAGAGAGCACGAGCGGGAGGGAGGGGGCGTGAGAGGACGGTACTGCTTACCCGCCGCCGCTCCTCCTTCAATCCGCCATGACAGGATCCGGTCGAGCGGTGACAGAGTTATAAGAGGTATATGGGTACATAAATGGGGTGGGGTAGTCTACCACGAGGGGTGAAGATCTACAATAAATACTTCGTCTAGGTGAAAGAACAAGGGTGGGTCCTCTAAAAGGGACCAGATGAAAGGAGGGGTGGATCGGGGGTTCAGTTCTAGAGAGGTGGGTGGGTACTTCGGTAAGGGGGTTCCCGCTTTAAAAACAGTCATTATAAAACTGGTTCGGGTGGTCAGTGGGAGGGGATACGGAAGGGGTATCAACCTTTGTACCGGTAGTACGAAAGGAAAAAATGGGTGGAAGTAGGGGGTAGAGAGAACTCGATCTCGTGGGGAACGGGGGGTGGTCAAACCAGGGGTGACAGAAAAGTAAACTGTCGATGCGGAAAAGTGTTCTTTGGAGCGAAAGGACAGAACTTTACAATATATTTTATATAAAAGTTGATCTTGTGGATACTGTGTGTAACGGGGGTGGGTAGTCTTGCATTGGTGGGTTATCAATCAGAATACTGCCAATGTACCCTCCGGTCACCAGCGGAATTGGGTCTTTTTCTGGGTGGGATTAATTTGTCAGTTCGAGTGGGGGTGGGTATCACGAATGAGAGGTGGGTCCGAGAAAGCTGGTGATTGTTGAATGCTTCAAAACATTTTTAGAAACGAAAACCTCTATTTTCATTGAAGATAAAACATTTTGTGGAAGTTGAGGCTACGAACGAAACAAAAAAGTCTTTCCATGTCTGGAAGAGGTAAAAGAAAAACAACCACCCCACTCCATTCCTTCATGTCAACTTTGGGGTACAAAGGGGTAAACCAAATTAACTCTGTACTTGTCATCAAAGCGTTACCCCGCCCCCATCTCGGTGCAGCGCTACATGGCTTAATAGCGTGGAGAGGCGATGAAGGGGAGAGGAACCGCAACAGGCGGCATGCGCGCTGCTGCTGCTGCTGCGATGTCCTGTGTTCTATCCTGGACCCTTGTGGTTCCGTCCTCGGGGTTTGTCCATCACGCTGGTTACCCTGCCCTCCCGCGTCCCTCTTCGCCCCTCGTGCATGTCGGGCGGAGGTTTCCCGGGTGCCGGGAGATGCCCTTGTGCACAGGGAGAGAGAAGTTTGACCGATCACCTAGAGTAACTAGAGTAAGACTTTCTCAGATGGAGACTGAGGAAGACCGCGGGTTCTTCGAGGACAAGTTGGGCAAGGAGGTGAGCAAGAAGGGACTTTCAAGGAGGACATTTACAAACCTGCTCTTCCTGTCTCTCGGACTGTTCTTCGGGAACCTCCTGGGCAGGATGTCGAGGTCTTCGATGACCGAGGACTTGCAAGAGATCCAGCTGCTGGAGGAGAAGACCAAAGAGGAGATCTCGATGCTAAAGGATCTCAGCAACAACCTGTCAAGCGTCTCACAGGAAGAAAGGAAGGCGGTTCTGGATCAGGACTCTGATTCCGACTCCTCCTCTACTCCCATCGCCCCCTTAGCGTTCATCGGAACCGTCATCACCTCCCAGGCCGCCTTCTTCATGCGCGAGTACCAGCGGATCAAAGATGGGTTTGACCCCAAGAACGACTCGGACGTCACGTTAGGGGAGATTGTACAGTACAGGCTGGACTACTACCTGTCCACCAATCCTTACGCCAAGGCTCTCCTGCTCCTGAACTCAACCTTCCTTGTCATCCTCTTCGGAGGGATGATCCTGTCTCTGACGCAAGGGGAGGACATCGGCAGTGCCCTGTGGGAGTCTTGGACGTACGTCGCTGATCCAGGAACGCAAGTCAACGCTGAGAAGCCCGGACTTCGCGCCATTGCGCTTGCGATCACCGTTGGAGGACTCGTCGTGTTCGCCTTGATGGTTGGTCTGATCACAGAGTCCGTCTCGGAGCAGGTGGAGGATTTCCGCAAGGGGAAGAGCAGAGTGCTGGAGCACGGGCACACGCTGATCCTTGGCTTCAACGACAAGTGTCTGAGCATCATAGAGGAGCTTGCGATCGCCTTTGAGAGCGAGGGAGGAGGGACCATGGTGGTGCTATCGGATCATCCCAAGGAGGAGATGGAGACGATCCTCCAGGGAGCGATTGACAGCAAGGAGCGCAGACTGAACCTGAGGGGCTCTCAGGCCAGTCCCGCCCCTCCCGTATGTCAGGGTGTGACGATGTGTGACAGGTTATCTTTCGGAGCGGGGACCCCCTGCTAGAGCAGGAGCTGTTCAAGGTGGGAGTGACAAGGGCCAAGTCCATCATCGCCCTGACTCGAGAGGATCTGGATCCCGACGAGGCAGACTCCCTTATGCTCCGACAGGTGTTTCTGCCTTTCTTCTCTGCTCCTGTCGCCTGAGGCAGCTGCTCAGGTCCTGTCGCTCAAAGGGACCATGTCGAGCAGGACAACAGCCAACGCGCCCCACATCACGATCGAGCTCCAGGTCTGCAACGCTCTCGAGCCCTGTCTTCTCAGCGTGTCTTGTCAGGATGTGGACAACAAGAACCTAGTTCAGCTCGTCTCGATCAAGACGGAGATTTTAGTGTCTCACGACTTGATCGGTCAGCTCATGATCAGCTGCTCGAGGCAACCTGGCCTGGCCTACGTAGTGGAAGCTATCTTCAGCTTCGATGGATCGGAGTTCTACTTCAAGGAGTGGCCGGAGCTGATCGGCAATCGGTTCGGCGACCTTGTCTGCCGGTTCGATGACGCCATTGTGATGGGGGTGAGGAGATGGAAATGTACGAGCTGGAGGGGCTGAGATCTTGTGCCAGGTCCGCACGAAAGATGGGGAGGTTATTCTGAATGCCGACAGGAGCTACGTGAGATTTTTCCCTCTTTCTCCCTTCTCTTCCTCCCTCACGCTCACTGCAGAGGATTGCACCCGGCGACGAGCTGATCTGCATAGCCGAGGACGACGACTCTTACTCACTCAACGACGGCTTCTTCATGCAGTCACGAGCTGAAATCCTGGGAAGGTTCGAGGAGGAGAAGGAAGAGGTGCCGCAATTGCAGGGGAAGCGATCAAAGCTCAAGTATCTGGCTACCCGTACGCTATCTCGAGCCATGGACACGTTTTCAGGGGCGCCAAAGAACAGGAGGGCGAGGAAGCAGCCGGAGAGGATCTTGTTCTGCGGGTGGAGGAGAGACATGGCGGACATGATTAAACACCTGGATGGGATCGTAGAGCCAGGGAGTGAGTTGTGGCTGCTCAACACGGTACCTGTGACAGAGAGGAATGAGATGCTGACAGACAAGGGGAACAAAGAGAAACTCAAGCTGAAACGCCTGGTGATCAAGAACGCGCAGGGCAACCCGACTGTTCGCCGCGACCTGCAGCGAGTCCTGGCACTTGATGAGTTTGGTTTCGAGACAGGAGAGTACCGTCTGCTCACAGAGTATGACAGCATCCTGATCTTGGCAGACGAAGCCATCACTGATGGATCGGATCTCAAGAGCACGGACGGCCGTTCCCTTGCGGCCTTCCTCCTAATCTCAGACATCAGAAGCAAAATCTTGGCTGAGAACAGTGATGAAAGGATGCAGAGGGATGGCGGGAGGGAAAGAATCATCAGTGAGATCCTGGATGCTGCTAACACCAAGAGCCTGCTCCGGGAACTTGACTGTAAGGGGTACGTCATGTCAAACAAGATTATCAGCAACGCTCTTGCTCAAGTGGCAGAGAACTCAGCAATGAACATAGTGATGTCCGAGCTGCTGGCGTCAACGGGCAATGAGCTGTTCCTAGAGGACGCGAGCGAGTTTGTGGATACGCAGGAAGGAAGTGCTGTTCCGTTCTGGGAGATTGCGCTGAGGGCAAGTCAGAGGAACTTCGTGGCGATTGGATACAGGGCAAAGGGGATTGACTTCGCATTGGACAATCATATCAAGACATTGGTAAATCCTACAGGCAAGGATGTTCCAAGAGTCTGGGAAGAAGGAGACCAGATTGTCCTCATGGGCAGAAGAGATGGTTGATACCTCTCCTTCCGAGAGATTACCGCTTTTTGCAGGCAGTTGCTTACCTGGCCGATCAAATCTTATCCTCTTTTGATGTAAATCTCGTGAATTTATAAATTTGATTGATGAAGACCATGAAATGAAAGTGTTTCAACCCAAAAGAGAAAAACAAATGCTGCTCAAGCTCTGACAGAATTTATGGTAATTTCACGATCTATGCGGAATTACTTTGACTTATGAAGAGACAATCTGTCATGCTTCCTTTTTTTCATCGACAAGAGCCTGCTTTCATCCAGGGTTCTAGTTTTGATGCCCGGGTCATAACCACTGTTGAAAGTGTGCGGGTCTCCCTTAATCCAAAAAGAGTTTGAGTTCGTGAAAGATGCACCAAGAATTACCTGCCGCAACTTCCCGCCCAATGATGGTTCTTTGTAACTCACAACAGAGTGTCTACGGGACGCCTTTTCTCTTGGGGGATAGAAGTTTTCCATGTCATCGATTTCTTGGCTCGGGCTTGTCTGTCTTGACCCGCCTTCAACGGCTTGCTCTTCCAACGCGTCGTCCCTTAGGGGACCTTGAAAAAGTTCTCTCCTCGAATTTGCAGAAGTGGTGCTCCTCCGTGATTGGTCAGCAATATCCTGCAGAGCTGGTCTTGACTTCTTACATGCAGATTCAGATTCATCCGACGACTCTTCCTCCAGCGCTTTCAATGCACTTTTCGAGTGCTTGGAAACATTTTTCGAGGAAAAAGATGATGATGTTGATGATCTCTTGCCTACGATAGAGCTGAACTCATCAAGAAATTCTCTTTGTGAAAACTTCCTGTCTATGCAAGGGCTGAATCAGAAAATTGTGTGATGGAAAATCCTATACCTCGAGAATGTACGGTCTCTTCGTTGTTTACAGACCTTCGGCCCAAACCCAGATCCGTTCCGCCATCACGCTCTCTTGCGTTAGAGATCTAAATTCAATTCAAAACGATGGTACCAGACTTGTAATTGAGGTACCATCAACTGCATCTTTAGGCGGTTGTTTTCAGCCTGAAGCTCACCAGCCATCATTTCGACTGAAAAGAATGAAATGATTGAGTCTCTTTTCATCGTTGTGGCATCAAATTCAAGACAACCTTTTCGTTTTTGGTCTCTTAGCTTGCTATTCTCTGATATGAGCTGATTGTTTTGTTTGGTGAATTTACACAAAGCTCTGTGCAATTCTGTCTCTTTCACCCTCTTCACCATCTCGATTTCTCGTTGGTGTTTTGCTAGCAGATGCTGTAAACTCATGGAGTCTTTCAATGACGCTATGCAATTTGAGTTCTCCTTTCCAGACGGTTGCTCCATCTGCAAAACTTCAAAGTCAAAAACGAATTATCGGAAAAGGCAGTTGATAAAATGATGAGCATCAAAACAAAATGCGATGATTCCTTGCAAGAATATCTATCTCACTCGATCTTCCTTTTGAATCATCCATCCAAGAGTGTTATCATCTATGATTGATCTATTTCCTTCAGCTCGCATGCCCTTCCCTTCCCCGCTACTCCAGGCCCCATCGCCCCCTCCGAGCCATCTTCGCGCCAAAAAGTTTGTGGCGTCTCGCGGCGTGTAAAGATAATTTTACTCATTTCCTTTCCAGGGCCCGCCTCACTTCAATAACAACCGTTTCTTTTGGTAACGTCCTTGATGGGCTTGGCGGGGAGGAGGATCAGCAGGGTGGACGGAATGCAGGGAAAGCGGTGCGGTCGGGCTGGACAGGGGAGGAGAGACAGAGAGTAGCGTGAAGAGAAGGAGAGGAGAGAAAGGAGGGAAATGTTGTCGTCTGCCTGCTCATTTTACTTGGCTCTCGTTGCGACGGTAAGTCATGGTTGTGGATGCTGTTTGATTGACCATCGAGAATGGCTGTCAGGTGTCGTGCTGGGGCCAGGGATCCGATGCTGGGAGGATAGGGCTGAGGGGAGGCAGTCGTCTGATCCTGCCAAGGTATATCATGTTGACAGCGAGATGACGATGATCAACTCAACTGCATGGCAATAGCAGGATAACATCTCGCCTGCGAGGCGGGGCACAAGAAATCACAATCCCGAAGGACTATGCTTATCTCTCACAGGTTTGACTCCTCTGATTCCAATGCTGCTGTCCTCATATGGTGCTTGGATAGGCTCTAGAAGAATTTGTACCCACGAAGGCCAGATCCCTCTGTGCTGAGTAACCCGTGGGCTGACGGGATCCTTCAGATGGAAGACGAGTGCATCGAGTTTCATATCGAGGACGGAAACCATACAGTGGGGCCAGAGGCATATGATGGTGCCTTAAGATCTTCCCAAGCCTACAAATCTGATCAGCTCTGGTGCAGAGCTCATGGCAACTTTCAACCTCAGCTCAACGGTGAGAGTGTACGGGACAAGAGAAGCAATGATGTGAGTTAGAAGAGAGATGAAGGGTGCCGGCTGTCCGTAGAAGCTGACAGTAGGGAATGTGGTCACATAGGTGGGGGACGTTGGACCTCAATGGTGCTGGAGGGACATTCGAGGGCATGAAACTGGTAGATCTTGCCGTCCCAGGGGAAGGGGTCGAACTGGTAAGAGGTGTCAGCAAGTAGGACGAGACGGGCTGAGATTGGACGCATGACTTGCAGCAATCCCTCGGGGACAACTGCATTTGTGTAGAGGAAGGTGAATGGCGCTTCACAGATTGCGAGGTGCCTTCCTTTTCTGTCGCGTCGATGCCATGATGACGTATTGGACAGATCCAATGCAGCGGGACAGCAATGCGCGTCGCAAATGAAGCAACAGCAACATGGTTGGCAGTCAGCCAGATGATGTGAGAGATTCTGAGTGGTGTGTAGGGAAAGATGCTTCACGGGAGGATCAGACCTGTCGAAGCCACCTCCTATCAACTTGACGGAGCTCGGTCTGGAGATAAGCGCAATGCAGTTCTTGCTCGAGCAAGGGCACAGGTTTGATTCTTGCAGTCTCAAATCATGATGCAAACTTGAAGCTCCACATTGTTGTTTTGTCTCGCTGACATGCACTTCTTCGTTCTGCAGGAACAAGACAACGGGCTATCCCATCACTGAGCACACATCGATGCCACGGTGACCGCAGCTTGCCTTCTCGCTCGAGACCTCCGTTGACTTGCAACAGATACGCTGTCACAGCATGGGACAGGGCAAAAGTCAACATTTTATCTTGCACAATTCAGAACATGTCATATAATGGAATATGCTGCCTGGAGAACTCCACCTTTTGGATTGAGGTTGGTGGAGATGTTTTCATTCGCAGCGCTGAATCCTTTAAAATTTGCAGAATTGCTCGATCACGGGATCCGGAATGTCTGGTGTCTTCATGGAGTCTGCTTGCAATGTCACCCTGATCGGATGTTACCTTGCGGACAACTACGCATGTTTGACGTGATAGAGCAACCTCGGGCCTTGATGCCATGGGCTCCTGACCATCTTGTAGGGTTTGGGGAGGCCTCAGTGAAGAGAGGTATGCTCTAACGGGCCCGTATTCGTCTGACTCCGATCTGGTGATCTCAACATGGATCTTGAGACTTGAGGGCTGGTGTGATTCTTGTGACAGGAGCTCGTGGTTGAACCCGAGTGCACCTTGACGGCTTTCAACAACCGGTCTTGTGCCAAGATGAATGTTGAATCTGTGCTGACTTTCCTTCAAGACTCTCGGGAATGATATGGGCGGGGAGACAGAGGCCAAAGCACTTTGTGGAAGACAACAACGAAATAGAAGACGGTGATCTGACTGTTCCCCTGCTTGCTCTGACCTCCATCCACAGAGATTATTCCGTCCGAGGACGAGGGGCCATTGCAAGGGTAAGGATCTGTTGACTCGGGTAGTCCCCCCCTCACTCTCCTTATCTCAGCCTTCCGGAAGTCCCCTTCATGAACTTTGAAGGAGGGGAGAATAAGACTCTCTGGACCATCGATGAACCGATCCCAATGCCGAGATGGGCCCGGAAGGACAGGCCGGGAGGCGATGGAGTGTACATGTGGGGTAAGCTACTGCTGGTTTTCAGTTTCCCCTCTGCTCCCTCTACCTCCTGCTGCTAATTTCCTTCCACACCCTGCCGGTCCTATTGCTCCTGCAGATTCCTTCTCCTGTTGCTGCTGCTGCTGCTGCTGCCGCCGCTGCTGCTGCTCCTCCTCCTCCTCCTCCTCCTCCTCCATTTTCATGGGGACCTCGATACCCTCCTCCTACTCCGTAACTCCTGCCACTATCACCTCGAATCTCTCCATGGATCTTTCCCCTCCTGCCTCCGCCTCCTTCAGCGCCAATGATTTAATCTGCGCTAGATCCACAAGACCAGAAGACCGAGGACGAGACGAAACAAGTTTTCCGGGACCTGAAGCTCCGGGACGGGGACTACGAGAAGGTGGCGAAGGCTATCGAATCTTACAACATCAAGAACAAGAGGTCCAAGAAGAGTCTATCGAGCGACCCTCCTCCAGGGGAGTTCGAAGACTGAACTTTATCTAGTGATAACTGGAAATACAATGAACCTTCATCATGTGGCGGCGGTTGGGCCGATACTCAAAGTCGCATCGGGTGCATACAATGCTCCGGTCCCGGGCCCGGGCCCGGGCCCGCCTGTCACTGAGCGTTCAACGTGAGTCTCTCATGGCACGTTTTCGGGCTGCTGGGGCTCAGAGGACGTAGGAGGGGTCTGTTACGCCTTGTGAGTGCGGGTCAGGGGGTGGGAGGTCAAAGTGGGGGGGTGGGGGTAGGAAAGAGCAGGGTGATGCAGCTTGAATGACTCAGAAGTACCTGTCAGAGTCGGGTGAAAACAGGTCAAATGTGGGGTACATGGTACGGAAAGGGGTGGGGGTGGGATAAAAAGATCTCCGGTGACGGGGTTGGCAGTTTGGAGGGGATGAGGGGTCTCGATATTTTGTAGAGGGGGCCGCCATGGGATCAGGGAGCGGCGAGGGAAGCGGCGAAGGAGGAGAGAGGAGGTAGAGAGGAAGGAGAGAGGAGGAAGGAGAGAGGGCTACAAGATGGAGAACACTCTCTTGCTGTCTCTCGCTCTCATGATGGCGCAAGTCGCCGGGGGCTCTCTACACACGCACTCAACTTCTTGTGGGTTTGTCGCCCCCTCCTCGGCCATGGTGAACAAGCACCACTGCATGGTCGGAGCTCGAGCGAAGGGATGCACGTCGTATCCTGCTCTCTCTCATAGCAGCCAGGTGTCCATGGCGCTTAGGGCACCTAGGATGAGCATGGACCCGATGCCGAGCGCGCCCAACCCCGTCTCAAAGCTGTGGGGGGAGTGGACAGATATCGAAGTCAAGGCTGCGACAGTGATCTGGGTGAACCGTCTTGTCATCGGTCTTGATCTCTGTCCCTTTGCCTTAGCGTCCATGCCAGGGCTGAGAGTTGTTGTGTCTAGCGCCATGGACAAGGAGCAAGCGCTCGATACGCTGGCGGAGGAGATGGGGTACCTTGCTGAGACCCCAAAGGACAAGCCAGCGACGACACTCGTTGTGTTTCCTCCTGCTCTCTTCGACAAGGAGCAGAACGTCACCATGATGCTCAAGGGGCTGGAGGACCCAGCGGAAGGGGAGGGGAGGATGGGGAGCCTGTCGCCAGGTGAGGACAACTTGGCGGCGCCTGCAATGGAAGTGAGGATGAAGGGGGAGATTATGGCGGAGGACGGGGGCGCTGCACCGGTCGCTGCGATGGAGAATTTTGTTGCGGAGGAGACGCAGCTGGGGGAGGAGGAGGGGGTGAAGGAGCAGTTTTTCAACGAGGTGGAGGTGGACGAGGAAGAGCTCAGGGCGGAAAGCAACTTTGCGAATTTCATGGAGATGGCGTACGAGGCGATAGCTCTTTCCCAGGACCTCTTCGGCGACGACGCAGCCAGCGAAATGCTCCTGCTTACCTTCCACCCCAACTCCACCTTCAGCTCCGTCCCCTTCGACCCAGCGGACTTTGCGCTGCGCTCTCCCTTCCCTACTGTTCACCTGCTGCGGGGGGTGGATATCCGCAAGGCGGAGGAGTCTTGCGAGCGACGGAACAGCACGACAGAGGAGATTGCGATGAGAAATGAAGCAAGATTGAGGTAGGAGGAAGGGGAGGAGGGGGAGGGGGGACGGAGGAAGGGGGGGGAGGGGATACAGGAGAAAAGGGAAGGTGGAGGTAGGGAGGGAGGACTACAAAAAGAGGGATGAGAGGAGGGGTGGAGGGGTCATGGGAGTAGGGGAGGAGAGAGGATGAGTGGGGAAAGGCTGATGGGGGAGGAGGAGCAGGGAGGAGCAGGGAGGAGGATATGACGCTAACTGAAGATGTCAGGGGCATGGGATACCGCGAGCTCGTGGAGATGCTGGGCGATATCTACGTGAGAGCCAAGGGGGTGACAGCATGAGAAGACGAAGCCTGAGGAAGACAAAGACGAGACACGGAGAGGAGACGGGGGGGGAAGCGGCGGCAGGACGAGGACGAGGACGAGGAGGGAGGGCAGCTTGTTTGGCTAAGTTTTTCGTTGGATGAACATGTCAATACGCGTCTGACTCCTCTCGCTTCCTCGTTGTTGCCCCTTCTGCGATTCCATCAGAGCTGTGGCCAGTGCGACAGGAGGGGAGGAAGAGGAAGGGAGCAAGAGAGCTAGAAAGGGAGGAAGGAAGAAAGGAGAGGATGGGAGAGGAGGATTGGAAAGGGACCGGTGAGAAGAGAAGAAGCAAGGAGAGCATCTGTAAGTATGCAGGATCGGATGAGAAAGGAGGGAGATGGGGTAGGGAAGGGGCCGAACAAGGGGAGGAGAATGTCACGCACCTTTCCCGCTACCTTGGGCTGCTCACCTTGAAGGAGGATAGAGACTGCCGCCTCCACGTTACCCCGCGCTGCAACGCCCAGGTTACTTCCTCCCTGTCCTTTCCTCCTCGCTCCCCCTATCCTCCCCATTAGCTTCTCTTTCCTCCCCCTCCTTTTCTCCTCCTTTTCTTCCCCCATTCATCCGCCTCCGCCTCTCCCTCTCCCTCTTCATCTCCTTCCTCCTCTCCGCCTCCTCCTCCTCCACAACCTCCATCCCATCCTCCTCTCCCTCCTCCTCTCCCTCCTCTCCGCCGCCTTCTCTCCCTCCTCCTCTCTTCTTCTACCTCCCCTTCCTTTCTTCTACCTCCTCTTCCTCCTCCTCTACCTCGTTCAAGTGATCGCTGAGCAGCTTCCTTGCCGAATCCCATCTCCATGATTGATTTCACAGCCTCTTCACGTCGGACGTCTTCTCTGCTCCTCCTCCCCCCACCTTCCTCTCCCTGCTCCTCGACTTCTTTCCTCTTCTCGGCAAGACCCGACGGACTTGCAAGAAGGAACCTCTTCATCAGTCTCTGAGCATGTTCTCCTGCTTCTCCTCCTCTTGCCTTGGCGCTCTTCCCTTCCGTCTCAAACAGGAACGCCACCGCCACCCTCGTCACGTTCCAGGGGACGGGGAGTTGCATGCTCTCAATCCCCAGCATCGCTGCTTCCTCCACTCCGCGAGCAGCTTCAGCAATCGCTTCCTCCTTTCCCACGTTGGAGCCAGCTCCTCTGCTCCTGCTGCTTGCCTCCTCCTCCTGCCCCCTAGCACGAAACGCGAGCCCGTCCTCGAGGCCCCGCTGGAGAGAGCAGAAGGCTTGTGGCACAGCGACGCTCTTCGAGCGCATGCCCTCGTACTCCCTGCGAGCATGCACGACGAGCTTGGCAGGGGAAGCATTGCTTCTCCTCCTCTCCTCTATCCACCTGGATACCAGCTGGCGCGACAGGAGGGAGACAAGCGCCCGCAGGTGACCCGGGGAGGGAGCAGGGGGCAAGAGCGCTCGACGAGCATGCTCTTGGCTCCTCCTCTGTCCTTGACTTCCTCCCATCGCCCCCCAGAGGGTAGCGAGCAGAGGAAGGAAGCTCTCTCCTTTCCAAACTTCTCCTCTATCACCCTCCGTTCCACCTTTCCCAGATCCCCCACCAGTCGCACCCCGAGAGCCTCGCATACGCTTCCTCCGAGCTTGCCGCGGAGCGAAGGGATCTGCATGAGAGGGATCGAGCCCATGAAGGAGGAGACGTGGGGAGGAGGGAGGAGGGTTATCCCGTTAGGTTTGTGAATGCCTGACACCAGCCGCGCTTGCAACTTGTTCCCTCCTATCCCGATGCTGACTGAAAGGCCCATCCTCTTGCTCAACTTCTCCTTGATCTCCGTGGCGATTCTGCAGGCTCTCCGCAGGGGAGGAGGGAGGAAGGAAAATGTCACTTCCCCAAGGATGAAGAGTCTTTCATGCCTCCCCTCCTCCTGCTCCTGCTCCTGCTCCTCCAGCCGCTGCTCCTCCCCTTGACCTGCCCCCTCCCTCCTTCTCACCATCTTGGATACATCAAGGTAGAAATCATCATAGGAAGTTTTTTCCACCTCCCCCCACTCCCTCAGTTGTTCCTGCAGCTCCCGCGCGACCTCCCTGTACCTTTCTGTCCGCATCGGCAGCACGCGCAGGCCAGGGCACTTGACTTTTGCCTCCTCCATGCTCACACGCCCGACCAGCCCCTGCTCCGCATGTTACTTCCCTTCTTTTTCTCTCTCCGTTCCTCCCCCCATCCTCCTCCTCCATTCCCCCCTCCCCGCCGTCCTTTCTACCCTTGGCGCTTCCTACTTGTCCTTCCCCCGCCTTCACTTTCTCCCTCTCCCTCTCCTCGTCCTCCTCCTTCCTCATCTTCCCTTCTCACCTTCAGTCTCTCGTTCCCTGCTCGCGCCGCTGCCCGTCCGCCTGCTCCTGCTGTCAGCCGTGCGACAGCCCCTCCTCGCGCTCTCACCGGCTCCCACCCCATCGCCCTTGCGGATTCCCTTGGCCTTGGCCTCGTAGCTCACAGCAACAAAGCCTGAGGAGGGTTGAGGGGAGGAAGAAGAGATGGATGGAGGGGAGGAGGAGGAGGAGGAGACAAAGGAGGAAGACAGGCTGAGAAGAAGAGAGGAAGAGAGGAGCGGAGGAGACACGGAGGATAAAGGGAGGGGATGAACGCAGAGGAGCGGAGAAGCGTTCGCAGGGGGTCGAGCACAGACTCACCTCCGCTGTTGAACTGCTGGACTGCGATGGGAACATGCAGGAGGGAGGGGTCGTCCATCCTCTCTACCGCACAGTAGAATGCGTCCACATCAACGTGCAGGACGACTCGAAGTCGATCCTCCTCCTGCCCCCCCTCTTCCTCCTCGTGCTCCCCCTGCTCCTCCTCCTCCCGACTTCGCAGCATCATGACTCTGCTTGCTGTTTGATCCTCGTCCTCGTCCTCTACCTCAGTCTCGCTGACCCTTCCTCCTCAAAAGAGTCCATCTCGTGCCAACATGCGTCAAACTTCTGCTGAAAACGCTCTGAGTTGCTGTACGAATCTCGGACTCCCTCTCCCTTACCTACCTCCTCCTCCTCCTCCTCCTCCTCCTCCTCCAGGTCCCCTCTACTCCTCTCGTCCTCGCTTGGATTTTCAGCACGCCCCTCCTGCTTCTTCACTGTCGGATCAAAGATAAAGTCCCGCTCGCCGTCCCCAGCGTCACTGTCGAGATAAATTTCCTCTCCCTCCTCCTCTCCCTCCTCCTCTCCCTCCTCCTCCTCCTCATCGTAAAATTCATCCATCGGGCAGATCTCAAAGTCGTCAAACTTGATCTCGCATCCCGCGTCTCCTTCCATGGCTTCACTTCTGCCTGCATCTTCCCCTCCCTCTCCCTTCGCATCCCCTCCCTCAGCTTGTCCATCGTCCCCGACCCCCTTCCCCACGAGCCTTGGGGTCATCCCCTCCATCCTGTCGCCCCGCAACAATGCAGATCGTTCTGCTACCATCCGCTCCTGCCTCTTGGACAACAGCCTCTTGTCCTGCATGCTCTCCAGCCTCTTATCATAGTCCCTCCTCTGCTCAGCCTGCTGCCCCGCAGGGCATCCTCTCCCTTCCTCCTCCGCGCTCTCAAGGCCTTGTTGGAAGCTCCGAGACTGCAGGAGGGTGCAGGAAGGGATCTTGATGAAATTCATGACTGCAAGGTTGATGAGAGTGAGGTGAAACGGCTCGCTAACGTTCCTCCTCAGCACCGTCATCGCAACTGCAACCACCTACAACAGAGCATTCACCTTTGTCGGCTCTCCTCATCACATAACATCCTCCTCACCTGCCTCACTGCTTCCTCCTCCCTCTGTCCCCTCTGCTGCAGACGGCAGGCAAGAACGGGCGGCAGCCGCGTGCTTGCACTCTGTCGTCCACCATGATAAGACGACTTGTGCCGCCAGGTGATGATCAGGCACTCAGGGACCCTCCTGTTCTCCTCCGCATCCTCCAGCACGCGAGCGATAAGGTCAGGAGCAAGCACTTGCAGGACAAGCTCAGCCTGAGGATCAGAGTCAGAGTCAGAGTCAAAGGAGGAGGATGAGGAGGAGGAGGAGGAGCAGTAGGGTTTGGAAAAACTCCTGCAAAATCGGGGAGAGCAGCGGGGTCAACAAAGAGGAGGGATGGGGATATAGCACACGGCAATCAGCTGTTGGAAAGGAGGAGGGAGAAGAGGGAGCATGAACACGAAAGGGAGGGAGGGAGGGAGGGAGGGAGGGAGGGAGGGAGGGA